GGATTAAGGTATTTGAACCCTCCACATGATCATTGGGTCGTAGGTAAGGTGGACCTAGGTCCGGTTTGGGCTCGATTTAGTATTTTGACCATAACTTATTCGTTATATGTCGGATTTGGGCTTATAATATATCGTTGGAAAGCTCTTTTCAAACCCCATCCAACTAAACAATATTTGGACCAAGATTATGGACAAAAATAAATTGTTTTGAACGTTTTTATGGGTTGGACACGAAATGAATGATTTTCTACACACAAAATGAATGATTTTGGGTTTAAAGGCACGAAATGAATGATTTTGGATTAAGACATTTTAAGTAAGGTTAGAAATATGGTTAAGGCTTAAGGAAACTTCACGAGAATCTTCAACTCTTTACCGAACTCGTTAATCAAAGACGTGAAAAGCACTCATCACTGGGTTTGGTTTTTGGGGAGACACAATCAGGTGTCTACAGAAGCCACCACTTTGACTGAGTTTGGAGAAACGTAAGTTTCGAAAACAAAAGTCAAAATAAGATCGAAAGGGACAGAGAATAATTCAGAACGTTCTGCTATCCTAAACCATCCTTTTTAACGCCAAAATATCAAATTTTTCCGACAAAGTAATCAAATTTCCTAATTTAATTTGTTATTGTGTTTTTTAAATTTTTTTTTCCCATTTAAAAATTAAAATTAATATGACATCTCCTTTTATTTTGCTTATAAATCCCAATATCAAATTTATTTCCATCCCTTTAAAAAAAATCGTTAATAAGGGGTAGAAAAATTAAGTGAACACAATAATCTTTCTTCAGATTGTTAATTCCGAAATAAGGGGTTGGAAAATTAGGTAAGAAACCACGAAAAACGAACTAAATTAAGCATTTGCGAGTAGTTTGTCGGAAATTTTTGTATATTATTGGTTAATTGTCGCCTAAGATGATTTTTTTTTACCAAATTGTCGTTTGAGGTTAGCTTTTTTTTTCCAAATTGTTGCTAGGGGTCTTTTTTACTTACCAATCTGGTCAATTGGCCTTCTACTTAGCTTATTTTTTTGAAGTACGTTGTATAGTATATATTTTTTTCGAATTAAATTAATTCATTAATAAAAAGTCATACAACATCTACATTATATAGTTTTACTGGGAATAACATGCATCATTAATGTAATACAATGGATACTATGTTTAAATATTTTCAACACAACTAATCAAAAATAATACATTTTTTTTTTCTCAATTGTAGTTTTAATAATTTTTGCCTTATTATTTCATTTTTCTTATATCCATTGCATTTGTTTATTCCACATAAAAATTATCTAATTTTTATATTATATCACAAATTAATTATGGGAAAAATAAAAAGACTATTAGTACTGTGCATCACGGACACTAATATAGTTACACTAATTATTTTCACCTTTGAAGGAAAAGGCTATAAAATTAACAGAATAAACTAGTAATTCAATATAATTATTTGCTAACCTTTTCTTATTTTCTCTTGAAAAAATGATTGTTAAGCATGGTTAGGCTAAGTATGTGGGGTCAATCCACTCATTCTTGGGGAAATTTATTAATTTTCTATCAATACTATCTTGACTTTCAACCATTTTAAGAAATCAAGTGGGTTCATTTGCACCCCCTAACCATACAATGGCTCCGCCCCTGCTTGGGATTTGTGACTCTCGAAACGAAACAATGTACATAAGTACAGTATATAAGTATAATTGATTAATGGAAAAGAAAAAAAAAAAAAGTCAAACCAATGTCTTTGAATGAAAGGTAATTTTATTGGAAAAAAATAGGGACGGAAGGAGTATTCACTAATAAGAGCATCAACACTCGTAGTATAATTTTATATCACAGTGTAAAAACTCATCAAACTCCTGCAAATTTTTACTATATTGGTGGTGTACAATTATACCATTTGAGGAAAAGATTGGCGCATAGCACCTATATGCTTAGAAAGTGTATAGGAGGACACTGATTTTCTAGTGGTGCAATTCAAAGTACAAAACGTATGTACCACTTTGATTAAATATACCAGCGTGATTTCAGTGGTACATTTTCGGAGTATTAAATGTACCACTAGCGCAGTTAAATGGAATATTCAAGTTTTCTAATGCCTGGTAAATTACGCTTCTGCCCTCCTATACACTTCGTTTGTCAATAGGTGCTATGCCCTGATATGAACTCACCATTTGATGGTAAACATTTTGCTTTGGTCCATGTGGAACATGAACCAACCAGGTCACATGCCATATGGCCTAGTTATCATATTTTTTTTATTATTTTTTTTAGTTGCATTTTAAAATAAAATGATAAAGTTAAAAATAATGAAAAAATTACCATTGCTCATAATTCTTCAAGACCTACACATAGACACCCATATTAATATAGTTTATATATTTTTCGAATTCGCTTTTTACTATCTAAATTGCTATTTTATTTAATTAACTGTACAAATATTAATTAGTTATTTCCAATAATAAATTAAAATATAATCATAATTAAATTAAATGTATAATTAATATAAATAGGAGAGAGAAAATTTGGTGGTAAACTTTTTTTATATCATGGGTGGGAAGATTTTTGGAGAAAGTAGTATATTGTGTTATTATAGATGATGTGGTAGGAGTGAGAAAGTGGTAGTAAGAGAGAAAATGATATAAATTTTTATACCATGAGTGATGATGGTCTAAATAACAAAAATATATCAATCAATTAATCGCACGAGTCTTACAATTGTTGCCTTTCCTAGTCTGCTAGTTCCTCTTTTTGATGCTAAGGCCATAATCAATCAAAATATTTATGAGAAAATCTTTCGCCATAATTTTTTTTTTTGGTGTTTAGGGAGCCACAAGAGCGAGGTGAGAATCAATCCCAGATCTACTGAGACCGGGAGGGAAGCTTTAACCACTTGAGCTATCCCTCACTCTCATTTTTCAACGGGTGTTGTTAAACGTCGCTCCCAAATTACAAGCCAGCGCTCGCATTTTTTTCATGAAATTCCGTTTTTGCCCCCGTATATAAATACTCACGACGCTCACTCACGACAGTTAGAACACATTTTTACGCTCATACTTCTCTCTCTAAAACTTTCTCTCTCTAATAACTGAAATTCTCCTCAAAAATTAAAAAAAAACAGATTTTTTTTTAAATCTGAAAATTCAAAAAAAAATCTGAAAATTCAAAAAAAAAAAAAAAATAAAATAAAAAAGGAAATCAACAACCACCACCACTTATCCAAAACACCCTACTCCAATGGCGGATCGGAGGCAAACAAGGGTCACTTACAGTGGTCGTGGAGGCGGCGTGGGCGGCGGCGAATAGGTGTGGGTTATACCTGTTTTGATTTTCGAAATTTCGTTTTAAAAAAAACATCCGGAAAATTTGGGACATCCGCCTGAAATTTCCGGATGTTCCTTGGGACATCCGGAAATTTTAGGCAGATGTCCCTAAAATCCGGTTTTTTTTTGTTTTTTGTTTTTTGTGTTTTTTTGTGTTTTTTTGTTTGTGTTTTTGTTTGTGTTTGTGTTTGTGTTTTTCTTTTTCTTTTTTTTATTTTTTTGTGGTTTTCGTGCGGTTTTTTTTTATTTCATGATTACTGTTATGTAATTTTGTTTTTTTTTTGTTGTGATTAATATTTTATAAATAATCAATTAAAAATATTTCGAATATATTGGTTTTTTTTTTTAATGATTAATGTTATGTTTTTTTGTCGTGGTTAACAATTTTTTGTTTTTGTGATTATTCCGAAAAAAAAATATTCCGATTTTTGTTTTTTTTTCTCATGATAAATGGTTTTTTTTTTCATGCTTAATATTTTTTTGTTTCGAGATTAATATTCATTAAATAACCAATTAAAATTATGCCGATTTGTTTTTTTTCTGATGATTAATGTTTTTTTTTCGTGCTTAACATATATTTATTTTTTCGTGATTAATATTGTTTAAATAACCGATTAAAATTATTCCGAATGATGTTTTTTTTTGTTCATGATTAATGTTATGTTATTTTTTTCCGTGTTGAACATATTTTTTTTCGTGATCATTATTCTGTAAATAACCGATTAAAATTATTATTATTAGTAATGTTATTAGTTTTAGGATTTTTAATATTAGCAGCAATATTACTATTATTATAATTATTGTTGTTATTATTATTATCGTTGTTGGGAATATTTTTATTATTGTTGTTATTAGTATTATTACCATCATTATTTTTGTTGTTATTAATAATGTTGTTATTGTAATATTGTTTATTGTTTTGAATTTGAATATTAGTTGTTCAGCTTTAATATCATAGTTATATTTGTAATTAGTACTGATATTTGATTTTGTACTTATTTAATGTAGATTGAGGGTCCGGGTCCTCGTCATGCAGTATTAAGACGTTTGAATGCGTCTATTAGGAGGGAGTCAGGTCATTCGGTAAATACGGGGGCACCGTATCATCATGAGCAGCAATATGGGTCTGCTGGTAATTGGTCGGGGGAGCATCAGTCGCAAGGGAGCCCCCCCATGTACTCGTCGGGCCAAGTGTCGACTTCTGACGATGATGATGATAAGCGGGCAAGTCAGGCTGATCGAGATGAAGAGTACGACCCTCGGGATTATCATACGGTGCATAGGGGTCAGCAAGGGAGATTTGTGAGTAGCAGTCAAGCGAGTCAGCCTTCCACCAGCTCAGCAGAGACATGGGTTGTACAGCAGCCGATGTCAGGTGGTCCCGAGGATGGTACTGTGATCCCCAGTTTCGTTGGTCACGTGGCTGCTTATATCTAGGGCGGGCAGGAGCGTAATGTTTTGCGCTTTTTAAGCACGACACAGTTGTGTTTTGCATTGGTTACCTGGCAAGGTCGTCTTGCACAGAGCATCTGGAGTTGATTGACGGTAGTGGTCTGTCTCACTTACCGGGGATCATGCTTAGGCGTTTTGACTAGCCGTTGATTTCTGTGTTTGTTGAGAGATGGAAGCCAGATACGAACACCTTTCATATGCCATTTGGGGAGATCACGATCATGTTGCATGATGTGTACCACATTCTTGGGCTTCGTGTTGATGGTTCCATGGTTTCCACTACTCCTAGCATGGACGTCATACAGGACACATGCCAGGTAACCCTGGACATGACTGCGGAAGAGCTGAACGAGAAGTGCGGTACGAAGACCATTTGGCAAGGTAGTGGGGTGCTGACCGATAGGATTATGGACTCGACCTTGGAGGCGCAGAGGCCCTTCAGTGTCCATTACCGTGCGTACATGTGGTTAGTGCTGGGTGGATGTCTGTTTTTGGACAAGAGTGGTAACCGTACTCATCCGTCCTTCCTCAACGAGCTTGTTGTTGATGATCTTCCGATAAATGAGTACTCTTGGGGTTCAGCTGCTCTAGCATACCCGTATCGCCAGTTGGGTACGACATCAAGAAAAGATGCCGATTCAATCGCTGGTTGTCTCACGCTTCTACAAGCGTGGATCTACGAGTACTTCCCGTGCTTCTGGCCTCAGCAGGGTACCTTGACGAGGGAGCTTAGTATTCCTCGTGCGTCTGCTTGGGATGTGGTATCGGGATGCCCGAACAAGAGCATGGAGCGCCTCCTCGCTTTTCGTGCTAGATTGGATCAACTAACTGAAAATGAGGTTAATTGGCTACCTTACGGAGTTGATCCCGCTCGACACGTGCCAGCCACTCTATTTATTGGATGCATCCAGTACCGGAGCATCATTGAGCCATACATGCCTAATCGAGTGGTCTGACAGCTTGGATACGTACAGGACATTCCGTAGACCATTATCAGGCCTGAGAAGGCCAAGAGACCGACAAACTTGAAGATGTATCAGGTTGACTTTCCGACCGAGATGACATCTGTGATGTGGACTCGGTTTGTCCCTGGCTCGTCTTTCAGTATTGTTTTAGGTGCCCTCACCAGACTCGGTGGTGGAGGTCCTACGGTCGCTCCCGGTTACATGCAGTGGCTGTACCGATTTTCTCATCCACGTCTTTCTCCTGGTGGGTCATCAGATGGGAGTAGCAGACTTCCTGAGAGGACTAACACGGACTATGTAAGTAGTTGTCTTTTATCATACTATAAATACGTTGTTTTGTAATTTCTGCAACTAATATGTTGTTCTGTTACTTCACTTACTTGCAGTGGATGGGTCGGTCCTTGGAAATTCACCGAAGATCACTGGATGAGTATCCCACCCAGTCGCATGAAACAAGGGAAATGACTGAGCAGTTGATAGCTGATTGGAAGGCGATGATAGGGTTGTGAAGTGCTTGTCTTTTAGTTTTATATTAGCTGATAGTGATTGTTTTACAGTACTTGTACGCACTTCGTTAATTTACTTTATGTTCGGCATGTACTTGAAGAATTGGACAACTGTTCCCTTTTTAATTTTTGGTTCATACTTTGTTTAATTACGTTTCATGATCTACATACTATATATCTACAACTGTTCACAATAAATGAATGTACATAAATGAGTTTGCTATCTAATTAACACATCCCACATGTTCCGTCTAACTACATAACGCTGATCCCAACCGTCAACACTTGGCTCGTGGTGCTCGGTCCACCAACCTGCAATCGGGGGAAGTGGTGAATCTGGTGCAAGATCAATACGGAAAAATTGTGAGCCCCTAACTGTAGCAATCACAAACTCTCGGGCAGGTGCCGTGACCGTCCTTCGTGCCCGCAACGGCAAGATCATGAGGCATGGGTAGTAGCAGGTTGGTACTTGGCCTACGCCAAGAATAATAACCATTGCATTGAACCAAGAAGCAATAGGAAATAAATCTTGAATTGCAACCATCCAATGACGGGAATCAACCGCCCCACCGTCCCATCGAATACGCTCCACATTCATCCCAAGCCTTCCAAGCCCGTAAATCCTTTCGTACAGGACTGGATAACCGAGGACCTCGTTAGCTATTGTTTCTCGAGCGTCATACCATTGCCCTTGGTCATCGAAGAAGAAGTCGGCCACACAACGAAAGCCGCAGTTACCATCGCCAATGACATCCTTCCATCCTGTGACGTAAGGCAATATCGGTCTTGGAAGCAAGTGTCGATACCGGCTTTGGCTGATGTCACATGGATCTTCTGCACGAAATTAGAGTTCAGCTATTAGTACAGTAAATGATGAAATACGTAAAAATCAAAATAGCCAATCTTACCTGTTTGCTGCGGACCACGTTGAGTGTTTCGACGGTTGACATGTTCGAAATAACAAGGATCACGTCTTGCGTCATTGTTCCTTCGTCGACCCCGAACGTTGTGGTTTATAGCAGGATCTCCAAGGTTTGAATGATCCGGATGCAGCCCCTCCTCAATGATGCTAGATACATTTCGAAGAACAGCAGGATCACTGCCGATTACCTCGTCCACCAGAGAACGAAAATGTGTGGCGTCCTCGGACGAGTCATTACCGAACACCGGTACATCATCACCATCACCGATTACCAAGGTCTACCAGAACGGGTGAATTTGCCTGGTATACAAGCCTGTCTCGGCAGCTAAAGAATCATGTATCTGGCAAGCACACGGCAAACCGTGGGTCACACGCATTGCACATCCACATCGCTCATACACCTGATAACTCATCTCCATCATCCGTTTTATCTCGTCGTCGAGAACCTTCAAACAATGCTGAGACACCTTGCCGTGAATATGAGACAGTGACAATTGTCGGTACTTCTGACCAATCTTCGACCTAGACGCCTCCAAACCATTACGAATGGCGATGATCTGATTACCAATATGGCAATGAACTCGGGCCCATACGATATCCAAAGAACCTGCACATTACGAAAAAACCGTCGGGAGTGATAATCATAATAATAACAATAATAACAACAACAACAACAATAATCATAATAATAATAATAATAATAACAATAATAATAATAATATTCATAATAATCATAACAAAAATAATAATAATATTCATAATAATCATAACAAAAAAAATAATAATTATAATATTAATATTAATCAATAACTACAGCAAAGTCCAAACAACAAACCTGTCGAAGATTCAAACCACATCTTCACGGCCGAATGTTGGCTCTCTACTCTACAAGTGCTAGTATTGCCAAATTGCAGAACTTGGTTTGTCCAAAATGTCACAAACTTGGTTTTATGACAAAGCCACGTTCTCTCTACATATTGTATCACTGCTAGATAACTTGCCCACTGATCTTTCATTGTTTGTACAGCAGCATTATAATCCTCCTCGGTTGCAGCATCCATGATACGTTTCCATTTCCCGTTTTTGAAACTCGCACCGATCTTCTTGTTTTTGAACATATCAGTGACTCGAGCCTCCACATATTTGTTAATGTGCCATCGACAAAGTAAGTGCGGGGTCCCTGGAAACACTTCTCTTAATTCCGCACATAGCCCAAGCTCACGGTCTGTCAAAAAAACCGACGGTTCCCTATCATACCCAATTAAGTCTCTCAGTCTCTGCAGAACCCATCGATAGCTTATCGTGCACTCGTTGCGCATGAACACGTAACCGACGAGGAAATTCTGATTTGTCAATGTCACCCCTACTATCTCAAAGAACGACATCCCGTATCGATTGGTCTTGTAAGTGGAATCCACACTGATCACATATGGGTACGTCCGTAGTATGTCTACCGTGACTGGGTGCACCATAAAGGCATGTTGTAAAACGCCTACATCATCAGACATGACCCAATACAGATACTGACTATGTCTCGCCAAATGTAGAAATTGCTGAACTACTCCTCTTCCATCAGACATCTCCGTTCTCAAGTCATTCCGGCAGTTGTAGATGTGTCTGATGTTTGGATGATCATCAGGAAATTGCTCGGCAATAGTCGCCATGATGTTACGCGGTGCAACCTTAGACTTCGTCATGTCACGCACAACCTTCTTCGCATCTGGGCTCAACCCACTAATTTTACGATGCCCCTCCTGATACACAATCTTTGGATGGTTATGGGTCCCAGTTGCATCATTTTAACTAACATCAACTAATATTAACTAACATCAACTAACACTAACATTAACTAATATGACAATATTACCTAACATAAACTAACACTAACATTGACTAGTATTAACTCATTAACATAAACTAATACTTACAAAAATAACTAATAACAATAATAACAATATTAATAACAATTACATAAACTAGTACTAACAAAAAAAACGAATAATAACAACAACACAACTCATAATCATAATCATAATCATAATAATAATCATCATCATCATCATAATAATAATAATAATAATAATAATAATAATAATAATAATAATAATAATAATAATAATAATAATAATAATAATAATCATAATAATAATAATAATAATCATAATAATCAAAACAAAAAAATAATAATCATAATAATAAAAATAATAATATTAATCAATAACATAAAAAAAAATTATAAAAAAAAACTTTTTTTGGAAAAGGTACTTCATCCGCCTGAAATTTCCGGATCTTCCATGGAGGATCCGGAAATTTTAGGCGGATCCTCCGTGGATCTTCCGGAAATTTTGGGCGGAAGTACCTTTTCCAAAAAAAAAAAAAAATTCCGACTTACATAATCTTCCGAAGATGCCTCCGACTACGATCGTCGTCGTCGTCGTTCATCGCCAAAAACCGGTCGCTAAACCTTGATAATTTTTTTTTTATAAAAATTTAATACTTTTGGAGGTGGGCTCGGGATTTTTTAAAGGCAATTTGCTCGGCTCAAAGACCTCAGGAATAATATTAAACTGCTCGGTATACTATGTGACGAAGTGGTGGAGCCTTATATAGGTCAAATTAACACAAGGGTAAAACGGTAATTTCACATTTAAATGGGAGCGTCGAATAGCAGTTCACTTTTTCGCCATAATGAAAATCCATTATAAATCATCAAAATGTCCTATTAAAATTTAACGCAAACATCGAGAGCAAACTCCTTTTTTTAAAAAAAAAAATGTGTAAATGAGGCATAAGGGCAACACAAATTACAAGTAGGAAAGGAAATTCGAACCTATAACACATCATACACAAATATTCGATGTTCCACGTTTGGTTTGATGTAAAACATTTTCAATGAAAAATTAGTTTTCGTGGAAAATATATTTTCAAGGAAAACCACACTTGTAAGATAATTTTGTTTTGTTTGGTTCTTACAAGAATAGTCAAAGAGAGATTAAAAATAGGAGTGGAAATGTGGGAATAGATGAGAGGAAAGTAAAAAGGAGATTAGGAAAAGACAAAAAAATGTGACTTCCCTTATTTTGTTAAAGAAAATGTTTTCCACCGTTATAAATGCAATTTTCCACCATTTGGAAAAGTATTTTCCACCCCTTCACAAACCAAACAATGGAAAATAATTGAAAAATCATTTTTCATGATAACATTTTATATCAAACCAAACGGGAATGTGAAATGCTTTCATGGAAAATGATATTTCTATTTATTCTCAATTTCCTTTGTTTGATTTGTAAAGGGGAGGAAAACAATTTTTCCAATGGTAGAAAACATTTTCCTTTCTAAACAAGAGAAGGCATTTTCCTTCTTCCTCCTTACCTCTTTTTTACTTTCCTATCATCCATGCTCACATTTCCAATCTTCAAAAAGACTTGCGTGGACCTGGTCCACAATAATATTATTGTAGACCCGAGGTCTATACACACGCAACTAACATTATATTGAACATAGTGACCATTATTTTTAACATAGTAACCTTATTTTTAACCTAGTAACCTTTATTAAAACTACTACAACGTTTAATAATATTGTGAACTTGAAATATGACGCTATTACCTTAATTTTAACATAGTGGCCTTTATTATTCATATTGATCAGTATATAAAATATTTCATTACAAAAATAACCACTTAGGCATATATATTACCAAAATAAATTTTTATTTCAATATAGTGACCTTTGTTTTAATTATAGTGACCCCTTTTTTTTATTAATAAAACAACCATACTTTCTCTAATGTTAGCGGTCCACAATAAATTAGTGTGAACCAAGTCCATTTAAGAATTTGTATCCAATCTTATATGTCATTTCTCTATAACTTTTCTTGTAAGGAACCAATCAATAGAAAATTAATTTGCAATCGTAGTTTTTCTTTAACATTATTTTCCATAAAAACTAAGTTTTTTTTCATTAAAAATGTTTTATATCAAATCAAACGAGCCTAAATCAAGACGTCATCTATATTCTTAGCCGTAACTCGTCATAAATTCAAATTTTACATCATGATGAGGGTAGGTGTTAGATGAACAAACAATTTGGATGATCCTTCCTCAGGGCAGCCTTAAGGGTGAACAAAAAAATAGTTCACAATGAGTGAACAAGTGAATGGGTGGCTTAATGGTGATCTCTATAATTGTTCATAGTGAATGGTTGTGGGATTGATTGCTGCTGCAAGCATTTGGACGAATTTATGGATTGTGGGCCCCACCCATTTTTATTTTTTTTTCAGGAAAAAAAATAGAAAGCAGCGGTTGGGAGCGCGCCACTTGGCCCAGCCGCTGCTTGACACGTGTCAGTGTTTTAAATAAATCCGTTGTAATTTTGCAACGGATATATTTTACAAAACACAAATAAAAAAAAAAAATTACCAAAGGCTCTATTTTTTCCCCCTCTATAAATAGACACCCATATTGCTATACTTTCTTCAACTTTGAAAATCCATTTCTTTCTACTATATTTTTCTCTTCAAAAATCCCCTCTATAATTACCAATATTATTATTATTATTATTATTATTATTATTATTATTATTATTATTATTATTATTATTATTATTATTATTATCATCATCGTTATTATTATCATTTTTATTATTATTATCGTTATTATTATTATTTCCTTTATTATTATTATCGTTATTATTATTATTTTTATTATTATTGTCGTTATTATTATTATTATTAAATTTTTATTTTTTCCAAATATAAATTATAATTATGGATGCTAATACCAACCCCAAAACAAATAGAAAGAAGAAAAAAAATTTGGGTCAAAATATGATCCTTCAAGCTCGTTTTGCCATTATTAAAAAGCCGTCTTTGGTGTGGGATACCGACATACTCCACAATATCATGCTCGCCTGCATCATAATACATAATATGATCGTTGAAGATGAACGAGAGACGTATCAAAATAACGTTAATACCAATGAGTTTATGAATGCTGGAGGCAACGCTAATGAGGACACTACCGAGTACCGTACTGATCGTATTGTGGATATCGGCTTATACTTGTCTCGTAGAACAGAGATTGAGGATCAACAGACTCATTTGCAGCTAAAAAACGACTTGGTCGAACATATATGGAATAAATTTGGTAACAACGAAAACTTAGGCAACTAGGTTTACAACAAATGGTTATCCCTAAGGACATCTTACAAAACGATGTGTAGTTGTTTTTTTTTTTTAAATAAAATGTACTAGATTATAGTTGTAGAACTGTAATCACGATTTGTACCTCTTTTTTTTTTTGTTAATTAAAATTAGTTGCGTTGTTGTTTAAAAAATATTAATCACAAGAATTAGTTTTTTAAAAAGCTGATAAAAAAATGCGATAATTTCTTAATTAGTAATCACGATTAAAATATTAAATACGTCAATTAATTACATTGACATCGGGTTAATAAATTATAATTATGAAACAAAAAAGATTATATTTACAAAAATAAAATAAGGTGGGGTAGGGAGTATTGATGATGAACCATTGTTTAGTGTTCATTGTTAAGAATGAATATTGTAAATGGTTTGTTGGGTTGATGTAGAGAAAAATGGTGATAGTGACCCATAAACCATTTATTTGGGTTCACCAATAAAGATGCTCTCAGTCCCTCACTATATACTCGCATTTGAACCAAAGGAAAGGACCCCACAATTCTTGACTACTCCAGTTCTTTTTGTATTTACTCAATAAAAAGTCTGTCAACCCCAAAAACCCATCAACTTGACACATTACACAAAACATACGCTCTCTCTTCTCTTTTTCCAAATTTTTCTTACTCTCTTTATTTTCAAATATCTTTCCAATAACTTGCCCTCCTAACTAAATTGCAGGCCTTGCTAAATTTCTTTTTTTATTGTTGGTAATAATAATAATAATAATAATATTGTAATAAATATTTATATTTATTACTCTTACTCTTTATTCATTTATTAGTCGTCTCCCATTTTATTCCCATTTTCAGACGGCCAAACAAAAAACAAATTTAATAATTAATTCTTCTGAAACTACAAATTCCCCACTTTTTATAATTCAATTCAATTTTTGTTCGTGTTTGAGTTGAGGGCCTCCAATTTCTACCGTCCTCCATCTTTCTAGGGTTTTATTCTTCTTTGTTATTTCATGGGGTTTTGAATTTCAAATTTTGAATTCCTGTTTTCCTCATTTCAAGGTAATTTTGTTTCTTTATTTTTTTATTTGTTTGTTTATTTTTTTTATTTAATTCTTTTTGTTTGATTGTTTGTTTGTGGGTTTTATTGTGATGATGATTTGGGGTTTGATGATCAAATTTCTGATTTTTAATTGTTGGGTTTTTCTGAGTAGTAATATAACTGATCAATTGTTGGGTTTGAGTTTTTGTTTGTGATAATTTCTTTTTAAATGTGATATGCAATTTTATTAGAGGTTTTTGTTTCTCAAATTAATCTGTGGTCCTTAATTTATTCATTATTTTAAAAGTTAGATTGTTTTATGTTTTTCATTTTATGGCGTAGATTTTTTGTAAAGTTTTTTTATTCTTTTCTGTATTTATGAATTTTCGAACTTTATATCTTTTGAAAATATAATATTTACGTACTATAAAATAATTGAGAATTAACCTTATATTTTATTTGTAATTGTGAACAAATAGTTTGTTTGAATATCTGTTTATTGTAGATAAAAAAAAAAAGAAAAAAAATAATTATTGCGATTAATACGATTTCTATTTCCGTGGTTTTTACTTCCTAGCATAGTCTAATTATAGCTGGATGATTGTCTGATTTACTTGTATAACTAGGCATTTTGAAGTATGCGCTTTTATGTGCATAAGAATCTATATATGCTTGTCTTTATTTAGGATTTTATAGTTGTGATGTATATTTTGAAAAAGCTTGATATTTAGGTCCTTCATTTTGACTGATGTTTGCACTTGATGAAACAAAACAAAAAAAAAAATCATGGGTTTTACTGTTACCTTAATTGTTGAACATTTTTTTGCTTTGTCTATTTGTAGACAAGGGATCAAAATCAGTCAACACATTTGAAGAGAGAAAAGCTGGTAGCGGTTTTGAACGGAGTGGAAATTTGTTGGTATGTAATCCTCATCCTTGTTTGCACTAACATATTAAATTGCTTTTTTATGATTTCGGATAGAACTAAACTAGATGAAGGCCTTGAATGCTATGTATAGGTTATGTCAATGTGTTTGTACCTTGGTTTTAGATGTCAATAATAGGGTGTTTTCCTCCATCAAAAAAATCTCTTCACTTGATTTAAGAACTTTTTAGCCTTGTACTTAACTTATTAGAGCTTATCATATTTGTGAATTGAGTTTCGGTACACTTATCTTTGTGAAATATAAGCCCCAAACTTAGCTTATTAGAACTTATATTTCCTGATACTACATATTTTACTGAAAAGGAGTTGATGATTTGCAAAGAGTATTTACACATTGTTTTACTGAAAAGGAATTGATGATAACATTCTGTTTTGATTTCAGATAGCTATTTGGCCAACAATATGGCTACTGGAAGTCCATATCTTGATGATGTGAGGGGGAAGCCTGAAGTTATCGACCCTCCCTCGACTGAAGATATGATTGATGTTGTAGAAAATGTGATGGATACTGCACAAAGTACTATTAAACCAAATCCAATTGTGTCTAGCAGTGTTTATGAGCTGCTGGAGTGCCCAGTGTGCCTAACTGCCATGTACCCTCCAATCCACCAGGTGAGGCTGCCTCTAGTGCTTCTTATGTGATGCTAAAGTACCAGAATATCCTGAGTTGGTTGAAAATTTTAAACTCTTGCACTTGGATTTTCCATGTAGTGCTCTCCCTGCTGCCTCTGTCTTAATTAAATATGGTTCAGAAAGTTTGGGTCGGAGGCGAGGGAATAGGCGATGAAATCGTTGACTGAGATATATATGTCATGATTGATATGCTCGTGTTGAAAGCTAATCTGGGATTTTAAAAGATATATGTTGAGTATTAGTCTATTGCTGTATTAAGGATTTGTAAACAAGTTTTTCACTCATCTTCTTAAAGAATTTTGAAAACAAAGGTAGTCCCTTCTTGCTTTTATGCTGTCGAATTTCATAATTTGCTGTAGTGGCTATCAAAAGCCTACACAGAAAATGAACAGCTTAGAAATTAAATAGTCTTAAGCAGATATTTGAAACTACTTTAGATTAATCTGATTTTGGTTGGGTAAAGAATAACTTTCTTAGAAAATGACTAAAGCTAAAATAATTAGATTTCACTCATGTTAAGGGCAACTTTTCTATTTTCTGGTGCACTCACTTCCATTACAAGAATGAGATGAATCTTTCACTCTTTTCCATTACAACTTGCTCCAATTGCGTCATTGAGTTCTCGGAAATTAATTAAAAGGCAGCCCATTTCGTTGGGTTTGCACTAAAGAGTATTCATGTACTTATGCTAGTAGTTCAATCAGAAGCCTAGAATGTCGTTTAACGAAAAACGAAAGTGTTGAATGCGAACTATGGTGATTTGGTTTATAAAGATTCTAGATCACTGTGCTCCATCTCTGCCTGGCCCCTTGCTCAGTTTTTTTTTTTTTTCCTTTTTTTCAAATGTAAGCTCTCCTTGATTTCTACTTTCTCCTTCTAACTCTCTCTTGGTTCATAGTCCCTTACTCTCTACTCCAGTTTTTTTTTTTGGAATGAATAGTGGTCTCTTACTAGCTATAATGAGAGGGAGGGAGGGGGGGGGGGGGGCGGGGGGAAGGGGCTGGTGGTTGTTAAATTCTGAGCACGACTCTTTCATGGTTTATATGTTTGTGCAATTTTCTGATTATTGTATCCTTTGTCATTGACGCAGTGCTCAAATGGCCACACAATATGTGCTAATTGCAAGCCCAGGGTACACAACCGGTGCCCAACTTGCAGACATGAACTTGGTAATATTAGATGCCTTGCCCTGGAGAAGGTGGCTGCATCCCTTGAACTTCCATGTAAATATCAAAGTTACGGATGTGTGGGCATATATCCTTACTATAGCAAGCTGAAGCATGAGCCCCAATGTTCCTTTAGACCCTATAGCTGTCCTTATGCTGGATCAGAATGCACTGTCATTGGTGATATCCCTTACCTGGTGGCCCACCTTAAGGAGGATCATAAAGTTGACATGCACAGTGGCAGTACATTCAACCACCGCTACGTGAAGTCAAATCCCCATGAGGTCGAAAATGCTACTTGGATGCTTACGGTAAGCATTTTCCAGATTGCGTACATCCATTTAAAATTTAAAATACTGAATAAAATAATTTGCTCACTCTGTTTTTTCAAACATATCTTAACTTAAATTGTCTGAACTGTCTATCTGAACTTAATTTGTTGGAAATAAGTCAAAATTTGTTGAGGACAACACACCCTAAGCTATGTGGATGTGATCAATAGCATATTGTATTCATCCACTGGTTTTTTAATATGCAACTTTTAATTGAATCACAACTAGAATATACCTATGTTTTTGCAAAAGTTAGTATCTTACAATCACAGGGTTTTCCTTTTGGGTTAATATATCAATGCTTCCGTGAGTTAACAACCACCATAAAGTGAGAAGTTGAGATTAGAAGTTTAATATTTTTAAGTCATAAAACAATTGACGACATATGACTTGAGTAAGAGAGAATGATTTAGGCCATAAAAGGTAATTGCCCTCAATATGTTGCAGATATTAATACGGAGTAGATTACTTTGCAAGTGAGAGTTGACAATTTGAATACTGAAAGGATTGTTTAGGATGTGATGCATGGTTTGGAGAGCTTAGAATTCATATGACTTTAAATAATAATATTGATAGCTTGATCATGTATTTGTGTTAATATTTTCTATCCTATTTTTGCACTTCAGGTCTTCAGTTGCTTTGGACAGTACTTTTGCCTTCATTTTGAAGCATTCCAGCTTGGTATGGCTCCTGTCTACATAGCCTTCTTACGATTCATGGGGGATGACAATGAGGCAAAGAACTATAACTACAGCCTTGAGGTAGGAGGAAATGGAAGAAAGTTGTGCTGGCAAGGAGTGCCAAGGAGCATCAGGGATAGCCATCGCAAGGTTCGTGACAGCTTTGATGGCCTCATTATCCAGAGAAATATGGCTCTTTTCTTTTCAGGCGGTGATAGGAAGGAATTAAAACTGAGGGTAACTGGTAGGATTTGGAAAGAACAGTGACTTAAGTTTTCTTGAAAGTCTTCCGTTAGAATTAGCTTCTCCTTGTAGTATCACTAGGAAAGTCTTCTGTTCGTGTATTTTCGTGTGTGTAAAATGGCAAACTCTCTTTGCTGGCTTATGCATCAAATACATGACTGAGACAATGTTATGTTGTTCATGTGAAAAGTGTTGAATCCTTATCTTTTTTTTGGCAAAATGTCAAATATGCTTCATTTTTGTGTGTGGATCGACATGAAAAACATATTTGGCAGGTCACAGGATAGTTCCTACTTTAGGGATGGCCTTATTGTTAAGCTAAGGTTTTTAGAAGATGAACATTGATGCGAGAAAGCCAAGATATTTTATTGATTTGCAGTCTATGTCAGTTGAGACTACAACAACAATTAAGCCTTAGTACTAAAATGATTTGGGGACTACTATAGTAGTTTTATTCCTTTGCTCCTAGCAGGTACTCCATACAATATTAGCAATGGTGATGGACCTGATGGTTGAAGAAAGTTGGAGTATAATTTGCACTATGCCCATCCTGCTTACATATAAATTTTATTTAACAGGTTTGCCAATCTTTGTGAAAATGCTAATTTATGATTGTTCTTTGTTTTCACAAATCTTTAAACAACTATGGTACATGGCGGTTGTTAACCACTATTTTTTTCCGGATAACGAGCAGGTTATTCTATAAATGAGTACACTAAATGAGTACAAAAATGGTTGAGGATCTAGGAGATGGAGGGATGGTTAGTTCCTCATCCCCCCATTCCTGTGATAGACGAGTGCGTCTGTTACACAAATACATGAAACAGGCAAGTAGGGTATTTGCCACTGTAAGACGATTGTGTTGCAGGGCATTTGCCACTGTAAAACGAGTGCGTTTGTTATACATGAAACTTTGTTGGTACGTACAACTTTTTAATACGTTGTACCAAAGCAACGGTTGCAATGCCAAAGATTTGAGTTGCACGACTCATTGGTTCCAAGCTTTAACTTCCAAGCAACATGCCAAATTGCCTACTTGCATGTTGCACTAATTATTTATGTTAGGGATCACTGAAATAGCATATTAAACAATGGGCAACAGACGAATTAATGCAGGGGTGCTTTGGCACTTGAATCAGTGATTCATTACATCTAGGATAGCCGGATTGGGCAAGGCAGCTGCAGGGGAAACATTCATTTACTAGTGTTAAAACATAAAATGCCAAATTTCATAAGCAATACAGCTCCTGTATTCCTAAAAATTTCCAACACTCAATAGTTGTGTGACTATAAAGTAAAATTTAAATTTTAATTTGACTTGTCTTAGTCATCTTTGACAACTAGTCTTTTAACCATTATACTTCCTCTGTTATTTTTAAGTTGATAAATGTCTTTTATCACATTTATTTGCGCACAAGTTCAATGATTAATATTTCTAATAAAACAAAAAAAAAAAAAAAAAAAAAAAAAAAAAAAGTATATAAAAAGTCGATAATAAAAATTTACATATAACAATTCTAACAAGACTCCATGTGACAAGTAAATATATCAACTAAAAAATAATGGGGTACTTTATATGGGATAGTTAGTTAAATGTGTACTCCGTATTACTTGTATATATGTGAATGTGATATTTCAAAACATACCTTTCCATGGCACCAATACTAAGCATTTGCATGGCTAAGCAAGCCCATTTATCTCTTTCCTTTCCTCCTTCCTCCACCTCATTTCCCGTCGTCTTTACACTCTTATTATTCTCATTACATTGCTTTTATTTACCACATTGCACAAGCATAAATGAGGAGAGTCACTTTGAAAACATTTATCTTAAAGATTGTGGATGCTCTAAGTGCTTTATTGTCTGGGTCTATAGAAATGCATCCTTGTAATCAAGTCCATAAAAAACTTGACCTTTTCGTGACAACACAACCAAAACTGACATGAATGCAAAGTACAAAGTTACTGCAAGACACAAGTTTGAGATGAGAAAAACACGAAACTAACCTGAACACGAACATTTTACATGATGTTTGATAGATTTTGTGAATTCTATGAGCACGAACAGGACCCATATACTCAAATTGCCCTCTAATTACAACAAGGCATCCAATCTGCATAATCACGGAGTAGTTTCTTACCCTAATTTTTTTTACAGATGGATCAACATAGCTATATTTTACCCATCAATTGAGATAAAACTGCAGTAGCCTGGATTATTAAACTTTTACTTTTTTGCAAACTCAAATATAGAGATATGTTGGGCGCAATTTGTCCAAGGCATTATGTAGCACTCAAGAATAATGGCTCAATACCATCATTCTAAAATACAAAGAGAATACAATAAATCAAGCCAGATCAAAAGCCTAACGGCCCTAGCTAGAATACATTTGAACCCTATAGTTGAATCATCGGTGTAATCTATTCAGGTCTTCCCTTGAACAAAGTTACAGGTTATTGGAAAAGTCAGGCCATCACAATGCAAAACTGAGAAAGTCCAAGCAGACTTGTTTGATTTATGTACATTTCGCCAAATATGCATTCCAACCTTGGACTCGGTATTCACGAGCAGCCTCTCCAGGATTTGCTGCTTTAATGATTCCACGACCAACAATTATCATGTCACTGCCTCTGTCATAGATAACCTGCAATAGTGTAGCCAATTTAATTCAAATATAAAGCAGCTTGGTAAACGGTATGCAACATGCATAGATTTCCATTTAGCAAGAATAGTCCTGCTTTCAGCATCTAAATTTGCATGTACTTTTAAAATCAGTATGACCTGAATTATTTTACCCATATCGAATTCTATAACTAATTTAGTGAATCAATACTACTTAAATGACTTTGAACAGGTACATCAACCTGGGTCCTACAACTATATATCAGAAGTATATATTGGAGTAACAGTTTAGCATTTCTGATGGTATTTGAACTATCTGTATTCTGTTCCCAGAAATATGGAGTAACAAGAAAGAATCATACTGAGTGTGGAGTGTTGTACTGTTGGCCAAGAGCATCACCACCAGAAACCATTTGAACTCCAGGTGTAGCATGAATTAGGGATGGATTCAAAGGTCCACATTTCCAAGATGCCGGATTAACCGAGATGAAACCTATGACAAAATCTGAGTGATCCTCGGCAATCTTTGCAGCTGCCGCTGTGTAATCTCCTGTTGCAAGATTACCAGCAGAGCTCATTTCAGCCAACAGCAAAAGGCCCCTACCACGAGGTAAACCCTGAAATTCAGCAGGGAAATGATTATTGACAAATGTTTATCAATTCAGAAAAGCTGAATGTTTTAAATGAATTAATCTGTAAAGCATACCTTCAATTTAAGACCATCCACAATCCCAGGGCCTGAGATGATGTGAGCATTAATTATGTCAGCCCAATCCAAGATGCGGTAGACACCTCTGAAACAAGCAAAGTGGTAAGCTCAGCAGAGTCGAGCGACAAGATGATAAACACTGTGAGATAGAGAAAAATGAACAAAATATGATCTCTTACCCTTCATACTGCATAGTTACGGTGTTGCCAATGTCAGCAAATTTGCGATCCTCAAAAATAAGGAAGTTGTGCTTGTCTGCAATCTGTCAAGTTCAGTTGCCAATGTGACAATACAGTTGCTTAAGAAACATATAATGACACACAGAATTCAAAATATATCTTTGAAAAAATTTAGCACTAGAAATATGGAAACCAGCATTGGAGAATCTTGGAGATGTAACCAAAGCAAATTAAAAATAAATAAAATAAAATAAAAGCAGGTTGTCTCTTTATCAACAGAAGCACCAAAAGCTTCAATATGTCAGACTACAAGAATCTAGAGGTCTATATGCACAGACATGCTGCCCAAAGAAATGTGGTTCACACCAACAAAGTCACATAAGTAGTTGACAGCAGAGTAAGCCGATTGATTTATCCAAAGTATATGGCAGCAAATCTGTAGAAAGGGGTTTGTTGGGGGTTGGGGGCGGCAAATTAAGATGAAGGATAAAGATATGATCATAACATACCGATCGAAGTTTTGAACCAAAGTCTGGGGTGAAATCAGGCAATATATCAACATGAGTCTTCAACAAACAGATTTCTGGTCCAACCTGCAACAAAGTGTGCAAACAGGTTAAGCCAAATCAAAATGTAATTACAGAAAAATGATTCAGAGCATGGCCTTTGACATTGCATACTAGGAAGAAATCAGCACCATTAAGTCTTGAAAAATAGAAGGAATGCAAGACAAGCATATCGGGAAATGCATGAAGTATAGTTGACATTTGCTAATGATTTAATGATACAACCACCATACACAAGTACTATAAGAAGGACCAGCATCTCCACTGACTTGAGTAAACCTTAGAAAGTTTTGGAGGTAAGCATCATGTATGCATGTCCTAAATAGGATACGGCTTCATGTTAATATACAAAACTAACTCAATGTCACACTTAGGTCCAACCTTCCAAAGAACAATGTTGCCCTTGCCCTATGTTGCTTCAACTCCAAAATTAAATTCAAGAACATATGCATGGACATTTGACACAGTGACACTTCAATTTGAACCAAAATAATGAAACTTTGCATCAAATTTCCGAGTGGTGGCAATATGACAAGTCCAAGTAAAATAGCCTGTTTCCACTAGGATATTTCAGCTAAGTTATTCAAGTTAGATTAGAAAAATCATGACATGTTAAGTTTTTTGCAAGGAGGGAAACCAATATGAAACGGTTCAGCACTTTCATCAGAGTTCTACAACAGAAAATCTTTATAAGTTTGAACTGCTAAGGACCAAGAAGAGAGGATAAATTTATCTGCCACCAAAAAAGATGTTTATCATACCGTCCAATGAGAAGAAACTAGGGTGCTAGCTCTAAAGTTTAATGTATGTAATAACAAGAAATAATCACCTTATCAGCCAGGTCAAGTAACTCAGCAGCTGTACCAACATCAGCGGCCAAGCACAAATTGGTCTCCTTCTTTACCATAATCTCAAACAATTTCCTACCAGTCTCATTCTTAGCTAACTTAGCCCTTTCCTCGTAACCCATCTTCGATCCTCCAACCTTCTCCTTCACCACACTTGGCACGGATACCTTCTTATTCTCCTCCAAGAACTTCAACACCATCTTCTCCGTTTCTTCCTCTACCTTACCCAACCTCCTCAAAACTCCAACCATCTCACTCAGCTTCAACAATGAATGCAATCTTATCCCGTTTTCGGCCAAATTTTCTCTTCCACCCTGTTCCCTGCAAAAGCAAAGTTACCAATATCCATCTACATCAGCCATTAACAAAATGTTCTCAAATTTAATAAAACATAGTATTAATTTCAAATTTTATCATCACTTCACATAAATACTAATCAAATCAATCCAGTAAAAATCAATAAACATTGGAAATCGAATCAGCTTTAAGGTCAATCACTATACATGACCCGGTAATTTCCATTATACATCCGGGTGTTACACATACAAAAGTTGAAGTGATATGTGGACTACGTAACTTCTATTATACGCCCAAGCGTACCATAAGTGAAAATCGATACTAAATCGCTCACCTATGCATTAAAATTGGGAATGTAATTAGCATTAAGGTATATCAATCCCTATTATATACTCGGCTGTACCATACAAGCTGTACAACAAGTTAAAATTTATCTATGCCGACAACGTTAAGTTCTATTATACACCCGAGTGTACCATATATTGAAATAAAAGGCGCTCACCTATCAATCAAAACAACAGCGTCAGTGACAACGAGACCAGAATCTCTCAAAGGAGCAGCAGTCTCAAGAACAGAAGCACCACTAGTCACAAGGTCTTCAATAATGAGGCAAGTTTGCGAAGCCTGAAAAACCCCTTCAATAAGTTTACCAGTACCATAAGCCTTAACCTCTTTCCGGCGCATAAGCATGGGGATATCATTAGAGACGGAGACGACGGTGGCGATGGGAAGCGCAGTGTAAGGAACGCCGCAGATGACATCGAATGTGGCCGGAGGAGAGGAGGCGGCGACGGCGGAGATTAGGGTTTGGGAGATTTGAGAGAGGAGTGAAGGGTATGATACGATTAAGCGAAGGTCAATGTAAACTGGGGAAGTTATGCCGGATTTGAGTTTGAAGTTGCCGAATTTGACGGCTGAAATTTCGTGAAGTTTGAGGATTAGGGACTCCATTGATGAGGAATTTGCCGCCATTGATGGTGGTGGAGTTGAGCAGAGGAAAGGGGAGAAATGGCGGAGTGAGAAATGGAGTGAAAGTGAATGTGAATATGTTCGTTTTAAGTGGGGAAGTGCGGCTGAAAGGAGATGATACGGAAAGTAGACGAGGGCTAGGGAGTGTACTAATCCACTAAAAGTCTAAAAGGCAAAATGGTTTTTAATTGGTTTAAGAGGACCCGTATATAACGAGTGTATTGTATTAAATAATAATCTGTATATGCAATCAATCACATTCGAATAAATAAGGTTGGGGGTTTAATTCCCATTAAAGACACTTTAAGGGCGGGGATCCCTTATCCTTCCCCCTCACTCTCAAAACATCTGACCTATAAATATTGAACTAAAAAAACCTTTAGGTTGAGGTATAGTTAGGGTCTTTCTTCTTACCTTTAAAAAGAAAAAAAAATTACATACGAATAAATGTTCTTAATTCTTGTTTGAGATTTATCAAAGTTCACAAGTCCTATGAGGTAGGTGTTTTCAAAATTGAAATCTACTAGAGCTTCTTCTAGCTAAAGGAAAGTTTATTGTTATATTAGTTGTTTAGCTAGTGATGGCGTGTTAATCATTCACTTTTATGTGCTATTTTTGTGTGTTATTTGTTGTGCTCCCTCCAAAGCTTTAGCCATTATAGAGTGATTATTCTTAATATATCGATGTTGCTCTCCTCATATTCTTCTTTCTTTGAAAGATTATTACTTTTGCATAAAAGCTAGGCTTGGCAAGGCGAGTCGAATTAGATGTGTTATTAATTTACCAAACAACGGATACATTGATAATTTTGATGCAAGAGTTTTATAACAAGCTAAGCATTTGTATGTGTATTGACTATTGAGCAATGAAGTCAAGGACAAGCGTGGTAGTGTCAAATTTGTCAAATTCACCGTGGGCTTTTTATGTTATGCTACCCAAGCTCGAGATGTGTCCTCATGGGCATCAAAAATAGCAGCAAGGAGAGCCTTTTGGCTAGTTGCACTTGTAGCCCTCGGCCGTTGTGGGTTGGTTGTGGCTAACTTCCTCTAGACTCAGAGTAATCATCAAGACAACAAACACCACGGCTAGACCATGGCTTGGCTGCATTTTGGATTAATTTTCGCTAAATTCAAAGACTTCCAATACTACGCCCTTCATATCTAATTACTTGTCCCATTTCTCCGGACACGGAGTTTTAGCAGGGATAATAAAAAGTATTATTTGATGATGGAAGTGAGGTTAGTTGAAGAATAAAAAATCTAAAAAAAAGCAAAAGTGAGTATAAGTGGGGAAGAGAGAGAATATGAAAAATATTAAAATATAATACTTCATCTGTTTCTTAAATATTGCACCAATTGCCTTTTAAGAATGTTTCACAAATATTACACCATATCCATTTTAGGAAAGAAAATATTTGTGTTCACACTACATATACCATATATACCCTTACCTTTAAACACTTGATTATTTAGTTTATGTTCACAATCACATGGGTAATTTTGTACATTTACCTTTCTCTCTCCTCCTTTTTCCCACTACTAAAAGTTTTGTGTCTAACTCTTATGGTGCAATATTAAAATAACGGAGGAAGTATGAGAGAACCTCTAATGGGGAGAAAAATAGTAAAATATTGTTAATAAAAAAAATGGATCAAGTAATAACATACTGTCGAAAAAGAAAAGTGGAGCTAATTATATTAACTTGTACTAAAGTAAATCAAATACATGTAGATGTTGAAGAACCTTTATTGTTGATTGACATCTACATCAATTAGGAAACATTGATTTAGTTGATTTGATATCTCCTTGATTTGCTCTTCAAATAAAGGGACGTGATTGTGCTTGTCACCCAAGTAAACATTCATCACGCGTCATCACAGGGTCCAACCTTAGAAGGGAAGTTGACGAGCTCAGAAGGGCAATTGAGTTCATACTGTCAATACTCGGTTTGGACCATTACGCAATTATGTTTCCGCTAATAAAAAAATTCATTTCCTGAAATAGTTTTGCTTGATTCTGCAGTGTTGATTGATTTTAAGGTCTTTAATTGATTCAGTTGAGTCCTTGATTTGTTCAATCAAATCCTTGATCAATGAGTTGGGATTTTGTTAAATATTATTTGGTATCTTTGACCATGCATCTTTCCCTACTTAACTCTTTTCCTTATTTTGTTTAAGTGAAGTCAGATTTCATATTCTTTAATTGATTATTTTGCCTCTTTTCCAAATTCGTGGGTTGATAAGAATCCTTATCCAGTAGTCATATACTGACTCTTAAAATTATGTTAAGATCAACTCAACTAAAAAGTTAAATTGATGGTTGAACCCCAATATTACCCTTTATATCCTATCGACTACAATTAATACAAGTAGTATAAAATCTCACTTTCATTTCCACCCTAAACCTTATTTGTGCACTTGTGCATACCTAACTATTGAAATTAAAGGAAGCTGAGTCGTACTTTGTGTGATCTTGATATTTTGGACGGTTGGCGTGGACGTGACTTGATAAGTTGACAGTAAGGTAAGTGGCAGAGGAGTGGCAAACCAACACTAATGCCTCTCCTCTTGCATTAGACTATCAAATAATTCGTCTTAGTTTTTATTGCTTAAGTAGCAATTTTCTTATATTATTGTTAATGTTGTATTTAAATAAGTTTTAATCATTTTTGTGGGTACGAAAGTTTATTTCATTGACTTGCAAACACACCACTTTTCTAGATTACCGCCTAGATTGCATCAAAACCACGAGGATACCTCACGCGCCTATATACAATTTTGGGCGATGCAATCCCAATAATGTTGGAAAATAAAGAATTGCTAGCAATAAGGGTTAAATGCCTAATTACATGCTAATCATGGGACTGCAGAACAAATGGTAGCTTGCAAATTGTTGTAGAATAATTAAGCTACATACTTGGTGAATTCAAATATACAGAGTAGCGAGTCCAACTCACGGCTTGATTGATAAACAGTTTTGAAATGAAAGTGGATTAAAGGTGGAAAGTCAGGATATTAACTGCAAATAAAGTTAAAGAATAACCTTTATGAGAAACTTTTGCGTGAGACCAGACTCACCGTGAGTCCAATATATCTGATATTAATAATCTAATGTCAGATATTATGAATGTTAGATATTAGATTATTAATGTCAGATATATTGGACTCACCGTGAGTACGACTCACCCAATTTTTTTTCGAACTTTTATTTACTAAATAGACATTTGTTTTAGAAATAAAAATCTTTATACGATTTGTCAAATGTGCTTAAACTGTTACTTTAGTAAAAGTTTTTAAAGTGTATTTATTTTTCTTATGTACATGAAAAAGCCTTCTCCAAATCCATTAAGCTAACAAAAAAAAAATATGGGAAGTTTCACATCACAAGATATGAAAAAGATAACTAATCTTTATGAATTTTCCTAATTTTGTTTGGTTGTAAGTTTGAATTTGCAAGTGTGATGACATGAGTTGCCTCTTACGTACAAAAACCTTTAGGTTGTGTTTGGAAACAAGGAATTCATTTCAAATAACTGAATTGAATTTCTGGAATTAAAATGATGGATTTTAAATTCTAAATTTTTGTTTGGGAAACATAAGAATTTTAAGTATAGAAATTCAAATTATATGGGTAATCAATAATGTTGTCGCAACACTACTCAATCGTCCATGCAAAAGATCCAGAGCAAACCTGCAACTCTAAATTAAATTGCTAATGATGATTCAAAAAAAAAAAAAAAACCTTATAATTGTTTAAATATGCATGAAATAAACCCTTCATTACCGATTCATAGCAATTGGGCGAAGATACCGTTAATTAAGATCGAATTCGTTAAAAAAAATAAAATAAAAAAATAAAAAAGAAAAGAAATACAAATGATTGAACGTCTCAATTTCTCATTTATCTAAATTAATCAAATTGCGAAGAAAAATGATAAAGATAATAAAATGGCATACAGGTTTCAAGGAGGAAATGAAGGAGTGTAAAGTTAAGCTTGCTTAAGCCTTTAATGGTGACTGAGAGGAAGAGAGAGAGTTGGGGAGAGCAAATTTTGGATTTGAAATGACTACCTCTGGGAATGGATTTCAAATCCTATGGGCTAAACATAAAATGGTAAAGGCTAGAATTTGAATCAAATCCAAATGAAAATACTTGGTATTCCCAAACATATGAATTAGGCTAAACCCATCATTTCAAATGAAATGTTCAATACCAAACAGACCATTAATTCATTTACCACCTCGCACGTATGTAAGAATGTGTTTTTTTTTAACTTTCCCTTAAAAAAAAAAAAAAAAAAGGTGTTTTTTAACTCAACCTCCCCTTTGGAAAGCAAATAGCTCACCAACTAATCTATACAATTTCCTTGTTTCAACACATTAACCTACTATCTTGTATTTATATGATCATTGATTTTTTTTTTTTTCTTTTGATAAAAGAGCGATCATGTATGGATCTACAATAATGATGAGTAATTTCAAAGTTACAAAAATAGCATATCATTAATTATGTCTACTGAATTTTTCCAATTTCCATACCTACACGGCTACACATTAACAAATCTACTTAATTTCACTTGCATAAAACTCTATGCACAAGCTATTAATGTACTTAAATATGAGAGAATAATATGCAACTTTTAAAAAAGAAGTATGGTATACTTAAAAAATCAAGGCTTTTTTTTTTTGGAAAAAGATATATGCAGCCCTTATAATCCCTTAGAACTGCATATAAGAAGCTAAAAGTGGAAAGAATAAACAATAAATAAACAATTATTACACCGATTTACTCGTGAATTGTCGATAAATTCCCAACTTACTACTCCCTCCGTCCCTTAATTAGATGCCTAGCTACTTCTAAAATTACTCTGGAATTAAGGAACTCGGAGTATCCTTAAAACCCATGATTGAAAAGTACAAAGGGAATAAAAAGACATTTATTGCTGTCTTTGAATAAAACAAAACAGAATGAAATTAAATGCTTGCACATGTCAGCAATCCGTTAAGAAAAAAAAGGACCAATGGCATTTGTTTATGAAAAATAAAAGGACCAATCAAATTCATTTAATATGCTGCACATGGATTGCAATTGTTCAAATGGGGGAATGACGAGGAGAGAGAATAAAATATTTTTGGACAACCATTAAATGCCAAAAGTAAAAGTAAATAAAATAGTCCACATCACACTAATTTGGAGTCAATTTGGGGAATAAATTTGGAGAATAAGGATAATTTGGTAAAAAATCACTTACTATAAAAGGAAATAGACATCTTATTTTGAAATTCTTAAAAAGGAAACTAGACTTCTAATTAAGGGATGGAGGGAGTACTAAAAAGGATGTACATTAAATGTTTATATGCAACAGCATTACTTTTCTTTTTTCCTAAAATAAATGAAAAAAGATGAGCACAATGAAACCTAGTGCATTTTTTTTCTAACCCATTTTTTTTTACATGCGAAGACCCGAAAACATTACCTAGCCAACGATTTTTATTGAAGTAGTGTAAAGTACTTTCTCCGTTTCGTTTTAGTTGATACGTTTCTTTAGTCACCTCTATCAATGCACAAATTTAACCATTAATATTTTTACCGATAAGCAAAAATTATGAAAAGCTGATAATTTGAGAATATATATCCTGACGAATCTAATAAAATTTTATCTGACTATATTTTTTTATTTGTATGAATCACATAACTCGGTCAAAGGAAGTGTGTGAATAACGCTAAATCAAAACGTGTCAACCAAATAAACAGAGGTAATACTCCCTCCGTCCCATAATATAGTTCCTATTTTCCTATTTTAGAAACCCAAAATGTTGTTCCTGTTTCTATTTTTGGATAGTATATAAAAACCATTATACCCTCATTTTTTTTTACTTTATTAATTGAACTTTCTAATTTACCCTTAAATTATCCACTTGCATTGTACTTTTTCCCACTTTCTCTCTCTAATTTTTGTCTATAATTGTACTTTTCACTTTTTTCTCCTTAAATTATCCACTTGCTTTGTACTTTTATCTAACTTTTGTCTAGCTTTTTTCCATTTTTAATGTACTTTTTTCACTTCTCCTCCCATTTCTTAAATACTGTGAAAAAAACATAGTAGGAATTATATTATGAGACGGAGGGAGTATAAAACAAATATTTGGCAAACGGCATAAGTTAGACACGCGCCATGAGGGAGAGGACGAGAGGCTAGGGAACAAATATAGTACAATTATCCAAAAGCAGAACAAACAAAATCCTCCAATTAAAATCATCAAAAAATAAAAGTAAATGTAAAATTTCTCTTCAAGTCCTCTTTTGTTTTAATAACTTTAATTAACTTTTTATTACTAATTGATTTTTAAAAATGTCTAAAAACGTAACCTCAAATTCCAGCAAAATTCCTTTGCCTTATAGTAGTGGTTAATGGTTTTCCCCTGTTAGTTGAAAATTAAATACTCATAAAGAAATATTCCACCAACAATTAAAAATCAAATTATTGCTCATAAAAATTCCTAAATATTAAAATCCAGCAAAAAAGCCTAACAACAGATTACCCAATTCATCTACCTAGATTCCCATATCTTTGCTACAAATTTTTTTCTTTCTCCATGCATTCTCTTAATCTTCATTACATTGCTACAATTCCATACAAAATTCTTGATTTTTCTGAAAAAATTGCATTAATTTTACGAATTCATATTGTAAGTGTAATTTTCTTTGGTTTTTATTATGTGGGTAATTGCAATATTTGTTGTTTTTTGATAATTTGATTCTGGGTATTTTTTTTTGGAATGATTTTTTTTTTTTAATTTTTTTTTTTAATTATCTAAATATGCAGATTAAGGAGCCTTAAAAATGGCGGTTTTTTAATGGCTAAACAAATTTTCATGATTTCGTTTTGTGGTCAAGTGAGGCTAGAGATGAGGACACAACAAGAAAATGTAGATACAATAACTCATGTTCGAGGTAATTTCTCGTAAATTTTCGGTTTTTTTTTCTCTTTTTTTTTTTTTTTTTTTTTTTTTTTTTTTTTTTGGTACTAACAATTTACATTATGGTAGATCAATTTTATATTGTCCCCTTTTATTATCTATAAGCTATCATACCGTCTTTTATAAGAATTTGCGTGCAATTTTTAGCATTATGGTTACATGTATTCGTGTCGAGAAACTTGAAATTTCTCGTTATCTATATTTTTTTAGCATTAAGGTGCTGCATTATTACATTGTGGTGGCCTAACTTTTGTATAATACCAAAGTTAAGTGAAATTCAGATTCTGAGGAATTTCAAACGCCGTATTTTTTTTTTTGTTTATGTAAGGTAGTTATGTTTGCTAAATAGGATAAACAATGAAGGACAAATTGTTTAATCATGTATTTTAGTATAATGGAGGTAATAAATTTTTGAAACTTAGGTTCAGAATCATGTTCTTGATATTGTACATGTTTGCTTTTTGTAATTTGTTAGCAAAATTAAAGTCATTTCTTTGTCTTTGGTTACCTTTTGGTGGATTTGTTGCTATTCTTTTATTTGAATCCAGTCTTGGATATACTTTCGCCGTAATTCTTTGGGGTTAAACCACCTTTATTTTTTTGTACATGTTGCAGTACTAAAACTTCTGACTTCTGCTGATCTATAGTTTTGTAGAAGTAACGATATTGATCCTAGCTTGACTACCATTGCTGTGTGATTTAGACCTGCATGAGATTGGTGTTTAGTTCCTTTTTTTTTGTTGGGGGGAGGTGGTGATGGCCGCATTTACCCACTTATGCCATAAGTGTTGTGGGATTGTTGTATTCTCAGGAACTTGCTATTTTCCCATTGAACATAAGTCAAACAGCTAGTCAGCTCTTTGAATTACAAGTTCTTGCATACAATTTGCCTGGAAATTTTTATCACTCGGTCATCTGTCAAATAATTCTACTACCATTAAGTGGCTGCAATTTACCATGATGATTGATGGAAACTTAGTTTTTTTTTTTTTTTTTGTGGTAGTGTTCTTTAGCTGTAAGATGTTAGTGCACTCAAGGCTTATTCTAATGATGCATACAGGTACCTCTCTTTACGAACTTTTACAGGCAGAAAGACTACAGGCAGAACAAGAACAGGCAGAAAGACTACAATTAGAACAAGAACATGCAGAAGAAATGCAATTAGAACAACCGCATACAGACAGAAAACAGTCAAAACCAAAAAAGAAAGAAAGAAGAGAATCAAACCAAGAACAGGTAGAAAATCTACAATCAGATCAAGAGCAGACAGAAAGACTACAATCAGATCAAGAGCAGACAGAAAGAATACAATCAGAAAACGAGCAGGCAGACAAGCAATTTTCTGAAAATCAACACTCTGGAAAAGCACCAACAGATAAACATTGTAAAAGCAACAAATCAAAAAGAGAAAAGCATGGTACTTTAAAATTTATGCTGAAAATCAATTTCTCTATATGATGCTACTACGTTAGTTTCTTAACTTGGTTCACCTTGTTGAAACAATATACTGTCATTGTTCGCATTTAAATTCTCATTTGCTAGTTCTTGAAGTAATTGTCATGGGAAAGATTATAATTGTTTTTAACAATTAACATTTAAAGTTGCTTGGCATGTTTGTTTATGCCATTTGCATCTTGAGTATGATCATTCACCGTAAACTTCCAGCTAATTTTGCTGAAATAATTTCTTGCTGAGATCTAAATGATTGTTGCACATATCTTGTCTCGCAGCATCCTTTAACTTAGAGATTCCTCTTTCAATTAAACATCTAGATTGTTAAATTATAGTAGTGTATTTCTTGCTAAATTTAAAGAAACAAATCATACACTTTTGAAACATCTTAGGATGATCGGATGTGCTACAAAGTCAAAATAAGTGCACTAAATGCTGATAAAGCACTAACCCTGCCTCATTTTCCACTTGAAGTGTCCCAGAACAAATCTAAGGTAGTCAATCATATAGTTAATTATAAAATAACAAACTTTTGTCTATGCATTAAACAGGAAATATTTAATGAGAATCTACAAGCTGGATATCCTAGATTCCGTTTTCCAAATTGGAACTTGCATCATTGTAATGACTCATTGAAAAGATACTGAATATCAACAATTTCCCCTAAAATTTCCATTAAGAAAGAACACATCTTTTATTTTGCATGTTATTCTCATCTATAAATCTTACATTGTTTTGCAGCTTCAGGCCCTCAAAAGAAGCTAGAGCTACTGCTATCTCACTGTGGAAATAGAGAATGTGCAGACTGTGGCACCCCAGAACCAAAATGGGTGTAAGTAATTGTAAATGAACATTTTGTTCCCATTGTTAGATAGTTGGTAGTGTTCCATTTACATATTAAAATAAAATCTTTGGTTAAGCTTTTGATATAAAGCTAATAGATTATTCATGTATATTGTTTTAGCTCTTTTGTCAGGTAGTTAGTTTTATCTCTGACATGAGAGGTACTCTCGATTTACTTTGCTGAAATGAAGACATGAAGTAAAAGCATATGTAAACATTAGAAAGCAACGGGTATATGAAATGATTTGTGTTGTGCTGTGATTTTCAGGTCTATGGGTGTTGGCGTATTCATCTGTATCAAGTGCTCTGGTATTCACAGAAGCCTTGGAGTACATATAACACAGGTATGGTACAAAATATTTATATATACCATATAACATAATTTCATAATTGGATATACTGCATATTCATATGGATTACCCAATAAGGTGGTTATTTTCAAGAGCTGAACTGTATACAATTTTCTTGATAGGCAGGAAACATTGAACCTACATAATATTTGTGAAGTTGATGAGAACTGTATGTCACAACTAGGAGTGTGCTTTACTAATTTGTGCCTTTTCCTTTTGCTTACTTTTCTATATAGTTGTGAAAAATTTCAGTGATATGCTTTTGAAGGTAAAAATACACTTGAGAGGATTGTGCTTAGTGATTAGAGCTGTATGTATCCACATTTTTTAATAGTGATTTGAGCCAACAAAATTGAACAGAAAAAGGGTAAGTGTTGCTAATGGAGGTGTTTTTCATATTTTCATGGGGCTTTTCCAGGGAACATGTAAATTCTCGACAAATTTCATTGCTTTTTCCATAATGTACTACCTTAAAGATAGACGATTATTAATCTGAATAACTATGAAAATAAAAGAGGCAAAATAGCTGATGCCTCGAGAAGTCACATCTTGCTATTGGGGAAGCTTGTTACTGCACAATATCTGACTTACCTCACAACATCAGCTCCTATTGTAATAATTATAGCATAATTTAGGAATATCAACATCTTTTTTTGAAGAGGGGATCGTGATGAAGAATGTCTGTATTACAGGTTTTATCAGTGAAGCTTGATGATTGGACAGAGGACCAAGTAGATGCCCTAGAAGAAATGGGAGGAAATATAGTAGCCAACAAAAAGTATGAAGCCTGCATACCTGGAAACATATTGAAACCAAAACCAGATTCTGCTATAGAGGAGCGCTCTGATTTTATCAGGTATTGTACAGTCCTATGCCTCGTAATTAGAGCTGTTAATTCGGGTAAACGGGCCGGGTTAGTGTGGGTAAGGTCAACTCGGGTCGGGTCAATTCGGGTTAATGTCGTAACCGATGCGGGTCGGGTTCGGTTTGGGTCATGCTTGAGTCAGGTCACGTCGGGTCATACATCTTATCGGGTTTGGGTCAGGTTTAGGTCGGGTCAATAACAGGGTTACATTCGGGTCGGGTGAATAATAGGTCGGGTTTAATTCAGGTTTTAATGGGTTAAAAGGAGTTAGGGTCATTCTTGGGTTCGAGTCGGGTTCGGTTCAAGTCAATAATTTGCGGGTTGGGTCATTTCCAAGTCGGGTCATATTTGGGTTCGGGTCTTAAATATTGGGCTAATTTGGGTCTCGGGTTGATTTCAGCGTCATATCGGGTTCGGGTACATTTTTCGGGACGGTTTGTTAACAGTTCATGTATTGACGTTCACTAAGCCAATAAATTTCAAGGCATTAACCTAAGTTATTATTTGTTCTAATTATTATTTAGCTAGTAAAAATGATTCGATCTTGATTCTTAGGTATCTCTTCCAAATCGAGCAAGGTCAAAATGATTAGAAAAAAATTATGTAAAATAGTCAAGCAAATTGAGGGAGAGCAAATAATATTCTAAGTTATTATTAGAATTAGACCCAAAAAGACTACATCGATCTATGGCTATAATTGATTTTAGAATGATAATAGACAAGCCTATGCGGTTATAATATAATCTGGCTCTTAATGAAAGATTGAGGGAAAATTTTCCTTGCTTATCATTAAGAGAATAACCGCATGTATACAATGTACATGCCTTCGTCAATCATCATAGGCTAAACTCTAGCTAACTATATGCAGATAATTATCAACCTAATTATCTCCTTTGACTATATAACAATATATACGGCAATATACTAGGAAACTATAGCCTATAATTGAACTTCGGGTCATGCTTGAGTCAGATCACGTCGGGTCATACATCTTATCGGGTTTGGTCGAGTTTAGTTCGGGTTACATTCGGGTTGGGTGAATAATAGGTCGGTTTAATTCGGGTTTTAACAGTTTAAAAGGAGTTAGGGTCATTCTCGGGTTCGAGTCGGGTTTGGTTCAGGTCAATAATTTACAGGTTAGGTTCGGTTCATGTTCGGGTTCGGGTCTCAAATACTCGGGTTAATTCGAGTCTAGGGTTGGTTTTAGGTCGGATCACCATTTTTTCGGGTTCAAACAGGTCGATTCGGGTTCGGGTAAATTTTTCGGGTCGGGTTAGCTTTTGATAGCTCTACTCGTAATGCTTTTTCTACATGCAGAAATTTGGCACGCTATTTTTTTTCTTAAATTTTATTTTTGGGCTTGTTTAGGAGGAAGTATGAGCTACAACAGTTTATAAATTCAGATGAATGTCTGATGTGTCCATATCCACGTCCTACATGTTCATCAACCTATAGAAGTCCGTCAGCCTATCGAACTTCATCAAGCAAGAATCTAATGTTATCACTCGATAAGAAACACATAGAGAAACAAGTAAGTAGCCTTCGCATTACAGGAATTGGGCATGCGTTCCGTGGTAGCCGCCATAGCTCGAAAAGAAAAGACGAGCACAAAAGTTCTAAAAACTGTGATTTGATGGTAAGTCTATATTTCATGCAATATATGGAGTACAATTTTATTTTCTTTTTACTTCATAAATCTATTTTCAGCATTATTTTCATGAATATTTTTCATCTTAGAAATAACAATTCTTCTACTTTCAACCCTTTAATTTATTAGAAACTTTGGGTTTTTAGTCCTCTGTTACCGAGCTTGTTCTTTCGTCTGTCATTACATTTCATGTCATGACCCATGTTTTCAGTGGCGGACCCAGGAGTTTCCGACTGGTGAGTCACAATCGATAACCAAATATGTAAAAAAAAATTTGACAACATGACAAGCTTAGCTCTCTAATAATTGACAAGATTAAAATCTTTACAAGCATTGGGGTGTATTGACAATTTGACAGACATAATTGACTATATCATTAGGGTGGGTCGACTATATCATAAGCAATCGTCCGAATCGCCAATCAAATCAGCACATATGCAAAACCCCATATAAATCTACCAAAGCCAATGGTGTATTGACAATTTGACAGACATAATTGACATCAATAAACACCCTAAATAAACACTGACTACAATTCACATGGTCAAAAAGGTTCAAATTTCACCAAAATCCCAACAACATTAACAAAAGGTTCAAAGTTTACCAAACAAACAACAACAAAATCAACAAAAGAAAATAATTTTTTTTTTTTTTTTTTATTAAAAAAAAAAAAACTTAGAAATTTTGTTTGGGCCTGGTGAGTCATTTGACTCACCATGCACAAGGCCAGGTCCGCCAATGCATGCTTTAATTTTACTTATTGGGTCCTAAAGAGCAGTCTATTTTCTTGTATTTGATTTTTCTTATTGCAGCCAGGTATGACTGAATTTGTTGGACTGATTAAAGTAAATGTGGTCAGAGGCACGAACCTTGCTATCCGAGATATGGTATCTAGTGATCCATATGTCATCCTCTGTCTGGGACAACAAGTAAGAATCTTCCTCTTGTGACTTTGTGAGCTCTCCTGGTATATTTCTGGCTCTTGCTTTTATATTAAACTTGGTCTTGATGACTCTCCTTGCAGTCAGTGAAGACTCGTATTATAAAGAACAACCTGAATCCAGTCTGGAATGAAAAGCTGATGCTGTCAATTCCTGACTGTTTGCCACCCTTAAAGTTGGTGAGTTTTTTTGTTGAGGAACTACAATGATCAAAACTTAAAGTACGAAAACTTACAGCACAGATACTGTAACTTGTCTGCTCATAGCATCTTACTCTGTGTTACGGAGTATATTATCTCTACGCAGTTTCACCTTCAAGGATCCAATTTCTTTTTTGAGTTTGAATGCATATTGCGTTGATAGAATAAATGTTCACCCATTGTTGCACTCTCATAAAGTTGAACCTTTTTTTTTCCACAGCAATTATTTAATCTTTGTGTTTTTCCCTTGGTTCTTCTACTTTCAAAAACTTAGGCCCTAGTGTAAATTTGCAGCTTGTGTATGACAAGGACACCTTCACCACGGATGATTTTATGGGCCAAGCTGAAATTGACATCCAACCCTTGGTCTCTGCTGCGAGGGATTTGGAGAAGTCAACACAAAATGGAGCAACCCAGCTTGGGACATGGGTTGCAAGCGAAGATAACACCCTTCTAAATGACAGCATTATCTCCCTTGTAGATGGGCAAATAAAGCAGCAATTGTCTATCAAACTGCAGAATGTAGAAAGAGGAGTCCTAGACCTTGAGCTCGAATGTGTTCCACTCTCTCAATAGTAGGGGATCTTGAAGTAGACTTGTGATGAATCCACACTGTTTGTTAGGATTTTGTTTACGGAAGAATAGGTTTAACCAACAACCAACCCCCCCCGGGAAAAAGTTGATGGGGGGAAAACGGGGTCATTTAAACCCCTTAAATGCATGTGTAGAAGCTTGTGTTGTATTTTTTCTGTACAGGATAGTTAGCTTTGAGCTTACCAGAAAAGAAATGTAAATCCCTCTTTACTTTTTGTCTTTGTTATTAAGTATATAACATTGTTGTTTAGAAGCTACAAACATTGATGTAATAGTAACCATGAAGTGTACATTCATTTAAAATTGAAACTCAGCTAGAATCTTATGATCTTATCTCTCTGTTACATTCTAATGCAGCAGCACTGAAGCACTAAGGCTACTCAATACACAAAAATTTCTAAACCAGACATGGACTAGTTTTAAAGGTTTTGGTTGACTGAACTAATTGGCAAACTTATTAAAAACAAGAAGCTTGTGGTTTAGCTGATCTTGAATTTGTCATACATCCCATAAATTATAAGAATAAGTTCTAGTTTGATCCAAATATATAATTATACGAAATATCCACACTTTTTTTTTTTGGTGCAAAATTATCCACACTTCTTGATTCAACATTGCAAATATTTAAACTTGAAAAGCTTGTAACTTTAATTAGATGATGATTAAATACATTATGTATTGCCCTCGTTTATGAAAGTCCGACTCACTTACTAATCATGTGGTCAAAATAAATTAATTTGTAGCACATTTTATGACATATACAATTGAAAAATTAGCATGTGGGATCTTATCAGATTCTCCTTATTATAAATTTTCTAACTATCAATTTATTTATTATTTTCACTCATATATAACTAAAGATATTCATGGTAAAAAAAATTCATTGAAAATTATGCATATGCAAAGTAAGAGCAGACCCAGCCGACCAGCTGTTCACCACAATGCTTGGTTATTGAGAGAGAGAAAGTGGAAAAATAATTAAAAAAAATGAGAGGGAAAATTTTGCGGAATAAAACTAGTAATCACTAACCAGGTTACACCAATAACCAGTTACAACATTTGGTTATAGATTAAACTAATACCCACTTTTTGCTTTATATATTTGTCCTTTGTGACGTGGCAGATGAAGGGTGTGAGCCGTTGTAATTTTGTAACGGCCATAATTTTTAAAATACAATTCTAAAAAAAAAAGTACCAAGTGCTCTATTTTATTTTCCTCTATAAAATGAGCTCAATATTGAGGTATTTTGAAACAATTTTTATGAAATTGAATATTACTCTCTTGTAAATCAAATTGTATAGAGATGAACATTCCAAAATCCAATAGAAAAAAAACCCCACAAAATCTCAAAACTCATCACAACCTCAAAATAATCCAAATCTTCAACCTTACTATTCTAACCTTCTAATTGATCTCAACTCAAATTAGATACAAATTTTTAACAATTTTCTAATCTTGCTAAATTTCTAATTTTTTGTTTTATGTACAAAGGTCTGGTTTTTAGTTTGGCAATTTTTAAAGTATTGTTGATTTAGGATATTAATGAATGTTGTATTGTAATGTCTTTATTAATTAAAAGTAAGTTAATTACATGTCCCGTCTTAAAATCGTATTATACACTTAATAATATTATTTAGTACATTAAATTATTTGTTTTTTTTTTGGGTAAATAAGGATTTTATTACCAAAGAACGAAGAGGACTACAACTTACAAGTGTAGTTAAGTTGAAATCAACTAGAAAGCATGAAAACAAAACAACAAAGACTCCAAACCACCACAAGACTCCAAAGAGCCAAACAACCCCAATTAGGGAGAGAGCCCCTAGGCCACCTTCTAGGAAGGGTTCCAAAGAAGCGCCGCACCCCCCCCCCAAAAAAAAAAAACCAGACCTGGAAAGTCCAGCCTAGTGCCACCTTCTAGGAAGGGTTCACAAGGAGGGCAAACCAGAGAGAGACAACAAGCCTAAACAATAGGAACAACACCAAAACAACACCAAAATTACAAAATTAGCAACTGTCTATCACTGCTAGAGCATCTACAAGCAACTGAGAATATGATATCCCTGAACACAACATCAGTAGGCTTCAAGGTTCCTGTAAAAATTACAGCATTTCTTTGTAGCCAAATGTGGTAGACTGATTCAGCAAAGCACATAGCCATCAACCGGTTTTTAGCTCTAGTCTTCCTACATTCTTTCAGGATCCACTCCATTTCAACATCAAAATCACCAATAGCTCTCTGATCTCCAAACAACCTCAAAACTTGAGACCAAACATATCTATTGTAAGCACAATCAAAAAACAGATGTTGAACAGTTTTTAAGCTTTGATTGCACAAAAAACAGACAGGATCACACTGCACACTCCATTTTTGAAGCCTGTCTTTAGTCATTAGCCTGTTTCTGACAGCAAGCTAGGTAATAAACAGGCTTTTAGGAGAAGCCATGTTGTTACAGATGATTCTCCTCCAAGGAACCTTAGGAGCTTGAGTCATAATGACCTTATACACTTTCTTTATCTTGAGCTTACTCCCTTGAACTACACTGCCCCAATTACCAATATTATCAATTACACTCATGCATTTCAAGATCTTTTTAAGCACCTAGGAGCATCTCTGAGGAACAGGCATATCCCACCAAGGCTTGTTTTTGAAATAATACATTAAACTCTATATGTATTAACAAACAATTATTATTGATCTAACTAAACCTATCAATTCGGTTTGATATACCACTACAAAAGATGTACATTGATTTACATTACACTGAAAAAGCATTGATGTACCCAACACTGAAAAACAAATAAAATACTAGACACTGATGTACTTAACACTGAAAAATTAATAGTGAAAAATACTCATACACTGTTGTACTTAACACTGAAAAGGTAATAGTAACATTACTAAACTTTGATGTACATAACAATGCTAAGGCGATAATGAAAATACAAATGTATGCATGTACATTACTGAAAAATCATCAACTACTTTCTGAATCAATGTATGCAAGACTTAAAATTTATCACATAAGACAATAAAGATGACTCGATACTATAAACATTTGGTCTATAAGATGGATGAGATGCATTTCACTTAATCAACCATCCATTTTTTCTTCTAAAAAAACTCTACCTTCCATTATCATATACCTTGGTTTTAAAAACTTGTCATTTGACAAAAGCTCCAACTCTTCTAATTCCTCTTCCAATTCAGAAAATAGCCAAACCCAACAATATGAAAGACGAAGGCAAGCCAATCATCTCGTTGATCGATTGATGGATGAAGTTCTTATGTCCAATCCAATTGAAGTGTATCGAATGTTAAATCAAGTTCCAAGGGAACCAAGGATCCCCGTTTAAAGGGATCGTAAGGATGGACACAATCGTTTATAAAATGACCACTTTGCTGACCTTCCACAGTTATTTCATCGGAGATTTCGCATGAACAAACATATCTTTCTCCGTATAAATCAAACTCTAGAAGAACGTCATCCCTTCTTTCAGCAAAGACAATGCAAGATGCTACAGGAAAATTTGGTGCCCCTGACCTGCATTGCAAAAATGCACAGCTGCTTTCATAGCTTATGGCACCTCTGCTGATTCCGTGGATGACTACATTCGAATTAGTGCATCTCTTGCAAGAGATTCCCTACAATATTTTGTGGAAGGAATTGTCTCTTACTTTAGTGATGAATACCTCAGAAAGCCCAATGAAGAAGATCTGGTAAGACTACTAAAAATTGGTGAACGTCGATGATTTCCAGGCATGTTAGATTCTATTGATTGCATACATTGGCGGTGGAAAAATTGTCCACTTCGATTACAAGGTATGTTTTCTAGAAGACCAGGTAAACCCATGTTAATCTTGGAAGCCGTGGCATCATATGATCTTTGGATCTGACATGGTTTTTTCAGGACACCAGGTAGTCGTAATGATAGCGTGTACCATTATCTCACTGGTGGTATATATCCTAAATGGGCTGCATTCATTCCTACAATTTCACTACCACAAAATGAAAAATGGTCTTTTTGCCAAAGTACAAGAAGCTACATGAAAGGATATTGAGCGTGATCTTGGAGTACTACAAGCTCGTTTTGCAATAATACGGAATCCTGCATTAGCTCGTGACGTATCAATGTTAGGAAAAAGAATGATAGCGTGTATCATTATGCACAATATAATCGTTGAGGATGAAAGAGATACATATAAACGTATTACGATCCAAATGAATATGATCAAGCTACATTTCAAGTAATGGAAATAATGAAGAGCCTTTTTAGTTCCAAAATAGCAACAATCGTATTACAAGTTTGGAAAATTACATGTCTAATAGAGCTCGTGTTCGTGATGAAGCTATGCATAAATTCTTGAAGAAAGACTTAGTGGAACATATGTGGCTCAAATTCGGTGTTAATCGTAGGCAAAATAATATGCGTTAATGGATGTGTAATCGTAGCATTAAATTATTATGTTTGTACTTAATCACAATTGTTATCTTTCAATGACTGTTGTCATTTGTTAGAATATGTATTATTTTTATTTTTATGGAAATTAGTAAAGTTACAATTATTGTTTATTTCTTCATTAACGATTAATTACTTACTAATTAAATATCAAATTGCATTATATTTAAATATAAGTAATTTTATCTAATTAATGTATGTTTTTTTAAAACCTAATTAATGTATGTTAATGTATAATTATTAGTTTTGATTGATTATTACCAAGTGCATTAGTTATATTTGATAGGATTTAAGAGAGAAATTGTGTGGTGAGGTTGGGTAAAAGTAGGATAGAGAAAATATATAACCACAAATTTGTGGTTAGTATTGTGATACATTGATTATTAAATGGATATAAGAGTGATTATAAGTGAGGTGAAAAATTGAGAAATTAATACTAACTCCGTTAATTATTATGTGCAATAAAAGAATATTTTATGTCTCACAAATAATACCCCTTTGTTGCACATATTAATTAACGGAAGTAGTAAAATAAGTAGGGGTGAAAGTTTGGTTTTCGGTTTGGTTTATAGCACAAACCGAAACCTAACCAATCTAATTCGGTTTTTGGATTTTATAAACCAAACTGCACCACTTTACTTCTGAAACCAAACCAAACCAAACCAAACCATATAAATTTCGGTTTCAAAATTTCGGGTTTTCACTTTCTCAAACCGAAAACCGAAATTTTTAATTTTTCAAAACCAAACCGAACCACTTTAGAAAAAAAATCGAACCATATTTCTTATTCGGTTCGGTTTTCGATTCGGCTTGATTTTAGCCCAAATTTGTTTCACCCCTAAAAATAAGTAATAACCACAATGGTTGTGGCAACCATTGGTTTGGTGTAAGTAGAACTTATTAGAGTACGAGTATAAGTTTAAAATTCCACTGCCAAAATGAGACCACACAATTACACAAATGTAAAATGAGACCGCACAAATGTAAAATGGGTCGAACTTGGGTACGAGTATTAAGTTTAAAATTCCTAATAGCGCCATCAACTCCAGTATTTTCAGTTTTCAGTACTTTTTTGAAATTGCTACCCAACTCCATTATTACTCATTCTTCTAATTTGAATTCTATCTCCACTTTCCCAACAATGGCGTCCTCGAAATCATCAACTCTGAAGCTGCTAATGCAGCAGGGTCCTCGACAAGGTGAAACCCTAGAATTCAACTCTAAAGTTCGAATTGGGCGAGTCGTAAAAGGCAACAATCTTACCATCAAAGATCCAGGAATTTCCTCCAAACATCTCATCATCGAATTCAACAAAGAATCTGGAATATGGGAAATCAAAGACCTCGATTCTTCAAATGGTACTATCTTGAACTCCTCTCAACTTAAACCCCTTTCCCCTTTTGAAATTCGTAATGGGGATGAGATTAAATTTGGCGAGCTTACCTCAATTAGGGTTGAAATTGTCCCAATTGAGGAGGAAACCAACAATAGTAGAATTACTAGAAAAAGAAAAGCTGCCATTGATTTGGGAAGTATTAAGGGTTCCAAGTTGGAAATCGGGGATTTGAAGGTTGATGCGAAGAAAGAGGATGAACATGATTGTGGGGTTATGAGTAAGAGGAATACTAGGAGCTCAAAGAGAGGAGAGGTTGAATTTCTGGGTTTAGAACAAGTTATGCTGCCCAAGAGGACTAGGCGTGCCAAGAATGCTGACGGTGTAATACCACCCTTTTCTGTGGTGGAGGAACTTGTGGAAGACAAGGGTTTCGATATGGGTGATTGCAAACACACACGAGGTGGTGGTGGTGGTGGTCGTGGTTGTGGTCGTGGGCGTGGGAGGATAAAGAAGCATAGTATTAGGAGTTTAGATGATGTCCCAGATGCTTTTCCAGAGGCATTAGAAAAGGAAGTTCCTTGTGAAAATTGGATGGATGATAATACAAAGCTGGAGCTTTCTGAACAAGAGGGAGGTGCGCCGTCTTTGAAAGGAGAGAATGCTGCAGATACTCAGCAGGAAAATGGTCAATGTGGCGTAGAGAGTGATGCAACGTTGGATGATCGGAGAATGGAAGCTGCTCAAGATGTTGTTTTGGAAGAGAAAGTGAATCATGAGGTGTTGGGGAAGGAATTGCCGGAACAGGCGGTGAATTCCAGGCACCAACCTTGCGAAAAACAGATGGATGATAAGACAAATGCACAGTTTTCGGAGGGGGTGGTTCTTGATCAGGATGGAGGTGATCAATGTGTGGGAGAGCAGCATTGTGCGGAGGAAGCTGATGGCAATCTGGATGGCGGTTCTCAAGCTGAAGAAAGGGTTTGTAATGGAGTAGAGAGTGATGTAGTGCTGAATGATGGAGGAGTGGAGGAATCAGATATCGAAGAGATTGTTAAAGAGTCAGAGGTCAAGTGTTATGATAGAAGCAAAGATCTTGAGGCCATTAATGTGCCCGACCTGGAAAAGATGACTCTAGCAGAATGGTTTGATTATTTGGAAGTATATTTGCCTAACCAAATTTATGCTGCCACAGATGAGATCATTAAGGACATGCAAAAAAGAGCTAAGCAGTTTGATGAATTCATGTTGTGACAGCAGAACGAGAATAAGAAACTGCCTTTGGCTTTGGAGAAGACAATGACTTAAACAAAATATGGTAAATTCTAAGATCCTTTCCTTAGATATTGATGTACATTTGGTTTCTTGTTAAATTGTTAGTAATTATCAAATGCCTCAGAGCTTTCTTTTGATTTCATCTCTCCTTTTTAATGTTTTAAGTGCTTTGGTAAATGGTATGCTTCTTTGACATGTCAACTTTGTTTATGTGGATGACTAGATTAGATCTTATATGCTTTGTAAGGCATCCAAACCTCTGTAAATATTCTTAAAAATGCTTTGTGCTTTATAATCGCATTTGATTGCTTGTAATCTTTATAAATGCAATGCAACCCCCTAATTAAGAAGAAATAAAGAAAGATTGGTGGACTAAATTATTTTATGAAGGATTTTACGGGAAAAAATGGGATGAGCATATATATCTAACTAAAGAGACATAGCTAAGTGTGTTGGATAAAACTTGTTTATGGATTAGGGAAAAGTTGACCACATAAAAATCTATAAATGCAACAGAGGTTTACATTTTGTAATAATGATTGGGTAGTTTCAGTTGCACTACAAAATACAGTAGATTAATGTAAGAATTAATTGATGAATGTTTGCGGATAACTTATATTTTGGCTGATCAATAATGGAGCATAAAATTGCATTACCATAAAACATAGGGTGTGATGACCAGTAAACTTTCCTTCTATATCCATGAAACTGCTTAAATTCCCAAACAGATTGGTAGGCGCAGTTCACAGCCATATCTTCCATTACCTTGCTCAGGCACTAGAGATGAGTAATTGAATGATGCAAGAATCAACCTATCAAATTTCATCAAGCAAGAATCTGGTGTTATCACTAGATAAGAAATACATAAACAAGTGAGCAGCCTTCGCATTACGGGAATTGGGCATGTGTTCGTTGTAGCTGCCATAGCTCAAAAAGAAAGGATGAGCAGAAAAGTTTTAAAAACTGTGATTTGATTGTATGTCTTTATATTTCATGAAACATAATGGATAACAATTTCTTTTTCATTTTTTTATTCATAAATTTATTTTCAACATTATTTTCGTGAATGTTTTTCATCTTAAAAACAACAATCTTTTACATTCAACCCTTTAATTCATTAGAAACTATAGTCCACTGTAACCGAGCTTGTACTTTCTTATTGCAGCCAAGTATGACTGAATTTGTTGGACTGATTAAAGTAAATGTGGTCAGAGGCACGAATCTTGCTATCCGAGATATGGTATCTAGTGATCCATAAGTCATCCATCCTCTGTTTGGGACAACAAGTAAGAATCTTCCCCTTGTGACTTTATAAGCTCTCCGGTATATTTCTGGCTCTTGCTTTTATATTAAACTAGGTCTTGATGACTCTCCTTGCAGTCAGTGAAGAATCGTGTTATAAAGAACAACCTGAATCCAGTCTGGAATGAAAAGCTGATGCTGTCAATTCCTGACTGTGTGCCACCCTTAAAGTTGGTGAGTTTTTTGTGGAGGAACTACAATGAATAAAACTTATACCATTAAATTTACAGCACACATGTTGTAATTTGACTGCTCATAGCATCTTACTCCATATTATAGTGTCTCAAAGCAGTTTCACTTTCAAGTCTATCAAGCAAAATGTCTTTTGGGTACTCCCTATATCCAGTCATGTAATTATAACTAGCTTGAAAAATAAAAAAAAGCATGTATAATTAGCTTGAAATGGTCAAATTCGTCGAAGTCACTTAATGTTTATTGCTTGAGTGAAGTTCCATTGATTGTTAGGATTGTTGTATGACTTGTATTAACTACTGTATAGAATCCCATGGTGAGAATGATCATCTACTGCATTAACTTGATCTTCCTCCGCCTTTTTCAACTCGTAACGTTGAACTTCGATTGCAAAATGGTCAAAGATATCTTCAATGTTATAAGCTAAATCTTGGAGAATTGAGCCATAACTTGACAGGCTTACTGTGAAACTGCTGCAGCTCAGCATCTTCCAGCAGAGCTTCCAGCCTACTCCTAGTAAGTTGTATCTTCCATTTCTTGATTGTTTTCGGCAGATCAACTCCACCAACCATCTTCAAGAATTGGCTTCCTCCGGTTGACAACAGCTTCTCAAACAACACTTGCAGAAATGCAGACCTCGCCAATGGCCATCCTTGATTGGCTACTAGCAAAATTTGATTTTTATTTTGTTTATGATTTAGCAAAATCTAGTGATTGTAAATGAAATGATTGGTTTATCTTTGTCTGGGATTGGTGGGAAATGAATTATTGATAGCAGGATTAACGGTAGTAGATAGTTGTAAAGTGACCAAATTCTAAATGGGTGTACTCACAAAGGACCAATTATTAGTAGTACTGTCAAAAACCAAACCGAACCGATTCAACCGATCCGAATGAGAACCGAACCGATTAAAAACCGAAAACCGACCCGAACCGCATTTTAGTAAACCCGAAACTGGAGGAAACAAGCAAATGGAAGACATAGGCCATGATTATTTTCATGATCTAGTATCAAGATCATTTTTTGAACCGAGCATAAAGGGATCAGAATATTTCAAAATGCACAGCCTACAAAGTGATTTGGCTCGAGAGGTTGCAGGTAAATTATGCTTAGCAATAAAGGATTGTTCAGTTAATAAAGATTGGTCGAAGGCCTCTTGTAGAGCTCGACATATATCCTTCGCTAAACTAGATGAGCCTGACAGATGCGATGATATGTTTTCCTTAAAGGTCAGCCACTTTCGTACTTTTGCTCATTTTGACAAGCATGTATTTTCTGGTTCTTCAAATCGAGTACTTGATCTTATAGGAATGTTTCAATGCATGAGGGTGCTACTGCTACCTCACATGGAATTTACAATATTTCCAGAATCCATAGGCGATCTTAAGCTCTTACGGCTTCTCAATCTCTCATACAATAATATTGAAGAATTGCCTGATTCCTTAAGCAACCTTGTTAATCTCCAAACTCTGCTGTTGAAAGGTTGTGACAAACTTCAAAAGCTGTTGGAAAATATGAGATGCTTAATCAACCTTCGCCATGTGGATATTGATGGCACCTCTGTTCGTGAGATGCCGTTGGGGATTGGGAATCTGACGAACCTGCAAACATTGAACAATTTTATCATAGGAGCAAATGCACCCATTATAAGAGATTTGAAGAATTTGAATCATCTTAGGGGAAAGCTAACTATAACTGGCTTAGAAAATGTGTTAAGCTCCAATGACGCAAGAGAAGCAAGGCTGCATCAGAAATCAGGTCTTCATGAGCTAGAGATGGTATGGGATTGGGGAAACTTTATTAACGGGGTTGATGACAACACTAGAATAGATGTGCTTGATCAGTTGGAGCCTCACAAATCTATCAAAGTGTTAACTTTGCGGAACTACAAGGGTGTGGCGTTCCCAAGATGGTTGGGAGACCCTTCTTTTACTAAGATGGTTATTATAAAGCTAGTAGGTTGTGAGAGATGTGAATCTTTACCACCACTAGGGAAGCTGCCATCATTGAAGGAGCTTGAGGTTCAAGAAATGCGAGGTCTTAAAGTTGTAGGTTATGATTTTCATGGTGTTAGCTGTTCAAATCCATTTCCGACATTAAGAACTCTGAGGTTTAAGTCTATGACTTCTTGGGAGAGTTGGTTACAGTCATCAGCTGATAACAGGGGATTCTCTTGCCTTCAAGAGCTTTCAATCAAGGATTGTTCATCTCTACAGCAATCTTTACCTTCATGTCTCCCTTTGCTACACACACTTGAGATACAACGTTGCAAGCAACTGTATGACTCTCTTCCAAGCCTCCCTCGACTCCAAACGTTGATAATAGATGATTGTTCATCCCTTGTCAAGGTTGATCAGCTACCTTTGACCCTTCGGCAATTAGTTATCTCTAGTTGCCAGAAACTACAGTTCGTGGAATTCAGGGAATCATATTCTTCTTATGATGAAAAACTTACTCTGGAGGTTCTGGAGGTTGTCAATTGCCAATCTCTGTTAACATTGCTGAGTAAAGATCGCCTCAAAACCCTTGAAGCTCATAGTTCTTTTCCCACTTTAGGATTAACAGAAAGAGGAAATATTTCTTCTTCTGATCTTTCACTATTTGAAGAAGGTTTGAGTCCATCAAAACTTGCTAACCTCACCAAGTTAACAATAAGTGAATGTCCCTATCTCATCTCATTTCCGGAAGATCTTGTTCTCCCTGGCCTACGAAATCTTCTGATATCAGTTTGTCGAAACCTAGAGTCCTTCCCAAATCAAATGCATAACTTCACTTCCCTCCAAGACCTGACTCTTACAAACTGTCCAAAAATCCACTACTTTCCAAAAGGCGGTCTACCCATGAACTTGCTTTCTCTCTACATGGATGGACTCAACATTGAACAACCAATGCAAAAATGGGAGTTGCACAACCTTAATTCTCTTGAAAAGCTCTCAATATCCGATATTGGGTGCTCTTCAAATTCAATATACTCCTTCCCAAATGAGGATATTCGTCTGCCCTCATCATTGACCGGATTAGCCATCAGTGGTTTCATTAATATGAAATCAGTATCTTGCTTAAGTATTCTAAATCTCACTTCCCTCTATGTTAGGGGATGTCCAAAACTTGAATGTTTTGTTGATAATTGTCTTCCTCCTGAACTTAAAGAATTATGGGTTGTTCAGTGTCCTGTGCTGAAACGTCGAATGGATAGGGATCCTCTTCGTCACACTCTATCGTGCATTACTCATCTCCGTTTTTGCTAGTCTTTTGCAGTCCCTGTAATGATAAGGTGATACCATGTGAATATATGACTATCATACATCCCAACTATGCACTTTTTTTCAATGTGTTTTTCAGTGTCTTTCCTACTTTGTCTATTATTCAAGTCTTTTATTTCACTTTATTTTCTTGATTTCAGAGTACTGCATTTCTAGAATGAACAGAATGTAAATTCCAGTCTATGAAACAATATATGACGTCCGGCCTCCGGACTCCAGTCTTTCTTCAGTTTTCCTGCAGTGAAAGCAACTGTGAAGTAAAACTGCTTACTTGTGTAGTTATTATCTACTATATTTTGGGCTTAATTGATTTGATACCGAGTGACGGATTTTCTAAAAAAAGCATCAGAGGAAGAAATACTAGAAGAGTATGGGTATCTAAAAAGTATATATAATCTAGTGTGATATCTCAATTGATACTATATGATTCCTTCAGAAATGATCATTTTGGCATCTGCAGTACTTTTTTATGCAGTATGTATACTATTCTTCAAGCTTAAAGTTGCTTAGAAACATATACTAGCATAAAATTAGGTGGTGGAATTTAAACTTTCGGTTATAGTATTTGCCAAATAAAAGGATTGGAGCCAACTACCACTCAACACCATTCCATTTGGAATCTTGAATATCTAGATGCCTATTAAAATGTGTATATATAGTACGATAATCGAATAAACACTAAAGTATGATTCTATGTTGATAATATGGGTAAGATTCTAGTACCACTAAATGTGGAAAATTTAAATTCCTGACCATCATTTTTATTTTCAAAAGACTAAAAGTAGTCAAATGTGGCCATTACCTACTACCTTTGATTACTATAATGGTTAAGCTTAGCATTTTCATATGAATACATGATACATCCCATCAAACTTACTAAACCGATTAGACGCAAGAATCACTACTATCAATCATACTTGGTTAAAGTCTTTAGACTCATATTTAAAATTGAGATCTATAAACTTTTCATTCCTATTTATTTGACACTTTTTAATAAACGCGTCCTTATTTAATAGACATTTTTTTTTCAATATGATATGACACTTTTTAATAAACGCGTCCTTATTTAATAGACATTTTTTTTCCAATATGATATGGAATTCATCATTTTAATTCGTAATTTTTTTTACCCCACATTTTACCCAGCATTCATTAAATATAATAGAAAAAATTGTACCACCCACTAGCTATGATAAAAAAATAGTAATAATAATTCACTACTACATGCTACACAATAAAATAACAATTCAATTAAATTTTTTTTTTCTTCTTCTTTTTTTTAATCTGTTAGAATGTATCAACTAAATATGTTCAGAGGAAAATAAAATAAAACTCACTCTCTTTCTTCATATCTTATGTGATGTGGTGTCTTTCATTACCTCTTTGTTCATCAAATTTGTGTAAGAGCACGGTAATCTAAGGATAAGGGAGCATATTTCAAAATCCAAAAAATAAATGGACTAAACATATGGAATAAATGCCTATGGAATGCACTTTAAAGGAATTTTCAAACAATTTATTTCCAAAACCAATTGAAAAAATGAATTATGATACAAGTGGAGCAAGAATCCAACTTTTTTTTCCCACCAAAAGAATTATTAGATTATCTCTTGGTTCCGTTCAAAAAAAAAAAAAAAAAAAAAAAAAGATTATCTCTTGGTTCACCTTATATAAAGGGACTAGAACTATGTATGCTATAACTCATCCACTCCATTTCTAACCCAAATTTCTTACCTTACAAATAGTTTTTTTCTAATAATTTGTTTAAGTCATCAATGAAATTATACAAGCCTAGCTATTCCAACCAAACAAACTTCTCTAAATATGAGTACCAAGAACATATAAGCCAATCCATCGAGAAGCCCAGCAACTACTATGCCCATGCCCGAACCGTTCTCCCAAGCCCATCAATTCATGTCCAAGAAGACCATAATGTGATGGGGAATATGACGATGCATGAGGGTCAAGTGGGCATGGGAGAAATGGAGTATGGTTGGTCCAAAAAGCCCAATCAATACTCTAGCCCAGCCCAATACCACCAAGGGCAATCCATGTACCAGGGAGGAGAGCAAAAGGCTTACAATTATGGTGACGGCGGATTCGAAGGTGGTTACGCTAATAAGAACACCGCAATTTCCGGTCCAAAATACTTGAGCCCAATCAAAACAAATCAATCGGGCCGTATGGCACATAAAGAAGAGCATATGATGGGGAATATGGATCAGGGTTGGGGTAACTCGACCCCAAAATTCTCTGGCCCAACCCATGATCAACACTCGGGCCTAGCAATGCATAGCGAGGATCGTACGGTGGGGAAAACGGGTATTGGTTGGGATAACTCCCCCACGAAATTCACTCGAAGTAATCAATCGGGTCTTGGAATGCATAAAAATGAGCATATGATAGAGAATGATGATGAAGTTTGGGCTTATCCGCCCAATAGATTCTCAAACTCAAACCAAATCCATCATGATGATAGTTCGCTCCATAATGAGAACCATATGACTGGAGAAATGGGTCGTGGTTGGGCCAATTCACCAAATAAGTTCTCTAGTCCAACCCAAAATCATCAGGCCAACATGGAAATGCATAACGAGGGGAATTTGATGGGTAATATGGATCAAGGTTGGTCCAACTCACCAAGGAAGTTCTCTAGCCCAACCCAAGCTCATCACTCTGGCCTTGCAACACATAACCAGGATTACATGGGTGGGAACACAAGTCGTCGTGGTTGGACTAACTCACCAGATAAGTTCTCTAGTCCAACCCAACCTCATCACTCAAGCTACGCGGCGGGGAAAGTGGACCATGGTTATGCTAACTCACCCACCAAATACACTGGGCCAAATCACTTTAGTAGCTCCAACAACACCATGTATGGAGAGCGCGAGCAACACGGATGGGCTGATAAGTCCATCAACAGATTTGGGCCAAACCAACTGAACCACTCGGCCCACACCCCATATGGCGACTATGATCACAACGTCGATGAGGGTGTTAATGACATTATGGATGAGATACTAACCAAGTATCCATCCCATAATGTTAGTGGTGGACATGGAGGTAGTTGGGCTGGAAAGCCCAATACCTATGCAAGCCAAAACCAGGCTATGGGCTATGCTGCTCAAGCATTTGCTGGCTCGGGCCAATATGGGAGCACGGCCCAATCCATGTCTAGTTCTAGCTCTAACTACGCGGTAAAAAAAGAGTTAAGTTTAGGATTCTCTGCCAATTGCAACAAGGAAGAATATTCAAGTAATATCAGTGCTAAGAAGTTCGCGGCCAAGATCATGTTTGGTAGAAAAGGGTAGCGAATAGCCGAATATGATAGCAAAGGTGATCAAGAAAGCAGGGTTCAGATTACCAAGGACATTATCAGAGGTAAAAAAAATTCTTCTAAAAACTTGAAATGTTGATGATCTTAATTTGATTACTCCTATAGGAGTATAATTTGTCTTTACGTGTCACGTGTGATATGTGACACAAGCGCGATGCACACACTGCCTTAGTGCACGTACACTCGAGTATAAGATAGATGTGCTAGCAGCCTAGCACCCGAGTGTAATACTAGTAACGTTGATCTTCTATGTGTTGAATTATTTTGATATTGATGTATAAACGTTCATTGATTAATTTGTCCACGAAATGACAATTGCAGGGTTTACCAAGTAGAGAAATCAGCTTGGACAATATAAAATCATACGGAGTATGATATACTAAGAATAAAGACTAGCTATAAGCAAGACTTTGCATTTGTCTAGCTTCTAAACTATCATGTATGTTTTAATTTAATGCTTAGCATTTGTAAAATAATTATGCTTGTTGCTTTAAGCTCTCTTTTTGTATAATGAATTGCTTGTTATATTAGGGGTGATAATTCGGGTAAGCAGGTCGGGTTCGGGTCAAATTTTGGGTCGATTTTGGGTTATGCTTAGAAATTATAAAAAAAAACAAATGTGTAAAACTTAATGTTATTACGAATTATGAAATTTGGGTCAAATTGGGTCGAATTTGGGTTGTTCGGGTTAGGTCGGGTTCGGGTTTTCCTAAGTAACTCCGGGTTGGGTCAGGGATTGCCAGCCCTATATTATGTTATATATCTAAAATATGTATTTACAAACGATTAGGAATTTGAGATGATGTGAAATTTGACCAAGTGGAGATAAATTATACTACCTCCGTTAACATTTATTTGCAACAAAGGGGGTCTGTGCGTACTCCTAGGCAAAATTTATTAAGCATGATTACTGAAAAATAAGGCCAAATGCTTAAGTATTAATCCTACTAAAAAAAAACAATTAAAAGAAAAAAATCATAACCACCGAAACCCAGAACCACAAAACCCAAAACCACCAAAAACCAAAGGAACCACCAAAGCCACTGAAACCCACAACCCAAAATCACCGGAATCCAACGACGAATCAAGCAAAACCACCGACGAACCCTTCAAACCCACCCACAAACCACCAAATCCAACCACAAACCCTTCAAACCCACCCACAAACCACCAAATCCAACCACGAACCCTTCAAACCGACCCACAAACCACCAAATCCAACCATGAACCACCAACGAACCCTTCAAACCCATCCACAAACCACCAATTAAATTCAACCACGAACCACCGATGAACCCTTCAAATCCACCCACAAACCACCAAATCCAACACGAACCACCGAAACCTTTTGACTACCACCAAAACCAACCCCCACGAAACCGGTAAACCCTACCCCGGCCCAAATCCAACAAACTCACCCACGATGCACCCCCACAAACCTGCTAACCTACCCACAAACCATCAAATCCAACCACAAATACAAGCAAACCTCCGACAAATTAAACAACCAGATCTGGAACCCCCTTTAACAAAGGTTTGGAATTTGATGAGAGATGAAGAAAAGGAAATTAGAGATGAAGGAGGAGAGAGAAAGATAATTGGGGAGATGAATTGAGATTAATCTAATTATTAGGATGGGAAAGACTTACATAATTAATTTAGATTAGAGTTATAATGATTTGTAATTATGTGTAGTTTTATGTGTTAATAATTTTTAAATGAGGGTATTTTTGTCATTTTGATAGAAAAAGTTACTAAAATAGGAAAGAAATAAGTTTGTTGCAAATAATAGTTAGAATCTTTTTTGGTAAATGTTGCAAATAACTGTTAACAGGGTAGTATATCCGCCTATCTGCCATAGGCAACGTGATGGTTTTGGACGACCCAATAATTTTTGAAATTAGCTTGGTAAAATGAGACGATTAAGCTTGCTAACGCGTTTAAACAATGACAAATTATAGCAGAGACACATACTATTATCTTCAGACGATCAAGAACCCGTGACAAGAGCAAAACACAAAAGTAGTGATAAAACAAATCCCCTTCATTTTGATGTTTTGCATTCCTCTGCTTGTTTCAGTACTATTTTGTAAATTTGTCCCCCATTTTTGTAACTAACGAAATCGTCACCTTTCAAGTCATGGACTACCTTAGTGAAAATGGATTACGTCCAGGACATAATTTATAACAACACTTACACTAATACATTATGTTTTTTCTCAGGGAATGAACAAGCTTCAACACTCCCAACTTCCTTAAAAAAAAATTTAAAAATTCTAAGTACAAGTTTCACGTGAAATGCCAATCCTATTGTTAGGGACATCATAGACGACCCTGTGGTTCTGTTGCTGCATGTTGGCAATGATATTGAGGGCGGAATTGGGGTTCTCTGGGGCGGCCGCCATTGCGAGGCATGCGATGCTGGTGGAGGTACTACGGAGTAGGAAGTTGTCTTGGTCCAATGTCAAGTCCATGCCATCAAAAACAAAGGTTATGGATGGTATGGTTATTGGTACGCTGTAGCACGTGTCGAACCCGCCTAGGGATGTTACCACTGCCTTCCCCATTCGACGCCTGAACTCGTCCCGCACTGCAGTGTAGGCTGGTAGGGCTAGCCGGGTGTACACCGTGCCTGAAAAATATTATGGTAGAATATAATTGAGCATGGAATTATAAAGCTTGATATTAGATTTTTGTTTGTTTATAAATATCTTTATTTTCATAATGAGTATAATTTTTTATATTTAATAAAAAGTACACATCGAAGAATCTAACAATATTTCACTTGTTATTTTCTAAGGGTTATGTACTTAATAGTAAAAAGTTTAGTAAATATATAATCAAATCAAATTATTACGGGTAATTTCTTAGCCTCAAGTACTTAAAGTCATACGTTATAAAAGACTCTAATCACAATTTAGCACTAAAAAAATTTATTAGAATCTTTTAACACTTTAAATACTTGAGGCTAAAAACTTCCATGTAATAATTTAATTTCGTAGGTATTCATCTTATTGGTACAAAAAAGAATTGAAGTCAATCAGTACTAATCAAAGCCTGAATTCTAATCAGGTTTTTTTTTAAAAAGTATTTTGATAATAAATTCTTTACCAATCAAACACAATTTATTAATTTAATACTAACGAGCAATAAGGTATTATTAGAATCTTTAATGACTCGAATTACTTGAGGCTGAAAATTTCCTATAGCAAATGAAATACTACTTCCGTTATAATTTAATTGAAACAATTCGACATAAAGTGTGAGTATAAATTGTCTAATTGTTGCAAATAATGTAGTAATAAGAAGGTAGTAAAATAGCGGAAATCGTCATAACAAGTAAAAAAAATTAGGACCCATAATCTCATTATTTACATGCACTGAACATGGGCATGGATAAGTGTGGTTGACAAAATAAACATTTGGTGTGGTCACAAAGACAAGTAACTTTTGTGAATAAAATGGTGGTGTTCCTGCAAAATATTTTGGCCTTAAGTAAATTTGGGGATGACTATGCACTAAAATTGAGAAGAATTGAAGTGAGAGACTAAGAGATCTAGATATTAGCGTTACAGTACAAGCATCTAAGGATGATGCCTTTCACGGGTGTGCTTCTGTTTTCCACTTTACTGATAGTGGCAGCAGCTGCACCATAATTTTAATTTGTAGGACATGGAAGGAAGAAACTGTTTTTTTTTCCAAAGGGTGATGCAAGCACTGTTATGTGGTGCCTACACCCCGGTATTAGTTTTGATTACGACCCCGTTACAATGTAACAAAGAAAAGCACGTGTTTGGAGATGGAGTTTCATTAATACGGTAATGAACATAGTATTCTGTATTCTTTACCATTCTTCCTACGAATTTTGACCGTTATTGATGGTTGACAAATTGTCGTGTACTAAAATTTACTATTCCTGTTCCTAATTAATGTTGAAATAATGTAAAAAGTCAAAATAATACATCTATTGAAAAGCAAATATAATACTACCCCCATTTTATATTTTTTACAACTTTGGAATATTTTATATCTCATAAATAATATCCCAAAGTGGCGACAAAATATGAAGCGGAGGTAGTATATATTTGTTATGCTTAGTGTTAAATAGTTAGTTTACTTACCGGAATCAATAACGGTGCCAGCGCCGTTGTTTGGGTTGAAGGCCAAAGCTTCGGGTGGAATGGCAACGGTTTTACTCCCTACTTTGATTGCTTTCAAGTTAACATAGTAAAGGGAAGGCCTCTTTGGGTTCTTAAGCAATGGTGTGTAATGGATTTTTTTAGGCTGGGCTACGGGGCCGAGTTTCATGGATCCAGAGAAATTGGATGACCTAAAGCTGGGCAAGCAGTAGGAAAATGTGGATTGGTAAAGGTTTTGGGTTTGAGAAAGGAGTGACAATGGGCCTCGTCCAAGGCCCAATAGTCCTTGTGGTGGGACCGACGCCCCGGTTGTCTTTTGGATGCAACCAAAGACATAGCCTGGGATAGGGTCCCGGGCTAGGGCGATGGTGTCTTGTGCAAGAGTGGCCGCTAGGGTGGAACCGCCATAGGTCTGGTTGTAGGTGCACAAGTTTTGGACACAGACGGGGTTTGTTACCTGAAGAACAAGTAAAACATAGTTAAAATTTTGTACAAGTAGTGCAATTGACATGGAACATTATTAATACTTCAATTCTTGCACAAAGAATAGATACCACAAAAGTATTGATGTACGTACTTCGTATTATTTCTCTTATAGTGAATTATGAGTATTAGTCAAGTACAAAATGTGATGTAACATATTGCTTATTTGCCTTGTAAGAAATGCATAATTATAGTACTGAAATTACATTTTTTTTATCTTTTATCTTGGCATATATAATGGTCTCATTATACACAGTAGAAACCTCAATCAATTAGACTTATAAAAGAAAACATCCACATAATATTCGAACCACAACAGGTGGACAATGAGGCTAGGTACGTAATCATAGTAGGAAGGTGAGAGATCTAACATTGAGCTCTCACTTAATTCTATACTATTCAAGAATATTTTACAAAACTTTTTTTTTTTAATTATTTTTTTATTTTAACTCCCCGCTAATCATATGAATATTTATTTGAAATTCAAATAAATCACTACAATTAGCGTACTAAAGGTCAAAAGCTAAACCCAAATAGCAAATTTTGTTTTTTTTAGGGGTGTGGCTAGTTTAGATTAATATTATGACATCCATACCTAATAATTATGAAAGTTACTTTGCCTTTCACTATCTTATTATGTACAAAGTGATACTTTTATCCAACATAAAAAGAGCAACTAGATTTACAACTTTTTTATTCACAATTTCTAATCATGATGGTATATTCAATTTCATAAATGTCTTCTACCTTTTTAAAGTATTTGGAGTATACCACAAATGGTACATTTATAAATGACTTCCCAAAATAATATCAAGCCTAATTTCTAAGTGTGGTAAGTAAAAGTAATATCGAAATCATATTACTGTTAATGATACCAAAATCAAGAAAATATTAAAAAGTTGTTCAATGAATGATAAAGTTTTATATTCTAATATAATTCCTTGATAAATGACTGATAATAAAATGTAGCCAAACATTTAAAAATTAAACGATAGGTATTTAACACACGATATGTTTGTTACGTTTTGCCTAAATTGTGCCATTATTTCAACAACTAATCCTGACCTCAAATTAAGATAAGTTCGTCATAAAACTAACAGAAAATCTATAAAGGTCGACAATAATATATGCATTGTTGCAATAACTATCCATCTAATACATTTTCTATCTTTAAGAATACATGATAAAATTAAATATAATTTAATCGGTATAATTAATATTTAATTTTAATTAGTTATTCATATTATTACTTTTAGTCATCTTCTTGTATGTCTATTGTTTAAGTCAACTCTTGAAAAGTTTAGTGTCTATCTGGCTAAAGCAGATGTCGTAAGCATTTAAATCAATATGACGGAAAAGAAGAAGAGAAAGTACCTGTTGACACTGAGATGTGCCACAAGCAACGCCTTTAAAAGAAGTGGATTTTTCGGTAGAAAAAAGGGAAGAACCACAATTAGTGCAACCACTACAAGGCAACCAAGAACCATCATTACTTGTATCAAATGCCATAAGAAATGTCTGAGCAGGAGTCCCAACCTTCACCCTTACAATGTAGGTTGGGCTCTGGATCAGCTGTCGAGCCCACGCCACGGGAGCGATCGACTTCCGTGCCACGAGGCTCGACAAGTATTGTAACCGAGCCTTGTCCTCAATAAAAGTTTGGATCACACTTTCTTCCCATGACATTTTCTTGGGTTTAAAGGGTGAGCATGGGCTTGATACATGGAAGACCTTTAGGGTTGACCCCTTGTCTTCTGGGAGGTTACATGAGTGATCGAGTTGGCCGAGGCCGAGTCGAGTGAGGGAGAGGAGTTGGAGAAGGAGGAAGAAGAGGGGTGTGAAGTGGAGGTGTTTCATGGTTGCGAGCTATGTGTTTTTGCTAGCTTTGTTTGATGTAAGATGATAAAAGAGGGGTTGAGAGTTAAAGAGTATATATAGTGATGTAATGTGGGATGGAAGTGAGTGAGTGACTTAAGTGAGAGTGTGTGAAGTGGGTGTTGTGTAGTGTGTGAAGTGGGTGTTGTGTAGTGTGTGATAACAGTCTGTATTCCATTTTCTATGCTCATACTTTTAGTCATAGTTGCAAGAGTATGTCCAAATTCTAATTTGTACGTTGTATGTTACTCCGTATTATATAAAGAATTAAAGGTGTTGTCTATGGGCGACTTCATCATGTGTCACCTTCCTTTATTGTAAAAATACGTACTCTTTCAGTCAAAATAAATAAACATTCCATGCAATGTTAGTAACTTAATAATGAGATGAAAGTGAAGTTTTTGGATTGGTAAGTTGCTTTTGAGTTCAATTCTGTCTCTATTTCGTATTAAAAGTTAACAATGATAACGAATTAATTAAGAGTAAACTACACACGTGAAGAACTATGTTAAGATTTCGTGCGAACGAAAATGTATGTTATGTATTGTTGGACATTGAAAATGCATGAGAAGAAATAATAACCACCTTAAACTTAGTTACTTCATATTAACTACGTATAATAGAGGATAATGTTAAGATTTCGTATAAACTATGTACATAATGAATTTAAGATTTGTCAGACATTGAAAAAGCTTGAGAAGAGAAAATAATAACCACTTAATAAGCTTAACTTCTCCGTTCCACAAATATTACAACATATAGGGAATGTATTAATTTTAAGAAGATTAGAAATATCGAAGTAAGCCCGCATCATTGAGCAAGTATATGTAGATAAGAAAACGTTATAATAAAAATGAAATTTGTAAAAAATATAAACGTTATAATAAAAATGAAATTTGTAAAAAATATATACATTGCAATATTTATGCAATGGAGGAAGTATATATTTGGATTGCCTTTTGGTTTTGATAGATCAAAGTTTTTGGCTAAATTCATCGGTTGCACATTTGCACCATGTGTCCATGTTAGTAGCACAATAATCTTTAGTGTCTTGTAATCTTGTGCAACTACACACATACAGTGATACAGCTGACATGGCATTACTTTCAGTCTTTGAGAGTTTGTAAAACAACAAAGAATTTTCTTATCACCTTCCCCTGTTTTTTTACCAAATTTTGTCCCTGATTTATTTAGATGTGACTGTCTAATTGTAATTTCTGGTTATACGCTGATCTTTTACAATAGCTCCAACAAATTTGTAGCATGGGCGCAAAACTATGCGGTTAAGCACGTCGTATAATTGCTTGGGCACTGCGGCCGAATACACCGAAATACAAAATCTAGAAATGGTATGGAAAATACTTTCAATAATTTTGCAATCTCATCAACATATATATCACAAAACTATGAGATTTAGGTGGTGGAATAATGGTATCACGTTTCACCTCTGATCATTGCAATTCAAGGATTGAATCTCATAAGGCTCATTTAGTGGGTTGCCTCTCATATCTCATGCACTAATACGAGTACAATAATCTAATAAAGTACTTCGTATAATGTAAATACTCCATATTGTACTTTGTAAGGTATGTAAGATAATTTGTTGCAATATCTTTATGAAATGGAACATATAAAACATGAAATTTTTTATATTTTTATTTTTATTGAAATACTTAGTGCAAATTTGAAAAAGCTTGGAGGGAAAACATGGTAGATTCGAGGGAGTTGCCGTAACAAATTATGAACTTTATATTAAGGTTACTCTGTGAGGATTAAAGGGGTTACTTCATTAGGGGTTACTTCGTTAGGGGTTACACTGTTAGTATTGTAGGGATTACTTTATCAGTATAATACGAGTTACTCTATTAGTATTGTAGGGATTTATAATGGGGGTTATGTTTATTAGTGTTTAAGGGGGTATTTCGTATTTTTTGCAAGCGACCACACGATGTGACCAACCGCACAGAAAACGCACTGATAATACAAAATATTTCATATTAATTTATAATAGTTTTAGAAAAACCGATCTCTTGGGTCAGATTAAGCATATGGACTTTAAGTTAAGAGTGTTGTATTTGGTTGTACTTCTATCCGTGATTAATACAGTAAAATTTAGGTATAATATTTCCTAAATTACATAAGAGATGTTATCATCGAAATGCGATTAGATGCCAGGAATTGATAAAATCTAGACAAATTCAGGTTGGCTAGTATGATTTAATATTATGTATTATTGTTTGTTAACTAATTTTAAATTAATTAAGGATTAAGACTAGTGAGCCCAAAACATCTCTAAATATATACTGTTTTAATTAGCAAAATCGTACTTAAGTACGTTAACATTCTCTATAATCTAATAATATAACTATATGATCCAAAAATGCAACATTCTATCAATTTTCATAAGCAGACAAATGTGTCATGTGATCTACGTAAATTACTAAAACAATAGAAAATGACTCTTTTTCTGCCCTTCTAAGTTCTAACGCATCTCGTGAAATTGATAGTGCATTGTTCTGAACTGGACAGAATATTGTTTCACTAAATACTAATTAATCACTAATAATATGGTTTACAATGTGATTGGCAACTTAAAAGTCTTAATTACTGTCTTATAAGTGTTTAATATTGGGAATTTCATCTGAAGTCCCACTTGGAAGAAATATCAAGGGGAGGAGCTATATATATAGTGATGCTCAATACACTAGTACAAGGCCTTTTGAGAAGGAGTCCAAAAACAAAACCGTGTGGACTTGGCCCAAAGCGGACAATATTATACTAGTGTGTGTATGAGCATGAATCGGTGACCTTACAAATGGTATCAAAGTCGGGCGGTTCGGTCCGAGGCGGATGGTTTCCGTGGAGTATGGGGGGTATTCCTCATGCATTCTTGAAGTTGTTGATTTGTGCCCTTTGTGTCGAAAGTTCTCTTGATGATGTTCAAGCTTGTGGGACCAAGGGAAGTCCTGTAGCCGGTGGGGTTGCCCTGTAACTCATAGTGCATCAGCGGTACTGAAAAGGTTGCGAGTAACAGGTGGTGATGTGATCCTTGGATTAAGGGAAGGAATGTTGGGAATTTCATCCCAAGTCCCACATGGAAGAAATAGCTAGGGAAGGAGCTATTTATATATTGATACTCAATACACTAGTACAAGGCTTTTTGGGAAGGAGCCCAAAAACAGAACCATACAGACTTAGCCCAAAGTAGACATTATTGTACTAGTGTGTATATGAACATTAATCAACGCCCTTACATTTAATTTCGAAAAAAAAAAAATCATACGATTTAAACAAAGTAGGTTGTTCCACTAAGTACTAATTGATTTTAAGATGAAACTTGGTATGATTTTGTTAGTGCGTGGGTCTTCATCTCCTCTTACTCAATTTGCTAACAAATTGTAATTTGAGATCATTTTACTGAAATATTTGTAATTGAATTTGTGTCGACAAAACTCATTCTTCCGTACGTTTAAAAAAAAGTGGGATAATTTGTATTCATAATTGAAAGACAGAGTGGACTTGATGTGAACTCTAGCTACTACTACTAGTGATGAGCCATGCCATGCTTTCACGTAAACGATTGATTTTAAGGTATAACCTTACTTAAACTTCGTTACTAGGCCTCCACTCTCTCATTTCTCCATTTGTTATGTATATGTCACTTAATTACTTAAATTGTATTGTAAATCTATTTGTGTATAACTTTATGTTCCGTTATTTATTTGGCAAATTTAACTTATTCGCATTGAACTGAATGTAAAATTTGTTAAACTTAACCTACTTTGTGTTTTGTTTAATTTAGAATAAACTAAATGACAATAGCTCATTGTTAACCATGCATATTAATACAATGTGGACTAGTTTTAAGAGATGCAAACTTGTAAATCTATATATCAAATAGTTTTAGAAATAATTTATAATGTTTTATATTTAGTGGAATCATATCAAGCTAATTAATGATGATATAACTATTACATAGTAAAGGTAAATAATCTTGGTTGTGGAAACCAGTGGTGCTCTATAATGCAGACAAATGGTCCAAGATATTCCCTAATAATTAGACATCATTATCATTTATTAACTTTATGAAAGTGTGAATTTCACTTCAAATATTAATGTTAATAATATATCCATCTTATCACTTTGCCTTTGGTGCTAGCTTTTGGCCCATAAAAACAAAGGCACTTACTTGGTTTGTTGCTACTTCTTCTAGACAATAGAATCTCTACCAGGCCTTTTTCCCCACTTGTAATGAAATTTTTTCATAATAATTTGTGATATTAAGATCCTACCATAGTTGTTGGATCAAATTAATGAATCGCAACATTGTATAATTTTATTAAGATCCTAAAGACTAAGGAGTACCACTTAAAATTAGTTGATTTTTTCCTAGGTGGGATCCTAAGATCATACAATCACTAAGATCGTGCCTAAGATTTGCATCGGTTACATATTTGAATTATAAGTAGATCATCAAGATTTAGATTTTACTATTTATGATCAGTTCACTACTCTATTCATCTGAAATTAGTAATCACATTATTAATAATCAAACTGATCAAACCAACTATGCATGTGAGTTATCTTATCAATAATGTGATTATTGATTTTTAATAACGTGACTACTCAAAGTTGCATTGTGACAACAAATTAAATCTCAGACGAAGAAAGTATTTTTCACAACTCTATAAAAATAGTGCATAATCTAGCACTAAGATGTAAGAAGATACATTTATTTTTGTAAAAGAAGACTGCCCTACTAATAGGGGTATGCCCACAAATGATCGATATGGGTCACAAGATGTATAATGTATAGTAAACGTTATGATTATAAGGGGAAAGAAATGAGAAGAAGTTTGATGACAATTGTTGTCGGTAGGAGCATGCCTTACAAATTAAAGGAATCCTTAGCTAGCTCTAGGCCCTTCAAATTTCATTTTTCTATTTTTTAAATATAACGAGAGAATAAATAGTAAAATTTCAATATTAGTATATGGATGGGATATCTGGTGATCCGATCTGAAATTTCGGACATCCGAAAATCAAATATCCGGTTTTTTCGGATCGGCTTCGGATCGTAATTTTCCCAATTCAAAATTTTCGAATATCCGAAATTTTGGATCGGATCGGATCGAATATCCGAAATGGCCAGCCTTATTGATCTTACCTCAACTCTTAAGATCTTTAGTCTAAATTTTTTGAGTCAAACACTTGAAATTAAAGCATGAGATAAGGTAAAGGAGTTTCATCTCATATACCTCCAATTACCTCACTTGATAAAATTCGAGCCTTAAATCTCCAAGATATATGACAACGAACTCTCTTATCAACTGAGGCAAAGCTTAGCTTGCTTGATAGGCCCCTTTAAAATTTGGTCATCATAAGATTGGTAATGATCATGTTACACTATACTTGTATTGTGCTTCTTATGGAAACCGCATTTCTATCACTGAATATATGCTTTTTGCTTCCACTTTGACTATATTTTATATTGGTAGGTCATATATCATTTGTTATAATTTCTACTCCACTTGCTTTTGCTCTCTAATTTTAATTGGATTAAAAATTAACGTTTTCAGTTTTTTCAATTCTAAGCCTTCTAAAATGTAAATTGACTACTCAACATGAAGAAGAAGGTGGGGAGCAGTGTACGTGTGCTCAGCACTTCTATTTTTTGAGTTGTTTCAAGATTTTGAGTTGCTTCAAGATCGGGGTTCATTCTCATCAATAGTAAGACACCTTATTTTCCTACGGTTTCCTATCGATGTACATCCTGTTAAGAAAATAACCCACATGTACGTAGTTTTTATGAACTAAACAATAAAAATGCATGCATTTACCTATAGAGTTGCATTATATCGACATATAAATATCAAGATTGTATCATTTTGAACTGTGTTATATGTTTTTAATTGGGATTAGGTCCATTAAAGTGTGGATTTGATAAAATTTACGACCTTTTAAGTTGAAAATATATAAAAATTTCAAGCCAATAAGTCCAGCATGGTGCTGGGTCTTGAAACACACGATGAATTCGTGGTTTGATCTCTTGGAAAAGCATAATTATATTGAACTGTACTTCCTAATCATTTTATTTTGATTATACTCCATTCAATTAAGTTCTTTTATTCCATATATTTTACTTGTATTTAAGCATTATTCATACATAAGGAAAAACATAAATATTATATATTCCATCTCAATATATATATTTATTTATAATATCAACTTTTATACTTATGGGTAATATTTTTTTTTTTTAACGAATACTTATGGGTAATATTTTTTTTCATTCATTTTTTTTTTTGTAAGTCAATTTGTTTTTAACGTACCTAAATCAGCCGCCATAAGCGTAGAAATCAAGTTGTATATATAAAAAGGATTAAAAAATAACATTAGTATATATATTTGTACATTCAATGATCACTTATCAGAACATAATGCAATCAAGATATAAAATTAAAGTTATATATTAATCAAAAGTATCTAACTTAGAGACACATCACTCTCATTATGAAATACTCCCTCCATTTTTAAATACTTGTTCTATTTTTTTATGTGCGGAATTTTAGGCGAAATTGGAGAAAATATTAAAATATGGAGGTAGTGCAGTAGGTGCAAGAATAAAAATTATATTGTAAAAAGCAAAAGTAGTTGAGAGAATTAGAGGAGAGAAAATATGAAATTAATAAAATACGATTTATGTTGGGTCCAATACGTAAGAGATATGAGTTAAATATTGCAAAATTTTTCTAAATAAGAAAATGAATCAAGTATTCAAAAACGAAAATGGAAAGTAGAGTCAGTATTTTAGAACAGAGGGAGTATAATGATTTATCCGCCAGTTAAATATTAGCAGATACGTTTTTCAATAATCACTTTTCAAAAGCAAGCAAAAACATGATTAAAAAAAGCCAAGGAGAGAGATTAAAAAGTGGTATATATAAAAGAAAACAGATCTACTTTTGGTGACCTTCAATATTAATTTATTTACTATTTTACTTTAATTAAAAAGTTAAGGGTATGGTACGTTTGTCCAATTTTTATTTTTTTATTTTTTTATTTTTTTTTTTGCTTTTATAAATTCCAATTAATACATTAATATAGCTGTAATTCATACTTATTAGCGAAAAGAAACAAAAATGAAGAACACTCTTTAATTAAATAGCAGTCAAAAACATCTATCTTTGCTGTTTTGTTTCTCTATAATCGTTTGCTAGCCATTGGCCTTAAAGTAACGAAAGCATGCTACCACGTGAACTCGTCGGCAATGGCAAACTTCATATACGAAGTAACATTCTTTTCAAATTTTTTATTTCACTAATACCTTTAATAATAGCCTAATAGGACACATTGTATTCGAAATATCTTTATCATATAAGTCAGTTCTTGAGTTAGTAGCATCAAATTATGAATTAACCATTTAACCTTATATCAATAAAACTACGTGTGTGTTTAAAGAGAACTATTATATCAATAAAACATATGTTATTTTTATTCACATCGAGGTAATTTTTATTTATATTAAATTACTATAGATAAATTTTGTATATACCCGATTCATTTTTAAGTTTTTCACCCTGTTTGGCAATAATCTTTTGGCTTTTAAAAATTTTTGGTGTATAAATATTAGTTATTAGTTGATGTAGTGCAAAAAAAAAAAAAAAAAAAAAAAAAAAAAAAAAAAAAAAAAACCTTAACCTCTTTCTAAAAGCTCATTACCAACACCCCAAAGAGTTTTTAAAATGGTGAAACAACTCTTTTTACTCCTAATCAAACACCCCCTTCGCCCCTTTGTCGGTTAAAGTTTTGATGGGTGGGGAATTAAGATTAAATCCCGCTTACATTATTTGCCCTTATAAACACACACACACACAAAAAAAAAAAAAAGGGCTAGGGTGTGAGTTATATCCTAGAAGCTGACTCACCATGCTTCATAACAACTTATGCCACGTCAGCTAGGTGGTTAGGATATTTTGTTTTAATGTTTCAAAGTAGTTAGTTGAGCTGCAATAAAAGCAGAGCTATATAAGCTCATCTTTACTTCTTTAATCATTTAATGAATTCATTTCTGCCAAACACTTATTCTCTCTCTAAAAACAGTTCTTCTTCTTCCTTTAGCTTGTAATCGAAGCTTACACAAATATATCAATGAAGATAATTCTTTCTATTTCTTTCTTTGATTTTTAATTTTGTCTGATAACATGGTATCAGAGCAGGAGAGTTCAAAGATTCGTGTAGAAGTTTGAGCTGATCTTGTTGAGCTGATTTCTGGTTCCGATAGATTGTTGTAAGTTCTTCCGCAATTCTTGGTTTGATTGTTTCAGTTTGTTGAATATTTGAGCAGATTTATGTACAGTTTGAGCTTATTGTGTTGAGAATTTAGTTAGGTGAATCTTGTTCGTTTTCTGGGTATTATTCGAATTTTTCTGGGTTTATTCTTTGATTAAATTTGAAAATGGGTAGTGCAAATTCAGAAAGGGCAATTGATCCAAATTAGGATACCACTAGTCCTTATTACTTGCATCCATTTGATTTTACTGGAATGAAATTGGTGTCTAATGTTTTTGATGGATCTGGCTATGGAAATTGGAAGAGATCAATGGTAATTGGTCTAACTGCTAAGAATAAAATAGGGTTTGTAGATGGTAGTTTACCAAAACCCTCTGTTGATGATGCAGTTACTTTGAGAGCTTGGAATAGGTGTAACAGTATGATCATAAGGTGGATTATTATTGCAGTCTTAGATCCTCAAATTGCTGGCAATATTCTCTTTGTGGATACAGCAAGAGAAATATGGTTGGACTTAGATAAGAGAGGTTTTGGCATGCTTCTTCTGCTCAGTTGTATTCTTTACAGCAGGATTTGACAAATGCATCACAGGGCAATTCATCAATTTCTGAGTATTATAACAACCTCAAGAAATTGTGGGATGAATTGGATAATCTTTGTCCTTTGCCAACTTGTGTGTGTAATAATTGTAGCTGTAATCTAGCTCAGAAATATGCTATGATCCAGCAAGATAAGAGGTTAATGGTATTATTGATGAAGTTGACAAACAACTATGCTAATTTGAGATCAAATATACTGATGATGCCAAGTCTGCCAACCTTGGCACCAGCATACAGAATGATATTGCAGGAAGAAAGGCATAAGGAACTGAGTAATTTGTCTCAAAAGGCTATTGAACCAGTAGCTTTTGTTGCAAGAACGTTTAATAATAGAAGACAACACAATCAGCCTTAAAGAGGAAATAGTTCATATAAAAGAGGTGGTTTCCATCAGAGTTCTGGTTTTAATAAGAATCCAGGTTTTAAAAGAACAATCAACTATTTATGTGATCATTGTAAGATGACAGGGCACAGTAAGGAAAGGTGTTCTCAGTTGAATGGTTTTCCCCCTGGGTTTAAGAATAATCCACAGTCTTAAATTAATCAAGGTAACGGGAAATTTGCAAATTATGCTGTGTAGGACTTTTAGATACTATAAGCGGAATTTCATGAACCAAATTCAAACGCACCTAAATCAGGATCACATGCATGACACACAAGAATCACATAATTATACCTTTGAAGCGTGATTTCCACGTAGCTATTCGATCAGCAAATCAGGGAGAGAATAGAGCCCCAAGCGTGACTCCTCTACTTAGTCCACGGGATTCGAATGAGCCGTCCACTAAAACTATATTGGTTGAGTGAAGGAGGAAAACCACGATCACCACCTTTGCGGACAACCGACCACCACACGAACCACCACCACCGTGCATACACCACCGGCGCACACCAAGGATCGGAGGATGGACGAGAGTGAGAGAGAGTTGGAAGGGGTTGGCTTGTGTTTTCTAATTAGGGTTTGATCTAATGATCACTGAATGTTATGTTCAACCCTAGATACCTAGTCTATTTATAATCATATTTTAACTAGACTAGGAAGCAACCCCAATCCACCTAAAATCCTCCATATGGTCGGCCACCTAGAGGGAAGGTCCATCATAGGCATCTTCCTCTTATGCGCAATTTAGGCCCTTTGTGTGACCTTATATGATCCGTTTAATTGGGTTTTAGGCTATTTTACTAGCCCAAAGATCGTAAGTACCTCTAGCTATGATAATACGACGACCCAAAAGAATGAACTTAATTATCTCCATAATTTGATCCATTTATATATCTAGTAATTGCACTTGACGAAGACATAAATCCTTCATGCTGATGTGAAATCTGGAGATGATTCTATTGAAGTGGCAGCTGAGGAAGAATTAAAGGCAGTAAATGCTAGTAAAACTATGAAAGAATACAATTAGTTTAAAAGTTTTCTCAGTAACACTAGTAGAAAAAATCAAATGAACACCGCAAAATGCACACTGGTTTTTAAAAAGTGGTGCGAAAAAAAATAGGCGGGATTGTGGGAGAGAGTAATCGCACCGGTTCAATCCAAACTGGTGCGAAAATGAGTTAATCGCACCGGTTCGAACCAGTGCGAATGTTAATGTTAAAAAAAAAATCTTGCCCTTTTATCTTCTTTGTTTCTCTTTATGTCTTCTTTGTTTCTCTTTCCTCGATCTCTTTCCCTTTCCTTTTCTCTCTCCTTCGATCTCCTTCTCCACCGCCGGCCACCTACTATGTTAATGTTAATGCAATCAAAACCGTACCACCGCCGGCCAGATCTCGAAGCCACCGCAGGCCAGATCCCTTAGCCATCGCCACTTTCCCTTTCCTTTTCTCTCTCCTTCGATCTCCTTCTCTATAACTGCGCCACAAGCAATGCCGCTCTCCTTCTCCTTCTCAGTCAGAAAGTTGGTCTGGTTTCTGCTCTTGGTTATTGGTATGTATATACTTTCCTTTTTCTGATTGTTAATTTGATTTATTTTTCAATTTCTAGGGTTTTTGTTGGCTGTAAATGTTTATTTAATTTTCTTAGTGATGGAAATTTGGGTATCGTCAAGGTTTGTGGGTATCGTTCTTAAAAACTCGACATTTCTCTCTCCTTTAATCAAGTAGATTCATGAATTATTCCTTTATTTTGATGAAATATGCGGTTTTTGTTGATGAATGTTGTTAAAATTTACGTTTTCTGTTGATGAATGAAGTGAGGTTTTTGTTGAGGAATGATGACTAAAACCAAGATCTCAGTTCACCAGGGTTCGTTTCCGAGGTTGTAACTGAACCACCAAAGAATACCCAGAACCCATAATGTAGCTCTAGTGCCTGTGGGTCAGTGAAATGCACCACAGGTTCTACTAACCCCAGTTCACAAAAGGTCCTGAAAAATGCTCCAATTGAGTCTCCCTATTCGAAATGAACTTGCTTGCTGACATTTGTTGGTAGATTTCTAAAACCATAACCTCTCTGTTATTTAAGTTTTCTAAATTTATGTTAATTCTATACTTAGAAGCATGTTTAAGTGGCGCATGAACGATTCATGTTGTATACCAGCATACGTTGCTGGCAGGCTGGATTATTGTTGCTGGTTATTGTTGATGGATTATTGTTGTTGGTTTTTTTTAATGAATTTGGTTTTTGTTGAGGAATGATGATGAATTTTGCGAATTTTTGAATTAACTTTACTCATAACATATATGAATTAGTTTCGGGTTTGGCTTTTTTTTATGAATTCATTTCGGTTTTGGCCTTAATTATGGATTTTTCTTTTGATTTTGATCCAAGTGGTTGATGAATTGTCCCTTTAAATGCAAACATTCTTTGAATTTCAAAGATGTTTGTCCCATCCTAATTGTAGATAACTCTAATTTGAATGCTTCATGGATGAAGCAGAAATTAGGGTGCTCCTTTGATTAGATAACTTGATTGCCCTTTTATATATCGTCCCTTGAATTTATTGGATTATGTCCCTTGATGTTGTTGATGAAATATCTGATTTATTGTTGCCTACGATGAAGGATTGTGTGTTGCTTGTTGATAAATGGTTGCCAGCAACTGTGATTTGTTGCTGGCCAGGGGATGTATGATTGTGATATGTTGTTGTTGCTATTGATTTTGGTGTGTCTGTGATATGTGCCTGAGTTTCTTGGATTATGTCCCTTTTTAATGTCCCTTGATTAATGTTATTTGGAATTGTCCCTTAATTATGTCCACTGTTTAATGTTGCTTGGAATATGTTCCTTGATTATGTCCCTTGATTAATGTTTCTTGGAATATACTCCTTGACTATGTCCCTTTTTAACTGACCCCAATATAACAAACCAATCCCCGTTTCACCCCAATATTTGTCCATATGTTTGTCTCCGTTTTACCCCATTGACTATCGATATGTTTGTCCCTGTTGTCAATGATGAAACCTTTGCTTGAGAAAGCCCAAATTCTGGTGAAGTGATGAATAATATTTGCCATTGACCTCCCATGAACCATTTGTGTTCTGGGATTGTAGTCTTTAGGCAGAATTGGTAGTCATGGAAAAAGGTGGGTTGTCAGTGATAGTTATGGGGGAACTGAGACTCTTAAATGGCCTCCCCCCCTTTTTTTTTCTCCTATCCATTTGTCTATGATGAAAGTCTAATATATGAGATATTACACCCAAATGATAATCATTACCTATTGATTCCAATCAATACATTTTATGTTTAATTTGTTGAGACTTTTGGGCAGATTTGTGAACTGATTTATGGGTTTATTATTAATGATGCATAGGGACATCTGGGCTGGAGCTAGTCACCCTGAATAACGTTTTATTAGGATGATTTGATTTTGAAGGGTGTTTATGCAAGAGTGAATTATTGTTATTGCTTATGAGGGATATGTAAATTGAGGATTGGAAAGTAATAATCTTGTTGTTTGTAATAGATTATCTCCTTGGGAAGTAATATGAAAAGGAATTCTTCTTGGTGTTTCAGCACTTAGTTTGAGAGATAAGTGTGCTCTATTCTAAAGGAAATATCTTATTGAATTTTTTGAGTGTTTAATTTCTCTCAAGTGTTCAAATTTGAATTTCTGGAATGAATGTTGTACACTCTCAAATTCATGCAAATAAGTTGCTTGAACTCTTTTTCATTTACTTAGTTTTTCTCTAATTGAGCAAATGAATTATTTTGGTTATGATAAGTCTAGTTTACTTGTATAATTCTGAATCATACAAGAGTACTATGTGAAGGTGTTTGAACATGTCGGTTTTGTACCGGAGAACCATACCACAAAAAAAAAGCGTTGCAGTGTTTTTGAGCACCGGTTAGCCGGTGCCAAAAATAGTAATTCGCATCGGTTAACCGGTTTAAAACTAAGAATTTCCACCGGTTATTCCATGCTTGTCTTCCATATTGAAAATATTAAATTTTGTTTGCTTGTTTAGCATGTCAGCCATAGATTTCTATTACTCGGTCAATAAGGTCAAAGGCGTTGATGGAAAGGACAGGGTTGTGGTTACTTTTGATGGGAAGTATTTGCCATACACTGAGCAGGTTAGTTGGATTTATCATATTCACTTTGTTTACGATTACAAAAAGTTCCATTGAAAGTTTGAAACATTCAAATACCTTTCTTGTTGTAGCCTGATACTAAATTTAGGTTTTTTTTTTTTTTTTTTTTTTTTTTTTTTTTTTTTAGTTTTTTAGATGGAAAGACTAATTATGTACAAATAGGGGGTTTAAATGGTTATAAACTTGCAAATTTGGCCACTGTCATTAGTTTCATACCATTACACTAATTTTTTTGTTGCCATTCCCTAATACAAAGCATATTATTACCTTACTCCAAACATACTATCTCTATTCCAGTATGCTTGAATTAGTTTCATTTATATGTTGTTTGACATCTACTCGAAATTAACATGTTTGCATTTTCTCTCACTGCCAGAAGTCTGAGCACATTCTATCAAGACCAAGGAATTGAAGACAATGAAGAATCCTTGTACAAATTGGGTTATGCCCTGTCATTTGATGTAAATGAAGTCATATTCATCAAGAACGTTTCAAGTTCTGAGAGTACTCAATTGCTGTACCAAAATTGTAATATTACAGCCTTTTTTTTAATGAAAATATGTAACTTTATATATATGTTAGTGTTTATATATTAATTTTAAGTGTAAAAAATGCAAAATGCAAAAAAAAAACAAAAAATATTAATTTTTATTTTTTTGGGGCATTAAGGGCACTGGTTTTGGCACCAAACCGGTGCCAATTGTTTTTTTTTTTTAATTTTTTTGGGGCATTAAGGGCAACGGTTTTGAACCGAACCGATGACAATTGCTATTAAATACCAAAAAAAAAAACGTGGCAGTGCTTTTTAGCACTGGTTAACCGGTGCCAAAAATATTACTTAGCACCGGTTAACCAGTGCTAAAACTAAGAATTGCCACCGGTTTTGAACCGGTGCTAATTTTCTTTTTTTTTGGCATCCCTCAAATCTAAACCGGTTCAAAACCGGTGCGAATGGGGGGTTTTGAACCGGTGCACATTTCATATTTTCTACTAGTGTAAGCAGAAGGAAGAACATATGAGTAGTGGTGATAGCAATGCATTTTTAGCAGGTAATTATTGCCTTCTGTCTTCTGCTTATAGGTAGATAGTTGATAGTGGGGCTTCTAATCATATGTGCCATAATTTGGATTTGTTTGATTCTTTTGTGGAAGTTCATGATTTGAATAATTTCATCACTATCCCTGATGGCACAAGAGTTAATAAAGTTTCTCATATTGGGACAGTCAGGTTGGATGACAGCATAGTTCTAAAGAATGTTTTGTTTGTTCCAAGCTTCCAGTTCAATATCATCTATGTTCATAAGTTGCGTCAAGATGGCAAGTGTACTGTGAGGTTCACTTCTGATAACTGTGTTGTTTAGGATCAACAAGCTATTACCCCACCACTTGTTCTTGGTAAAGTAGGCAGTGGCTTATACTTTGCAGAATGCAACTTGGGATCAGAAGTTGAAGAAATTTCTAGTACAAGGTCTGCTAATCTTTGTTTGAATAATGTAGAGCAAGCTAATAAATTGCTTCATCTCAGGTTGGGTCACTTACCTTTTACTCAACTAAATTTAGTCCAAAATAGTGTAGATTGCAGTAAAGTGGTTGAGATGTTATTTGCAATATTTGTCCTAGCTGCTAGACAACATAGAAAACCCTTCCCACACAGTAGTATTAAGACTGTTGCTCCTTTTGAATTACTCCATGTTGATGTCTGGGGTCTTTTTCAGTCCATTACTCATAATAAGTGTAATATTTTCTTGACCATTATTGATGATTACACAAGGTCTGTTTCGATTCATATGATGAGGTCCAAAACTGATTCTATTGATATTCTTTCAATTTTGTTATCTTTATTGAAAATTAATTTAGTGCTTCTGTAAAGATAATAAGAAATGACAATGCTAAAGAGCTATGTGAAGGAAGAATTCTTGTTGTGTATAAGTCAAAGGACATTATGCATCTAACAAGCTGCAGTGACACTCCACAGCAAAATGGAGTAGTTGAAAGGAAACGCAAGCACTTGTTAGAGGTTGGTAAGGCTTTTATTTTTCAGTTAAAATGGAGTAGTTTAAAGTTGCCTATGTCTTAATAGGGTGAATGTATTCAGTGTGCAGCCTACTTAATCAACATAATGCCTTCTAGTAGTTTATGTAATATGACTCCTTTTGAGAAGCTATATGGACATAGACTTGATAATAGGCAATTGAGAGTATTTGGATGTTTGTGCTATGTTTCAACAACTAAGCAAAATAGGTCTAAGTTGGAGCCAAGAGCTGATGCTTTTGTTTTAGTTGGGTACTCACCTACACAAAAAAGGTTACAAGGTTCTAAATTTGGAAACCAAGAAGATTGTTGTGTCAAGGGATGTTGTGTTCCATGAGAAACATTTTCCATTTCATGTTTCTGATACTCCACATGCTACTCCTACAGCATCTTTCTTCCTGCTCATACACCTTTTGCAGCTGTTATTGATTTTGATGTTCCAGATGTTTTTAGAGAAACATCAGATTCTTTTGGTTCTGCTCAAGAAATTTCAGTCCTGAGTGAAAATACTGATCATGGTAATACTGTTGAAGATTCTAGTATATTGTGAAAATACTTTTGTTGATGTTTCAAGGGTGGTTCAACCACCTGTTAGGCAGTCTATTAGGCCTAAAAGGCCACCTGATTACTTGGATAAGTATATTTGTGGGGCTGCTTCCCTGGGAACAGGACACTGGTGCAATTTAGTGTCATATTCTTCTTTTTCTTCAGAACACAAGACTTTTATTACTAAAGTTGGATCTCTGAAAGAACCTTTGTCTTATAAAGAGGCTGCTGGTGATAAGAATTGGGAAGTTGCTATGGAGAAAGAAATACAAGCACTTGAGAAAAACAGAACTTGGGAGCTAATTGATCTTCCTTTAGGAAAGAAACCTATAGGTTGTAAATGGGTTTTTAAGATTAAACTCAAGAAGGATGATACAATTGAGAGATTCAAGGAAAGATTAGTGGCAAAAGGGTTCAACCAGAAGTATGGAATTGACATTGAAGAAACCTTCTCACCTGTAATCAAAATGGCTTTAGTCAGGTGCATCATTGCTCTTGTTGTTCATATGAGGTGGAGTGTTTTTCAATTAGATGACAATAATGCTTTCTTGCATGGTGATTTGCATGAAAAAGTATACATGAGAATGCCTGAAGGGATTCCAAATCCTAGTAATAAGGTTTGCAGATTAAGAAAGTCTTTGATGGTCTCAAACAAGCTAGTAGACAATGGTTTGAGAAGCTTGTGTCTGAATTACAGTTTTTGGGTTTTCAACAATCTAAAAATGATTTTTCTCTAGTTATTAAATAATCTGCCACATCAAAGATCATTATTCTTGCTGTTTATATTGATGATATAGTCATCACTGGCGATGATTTGCAGCTGATCAACTCTTTGAAGTCTCATTTGCACACCACTTTCACCATCAAAGACTTGGGTGTCTTGAATTACTTCTTGGGAATGGAAGTTGGATATGACAGTAGAGGAATTACTATGTCTCAAGCAAAATTTACTAGAGAGCTTCTTAATGAAAGTGACATTTCTGTTTCCAAGCCTGCTGTGACACCTTTGCCTCTATCTTTGAAGTTACAATCTGATGATGGAGATTTGCTTGATGATCGATCCTTCTTACTACAGGTCTAGCTATTGTTGGAAAGTTGAATTTTTAAACCCACACTAGACCTGATTTGGCTTTTACAATTCATTCTCTCAGCCAATTTATGTAGACTCCTAGGTCTTTTCTTTTTAAAGCCTTGACAAATACTCTTCAATATCTTGCTGCAACTGCTGGTCAGGGCATTTTATTCAAGGGGAGCTTGAATTTAAAGTACAGGCATACTCTAATTCAAATTAGGCTGCATGTGCTGACTCTAGAAGATCAATAACAAGCTATGTGATGATGCTAGGAGATTCACCAATCAGTTGGAAATCTAAAAAGCATTCAACAGTGTCTAAATCTTCCTCTGAAGCCGAGTACAAGGCAATGGCTTCTATAGCTTCTGAAATTACATGGTTAGTCAGAATATTGGATGAAATGGGTGTTAAGGATCTCACACCTGTTCAGCTACATTGTGATATTATATATGTTAGCACTTCACATTGCTAGAAACCCAATGTTTCATGAGAGGACCAAGCATATTGACACTGATTGTCACTTTACTCGGGATAAAGTGATGGAAGGGTTTCTGCAACTTACTTATCTGCCTACTTCATCTCAGTTAGCTGACATAATGACCAAGATACTGCCTTCACCACAGTTTGAAGCTTTGAAGACCAAACTTGGCATGTTTACACCATCCCAAGTTTGAGGGCGGATGTGAATTATATCCTAGAAGCTGACTCAGCATGCTTCACAACAACTAATGCCACATTAGCTAGGTGGTTAGGATATTTTGTTTTAATGCTCAAAGTAGTTAGTTGAGCTGTAATAAAAGCAGAGCTATATAAGCTCATCTTCTTTAATTATTTAATGAATTCATTTTTGCCAAACACTTTTTCTCTCTCTAAAAACAGTTATTCTTCTTCCTTTAGCTTGAAAACGAAGCTTACACAAATATATCAATGAAGATAATTATTTCTGTTTCTTTCTTTGATTTCTGATTCTATCTGATAAGTGATAACATAGGGTGTAGTAAATGGGCGGCTAGATAAAGGTAGAGATGGCCACTAGGGTGAGTCGGGTGGGCTTGGGTTCGGTCTGATGGGTCAGGGTGAGTCTTGTCATGGGTCATTAAAGTTTGTTACTTCTTATTTAGTAAACTCAAATGATAAATTATTTTGGGCTGTTATAAGTTTATATTTGGGCTTTAGTAACTCTCTATACTTACAGACCACAATACATAAGTCAGTATATCATGAATTTATGATAAATCATCTTTTGGATCACCACCTTCTTGGACCACGTCCCACTCCTTTTAGTCTTGGGATCACCACTTTCTTGTATTTGCTGTTTATCACCAAATCTATCAAATTTACATCATCATCTACCCTTTCGCTCCATGGCATCATCAATAGTATCTACATCTAAAAGTACTAACTCCGTTTCTTATTATTTGCAACAAAAGAAATTTTTAAAATCTCACATATGAAATAATACCCCTTTGTTGCAAATAATAACGGAAGTTATTTATGTTTCATAAGATACAGATACCCAATATGCTAATCTAACCATTGGAGGGCACAACTATTCTATACAATTCTTAACATAACCAATGTACGGAGAATGTACGGATTACAAAGTACCGTGGAGCATTACACATGCCATAACCGCCAAAAATGAAAACGAAAATGAACTACTGCACAACCTTCATCACATAAATTTGCAACTTGTCAGAATCTTTCATGAATGTTTGTGTTCAGTACTATCAATAGTTCTGTAGTTCACAATTTCTATTACAGCAGTAGTAGTGGAAAACTACAAAATATCACTCTTTTAAGCCTATTTTGTGTTACAAGCAAAATTGCTCAGCTAAGTAAGGAAAAAATAATCAAATAACTAAACTAAAGTTAGCTCCCCACACAACCCCCTCCCCCCTTCCCGTTCACTCAAATAATAATGAATAAAAAGGAAAGTACAGTTTGAATGTTTAGTATTGCTGCAGGCTTGCAGCAGCAGAATATGGTCACGTTAGAGATTCGGCTCCAAATTTGAACTCATCAACTGGTAATCTCGGCACATTCTTACATTGCCTGGCGTGCGTAGCATTGTTGTGCTTGAGATTACAAGCTGTCAAGGTCGATGATAATTATATATCTGAGAATCTAAGGTCTGTGTTCAATCTGTTCATCAATAAAATTGTTGCTCCATGGGTGCAATAGAACTCTAGGAAGTCATTTCGACACTCAGATACCATGTGTCGACTTTTTATCCCAGTTCGGAATGTTGGCAGTAGCTTCATTCACCATAGAAACAAGGGTGACCTGTCAATTAATACGTAGTATATAAAGTGCCTAAAATTAGAGAAATGCATTATCATAGATATCAGTATTGCACTTTGATGTTTGAAATCATCAACTAGTTACAAGAGACTTATGCTTTTTGAGTGCAAACCATAAGATTTCCTTTTCAAAACTCAGCTGATCTAACTATATATACAATATATATACTACCAAACCACATGTTTGATTGGAGAACAAAAGATGTAAGATACAAATGCTGACAAAAATACTTAGTACAGAAAATCCAATGTGACTAGATTGCATCAGTCCAAGAGAACAGAAGACAACAAGATGGACACAGGACATGCCATCTCTAAATTAGCTATTGTGTCCCTAATACGAAGTATAATATTGTTTCGCCCAATTAATCAGCATAAATAGTAAATGCTACAACCAAATTATCAAGAGTAGAAAAATTGGGAATTAAGAAGCCAGATATCTACAATTTACCTGTATTTTGACCAATTCCCTGACAGCCCCTCACCCCCCCCCCCCCCAACCACCACAAAAATATAATACGAAGTTAAAAATTTAAAAATAGAAAAGACAGGAGGATAAAATACTAAGTAAATCAGAGCAACGTAGCAATTACACAACATTTGATGGAGAGGATGAACTCAGACACCATTAAAAAATGTCTCAATGAGAATGACACATTTCCACAAATTATAGTTCACCTCTAGCATCTAAGCTCAATGCTTCAACTGCTGCCCCTTGGAATCAGTAATATCTGATCATGTCCTTATATAAATTTTTAATTTTGGATAACTCTATATGGACTGAAACACTTGACTCAGTTTGAAATTGAAGCTTTCTGACCACTTCAAATCTTTTACCAGCAGCTAAGCCTTGATGGTTATGATCAAGTTATATAGCCATATCATCAAGTACAAGACATTTACAATACTATAAGACTAAAACCAAGAAGCACAATCCAACCCAAACTGAAAACACAAGACATTCTCCAGAAAAAGAAAAGTTTAACTTACCACACTTTCAGGAACTCCTGGAGGGGGCATGGGTAGGTTTTTAGGCGGTGGTCCACGCAAGTATGACCTTTTATCAAATCTCCACTCACCAATTTTTCCATATGTAAGCTCGCCCTAACATGGAGAGCATGAAGCAATTATTGTCTAAAGTTTGGCAATCATAATGCAGCCAGCAGAAGGCTAAATTTTAAGTCAAAAAAGTACAATAATATTTTCTTCAAGAATGAATTAACAGCCATGGGAAAGGAAAACAGGGTTTACAGGTTAAGACATGAAAATCAATACAAATAATCTGGGGTAATAAAAAGAGTAAACTACCTTCATGTTGTAGTCACATCCATAAGTATAGTGAAGAATATACTTGTCTTTAGTCGATAGATCCCATGGAGGCTGAAAGAATATATGCATATTGCATATTAGAGAGTTTTAGCAGAAACAAATTTCATCACGAATGATGTTGAAAGAAAGAAAAAAAGAGGAAGGGGAGCCAAGGCGGGGAAGTAATGATGAGATATTTTCCAACAAAATGACATACCTGGAGCATAAAGTCTTTTTGGAGGATATGCTTCACCCCATGTAGTGCAGATGCAATAGCGTATGCATACCTGTGCACAAAATAGAAATTTTTAGTCAGAACTGATTAAAACAAAGATAGTCAGGAACAAAAAATAATTCTGTTGTAGAGAGAAGCATCTTACATTTCTAGCACCCATCCAAAAGTTTTATCAGTCTCCGGATCTTCTTTCATCTTCAAAGAAACATTCATCCATGTAGGTGCAATCTTCGCTAGTATCTCCTGGATAAACCATTCAACATACATGTTTAATTTTCTTCAAAAATAAAAAAACTAGAAACACAAAACTTACGAAGAACACAAGAAAGGAAAACTAGAATATTCTAGATTCATATTAATGGCTTTTTTCATAAGTAATGGATAAACACATAGTTAGGTGTTAGGTCTATTACAAAATACATTTAAAGCAAACCCTACCTTTTTAATTATTACAGGAGAATTTCCGATAGGATCAACATTTGTGACAGGGCCATTTTCCAATGGATAAAACTTCCTTACAATCTTTTCATGGTCAGCAGGCTTAATGTAGAAAAAGGGGAAGGCAGCTGGAAGTCCTCCAAGTGCTAAATTAGGCAAAGGCCTCAAAAATATATGATCAGGCTCAGCCATCAATACATACCTGCAAGGTAGAATACTTTGTGCTCAATATAATGTATTATAAATTCAAATAACTGGAGGATCAGAACTTACTCCTCTTTAATCGGAGCCTTTACTAGCCACTGAACAAAAGCCCACGGTCTGTTCAGCACAATATAACCCTGAAAAGGATGTGCAGAGATGTATTAGATTAACTCACTTTATATGCAGGAAAAGAGGGGGGGGGGGGGGGGCGAATGAATAAAGCTAACCATTAACACATCAAATTCGACAAATAGTGACCTCAAAAGTTCAAGATGTTTATGCAGCCTTTGAAGTGGAAAAGTATAGTAAATTTCACTAATCAAATACAGCTTCCAAAACAGCTATTCAGACTCTGGATATTGGCTATATTTAAAATTGAAGATTGAGACGGAGTATTTCCTTGGTTCCAAACAGTTCCTTGAATCCATACACGAGAAAGCAAAAAATTTTGTCCACTTTCCTAAACAGCGCATTAAGCAACTTCTTAAGAGCAAGAGTGAAACTGGACCATGTAACAAACAAGAAACTGGAAAATGAACTCTTGTATACATTTAACTACAGGTAAAAGTCTCTTACAACAAAAGCATTAATAAGCTGAAAATTGACCCTCTCTTCTCTATACACCCTCCTCCCTTCTCCTCCCTCCTTTATCCCCCCCCCCCACCCCACCCCACAAATAAATATATATCCATATATATAAAAAGACAACCATTTCTCATTCAAAAAATTTCATCTTGATGCAGGAACACACAAATTAAGTACCAGGCACAGTACAGGTCACAGTATTGAACTAGAATCATTGCTAGTTTTAAAAAGCTGAAGTGTGAATTGACGTAGCACTCAAAGCGTCAAGGCTTTTAAGCTCTTAGAGCAGAAGTAAGCTTCCTCATTCAACTTGGTGTGAAAAAAAAATGTTATTCAAGAATAGTGTGAACCAAAATAATTTATTTTCTTCTGTTAAGAGTTTGGAGTATAAAAGGGTATATGACGTATTATTTTTATGAAACTTATAATTGGATTGTAAAATGAAAAAACTAGAAGTTTCTCTCATAATTCTGAACCTTCTAAATTTTCTCTGATTTTCACTTGCTCAAGCTCGTACAACTGTCCAAATTAAATACTTTTATATCATTTAATCTCAATGTTTGCTCATTCAAGTTAAATCCTTACTCATCATTTAATCATCTATAAACCTAGATCTCATTTGTATAGCCTTTAAAATCCAAACAATAGCCTATAAAACTAACAAAGTACAATCTTTGAATACAGCCTGTTTCTCATCCTCCAACACATCACAGCCATTATAGGGATTTCCTTCAGGTAATCAGAGAAAAAACTATCATAAGTGTAAATATCTGTAGTGAAGAAACCTTTAAATGAAAAATTGATAAGCATCAAAATTCAATTGTAGATAAATGCATGTCACAAATTCTCTGCTCCTCCCTTTAAGCAATCAAGCTCATAATTATGCAATTCAAGGTTCTGTATTAAGTCAAAAAAAAAAAAAAAAAAAAAAAAAAGGCTTGATTAATAAAAATATATACATCCTTTGGCCAGCGACAACATAATGCAGACATAGGAGCATATATGACTAATTGATGAGATCACTCAAGGAAAATTTGATTTTCCACACTATATCATGGCAAAAAAAAAAAAAAAGAAAAAAACATAGAGAACAGTCACAAGTCACAACACAGACCAAAAATTAACTACCTCAGTACAGTGAAAAGAACTGCAATAAATTCACACCAAGGCAAGACCAAAAAGAATTGCCATACAATACATAATAGCAACCAAATTACAAACTGATTACAAAAGCGTCATTAGCAGAATTAGACTCTCCTAGTGTACAAAGTTCCTGGAAACAAAAAGTTGGAAATCTCTGAGTCCTTTCACAAAAAGGGAGGGAAAAAAATTTAGTTCAAAAATTCTAACATTTACAGTTAATTCATTTTTTTTTTTTTTTTGAATGGTACAGTTAATTCATTTGTGATCTTCATTCACATTCTCTCCTCCAGAATTTAAAATATCCTATCATGTTCTCTGACAGTGAAACTGTATAATCTTTACCAATATAATAACAGCATCATTTTGGGAAAAAGCTTACAAGTAACCAAAAGATGTGCAAAAGAAGCAAATTTGCTTTAAGGAAGGAAGAAGCAAAGAATTACAGAACCAACTAGCCAAGACATAAATGATACAGAGTATACTACAAAAGTTAGTTTAGACACCACCTAGTGGAAATTAGTAACAAGAGAACAAAAGCAAAAAGAAAGTACAAGACAAACACTAACCCGATCCAAACCAGCAGGAAGAGGATCAACGACGAAAGTTGGGATCTCATCCATCAACTCATCAGATCTTCCAGAATGCAGAATTCTGGTAAATCCTCCGAAATCAGATCCAGACAACTCCTTCTGCTTCTTATACCAGTAGTACATAATTCGACATTGCCATTTACTATAAGGCGCATCCGTTGCAGTCAAAGCTACATGAAAAGGTTCTCTACCTCCTTTAGGTCTCTTCAAATGCTCGGGAATTTCAGTTATAGGGTCAATTAACATATCATTTCCTTGTTCATTCCGAACCCACGAACTTAATCTTCTATTATGGATCACCATAGTAATTAAATTATATGTTGCAAAGAAAAATCCAAGAGCCAAAAGAATCAACAATAATGGCGAAGCTCGTCCCATGTTCTTCCTCTCAATCATAATCAATTAACACACAAAGTCCTATTTCCAACAACCTCAAACACTCAAAAGTCAAACAACCCACTTCATCATTCACCTTATTCAACCAATTTAACCCAAATTGAACAAAAACAGCACATTCCTCAATGATCCCACTTCAGGCTATAATTCGACCGCGAAATTAACAATAAACTTAATATTACACAACACTAAAACAATTACACTATACCCACTTCAATTCAAGCTACAATAATCCATCTGCATCAAAAATACATCACCAAAACACATTATGAAACAAAATTCAGATTATGGGTACATTACAATTCAAAACCAAACAAAATAAATAGACCAATTCAATCAAAAATTCAAAATTTGACTGAACCCCATATAAGAATTAAAAGTCTAAAAAAACAACAAATTGATGAAATTAAATTAAATTAAAGAAATAATCAATGAAAGGGATTGGAGTTGAAAAATGTAATGTAAGAAATAAAAATAAAATTAATGACAGAGAAACAAGAATAAGTAGTAGTAACTGTACTATGAAACAATAAAAAGATAAGATCAAATGATCTAAATAAGTGCATGAAAACGTACAAGTGAAGTAATTAAAAAAATGGAAGAAAGTGCGTTACATGTAATCACTGACCTGGATGTGCAACGGCAAATGAGAGAGAGAAAGAGATCCGAATGTGGATTATTCGGATCAGGGTATTATGAGAAAGATGGAGAAAATTGTGGGAAAGTTTTGATTTTTATAAGGAAGTTGCAGTTTTATGATTATGATTATGATGATTCTAGTTTAAAGAGTGCAAGTTTCTCTCTTTTTCAGACAATGAACAAGTCTTTTATTTTATATGTATTATATTTTTTTTCAAATTTAATTTTGGAAGATTGTGTTGGAAGAAGTGTTTTTGCTTTGATTTATTGAGGGGTTCGGTAGAGGGGCAATTAATCAAGTCAACTCTTTACCTTCCTGTTTTGGAAGTATTCTGATCATTAATAAACTTATCCTTTTTACAAATACAATAGGGTACAAAGTATTTATATAGTCTAATATTCATAAAAAGTAATGTTACACTTATCAAATGCGACCATTTGCACAAAGAAAAAAAAATCAAATGCGGTCATTTCCATTTTTTAATTGTTATAACACTTAAAAAAAAAAAAAAGAGGAGTATATATTAATCTTATTATCATTATGAATAAAAAAAAAAAATGTGAGACATACGTATGTGACAATTGATTTTATTAGTGTTTGATTATAAAAGTCGTTAATTAATTTAAAAAATCTTTGTATTATTCTTACATGCATGTAATCTAAGCTAGCTTACCTCTACATATTCTAAAATTGTATGTATGTTTAAAAAGATTAACCTATACATTCAAAAACTATACACAAGCATAATTATGCTTCTGGGAGTAGAAAACAATTATTAATACAAAGTATTATGAGTATTATCTAATCTAGAACTACTAAAAGGAAAAACTAGATAGGCGTAGGCACTCATAAGTGCATCAAATAATTAGTTTCATTCTCATATTAAAACATATCATCAGTTCATCACAATACCTTTCAAATGAATTCAGTCATATACAAGTACTTTATATGAATAGATATATTGCAATTGATGTTCAGCATTTGCCTTTGAACCGTAATGTGAATGCTTGCAGTGCTAAAAGAACTTCCTTTATCCTTTTTTCAGCATCTGCATCAATTAAGTTACCCTCACTGTCAAACTTGGCAGGAGATTGGAATGCATTCAAGAAAAATTCTGGCTTGTTGATGAAATGAAGATCAAGATAAACTCCAATTTGCCGTAGATGATACTGGGCTCGGCCCCCACCAAAGCCTCCTCCGGTACTTATGATTGCAGCAGCCTTATCCGCCCAAACATTTGGTGGCCTAGATGCCCAATCTATTGCATTCTTCAAAGGAGCTGACAACATAATACAGCAAAAATTCAGCATCAACCAAGAGTCCAAGAGAAAATTGGAGTGACATTAGGACAGAGCTGGCCAAAAGACCCAAAACCAGGATTCAAAGATTATCGATTAATTCCAAGTAATTAGCAGTAGAGCAGGGAGAAATTCAGCAAGATGATGATAGCCTGCCAGTTGATTAGAGCTTGGCCATTTATTCTTTTTATGTTCTGGAATCTGGAGGTGTTGGAGAGGGAAGGGGAGCGGGATTAGATACTTTAATCCCTTCCCTTTGTCCCTTGTGAAAAAATATTCATAGATGGGATACTGGGATGGATAAAAGATGTGGGTAGTTCATGTAGTTGACATAATTATGCATAGAGAAGGTTGGAAAGTGTAATCCACTAAATAATGATGACAAAACAAGAATCTCACCCAGAAGGAATATTTGAGTCAAGGATGGAACTTAGAGCAAGATGCCTCTATATACAAAAAGCTATGACTTTGTTTTGGGAAGTTTTACGGCATCAGTTGGGCATCTATCACAGGACAAAAGAAGTATGAATTTATTACTTAAAAGCTCTACAGATATTAATTTGTTCAACCATGAAAGAACTGGCATGGAAGTTAATTATATGCTTATTAACACTAGCAAATAAAGTTTCAACAACTCTGCCAAAAGGGCAAAAAAACTAGAAACTTCTATAGTGTGGTGGAGTGCTTGGTCAGATACCACAGTACATGTACCATTTGTATGAAGAAATAAACTTAGAGGTCATGTACATGTACCATTTGTATGAAGAAATCCTATTTCAAATCAAACACCAATGGAGCAATCAACCACCAATGTCACGGAATTCCACCACCCACTTTTGTCAATGGCCTAGAATCAATTGTACTGGTGGTGTTACAGTCACCGGAATCTCCCTCAATAGCCAATAAATCGAAGGTACAATCCCATCGTCCATTTGTGATCTCAAGAATCTCACTCTCCTTGATCTTGGAAATAATAATATACAAGGTAACTTCCCCACAATTCTAAACAATTGCACCAAGCTTCTAACTTCAGACCTTTCCCTAATCTTGGTTGGAAAATTGCCAGTTAACATAGATGAGCTTCCTCCAATTCGCCAACACCTTGACCTTACTGCTAACAGCTTCACTGGTGACATCCCATCTTCATTAGATCAACTTAAAGGGTTGATCACCTTATATTTGAATTCTAATTTGTTAAATGGCACATTCCCTTCTGAATTGGGACTCTCGGAAAATCTTGAGGAATTACATTTAGCTAGCAACGCTTTTACCCCAAACAACTTGCAGAAAGAATTTTCCAGTACCTAAAATCATGTTACATGACCAAGATGCCCAAAGAATTTAGCCATTCTTTAATGCTTAGTATAAAAGGCTATTCCAAATGTATCCTAGGCTGTCTAAGACCTCTAACTGGTAAAGCAATTACCCATCTGCAGAAATAAGGGTGTTCAATTTTGCAATTTGCAGAGCAGAGCAAAAGACAATTGGATCATATACAGGACACAAATAAGCTCTTTATCATGGTGACACCTACTGACCTACATAAGTTCAGGTACTCCATCCTCTATTACATACAGGGTACATTTTTTTGGAAACACCAAATGACGAGGCATAATTAATCAATGATGTACTACTACTCATTTTTACTTTCCCAAGTCACTATAGTACTGAGTATTTTTTTTTTATTTTGAAAGAAGTCACAATATTATAGTCACATTTTACGTATTCTAGTGTATTATTATTTAAAAGATGAAATCTTATACGGAGTAATAAAGTACTTGCTGACCAAGAAAAGCAAGAGAACTAGAGCTCACACGTTGTAGCACAAATATTTAAAAATCCTAAATATCAGATTACTGTGTTGTCAAAGCATAAGCCGCCGACAAGTTAACATGCATTTCATTTTGTTAAAAGAATCAGTAGTGGAGTGTTGAATTCTAACTCAAATATCTCGATCCAAACTTATACTCCGTACTTCACTAGATAATATATTCATAATCTTATGGCATCACTAATAATCCCCAAACTTTTTGCACTTACTGAATGGACAACTTAACAAACTTGACCACTATCAAGAATAATCAAAGTTTAGATTTCTAATTATTGGACTATTATCTTAACCCATTGGCTGTTGTCGCTTGAAATGGTAAACTGGACTAAATAAAGGATTCGGGAAATTAAAACAGCAAAGCGAAAGTGACACGTATAATCCAAAATCATTGGGAGAAAGTAAGCATCAGTGCGTCACAATAGACCTTGCCACCAGCTGATTAAATAATGCTGATATTCCTAAACCAATTGGAAAAAAAAAAAAAAAAACCTTAAAAGACCAGGCAACTTTATGCACTTGTATTGGTATTATTGATACAAAAAAAAAAAAAAAAAAAAAAAAAAAAAGCATTACAAATTACATTAATTGATCACCAATCAACTAAAGAAATTCCAAAGCAACACTGCATTAGACTAGACCTGGCAATCCTGACCCAGACCTGATGACCCGACCCGAATGACCCGACCCATGACCCGAAATCGACCCGAAAATAGTGATATGAAACCCGAAATCTACCCGACCCGACCCATACCCGACCCGAAGTGGAATTGAACCAACCTTGACCCCGAAACAACCCGACCCGAAATGACCCGACCCGAAGTTGACCCGAGACCCGAAGTGACCCGAACTTGACCCAACCTGATACCCAAAGTGAGCCGACCTTTAACTTGAATTAATTGACTCAAATAGACTCGAAACCTAAAGTGACCCGAACTAAGATTACCTTATACCTGAAATGACCATAATCTATTAAAGCTAACGATTTGACCTCATCAAACCGAAATAGAAAATAACATTAATAAAATCCCTCTTAGTTTCAAGAGATCCTGAAATTGATACTCAATCTAAACACCAAAAAAGGTCAATAAAGTCTAACAATTACTATATTCCAAAAAAAAAGTAGCCTTAATAAATATAGTGAGTTTCTCGTCAATAAATAAATAAATATATATACAGAGTTGAATTTAACCCAATACATCGACCCGAATATGACCCGACTCGAAGTTGACCGGAAATTTGCACCCGAAAATTGACCCGACCCGAAGTGTTGACCCGATACCCGACCCGACCCGATCATCAGTCAACCCGAAACCCGAAATGACCCAACCCGACTTGACCCAATAACTTTTTGACCCGAACTTGACCCGACCCGACCCATACCTGACCCGAAATGATCCATTTGCCAGGTCTACAATTTTTTTTTTTTTTTGAAGCATGCCAGGTCTACATTAGACCATAACTAGAATATACAATTTCATTCCCAAAAGCATGTTTTATGAAACTAACCAAAAAAAAAAAAAATCAAATTCACATAAAAATAACAATCATTTTGGAAAACAATTATGTGCAATTCAGGCAATAGTATAGACACGATCACACGATTCGATCCTAGATCTTGGATTCTAGTACCACCTTCCCAGACTTTTAACAAAGGTCATTGACATTACCATCTAATAAAATTTGATGCAATACAAATTTCTCCAACAGTAGCATAAGTTTTTCTTTTATTTCGAAATGCAAGTAAAATAAAATTGTCCCACACTTGCAATTTAGCAAAAAAAAAAATTAAAAACAAAATATTAACATATATTCTTACAAATTAACAAACCGAAATTTTGCCAAACAATCTACACTACTACAGGATAATCAAGCACCAATTAATGATATAACACAAAAGAAAAAAAAAATGGTAAAATTGCAATAATTATCAAAACGAATTTAAAAAAAAAAAAAAAAAAAAAGAGAGAAAAGATATCATACGAGAGACAGAGTAATTATACTCAGGAGAAGCGAAGAGAACACAATCAGCTTCGAGAATTTTCTGGCGAAATGCATCAACGACGGGAGGATAAGTACCGTCGACCTCGAGATCAGTGTTAATCATCGGCAATGGCGAAATATCGATGTGATTGATTTTCATTGTTTGTATTGATTCTGAACTTATCTTCATTGCTGAATTCATTCAAAATTGAAAATAATTTAACAGCATTAGAATTTGTGGGTTTTAGAATTTGACTGAGGAGGAGAGAGAAAGAGAGAGTACCTGCTCGGAGGAGGCCTCTGTTGTAGGAAGCTTTACGAAGGGACCCGCAAATGGCGGCGACATTGATTACTGGTTTCACTGCTGCTGCTGCCGCCTCCATTTTTATGAGATTATCAAAAATTTGTTTGTTTGCTTTAGTAGTGGAGACTGGAGAGATTAGTTAGGCACTTGGACCGACGCCCTATGTAATCTGGACATCTGGTATACATATACTCTGTCGGCTGTATCACCGTATGAATACTAGGGATGTTAATGGGGCGAGACGGGGCGAATTTTGGCCTTCCCAACCCCATCCTCATCTAAAATTTTCATACCCATTCCCATCCCATCCCTATCCCCGCGGTGGGTCTAAAATTCATTCTCATCCCCACCCCGACGGGTACAATTCCAAAATCATCCCCGCCCTAACCCCCAATTGGATATCCACCCTCACCTAATCCCCACCTCCCAAATACACAATCTTTCATAATTAATAGAGATTGCAAAAGGAAAAAAATTATTGTTAATATTACATACTTTTTTTTGTTTATAATATAAGTGTATTACAAAGTATTATATTTACTATTATTTTACATAATTTTTTTTATAAAATAGTATAAAAGTATATAATTTTGTTTTTAAAAATGTATGGATGTGGGAATGGGGCGGGTACAACCTAAAATCCACCCCCGCCCCATCACCTATGGCGGGTATGGTTTTTATCCCCATCATCCGCCAAACCAAGACTCATCCCCGCCCGTTGGGACGGGGATGGAGCGGGTCTCCTATTTGACCTGCCCCACTGGCATCCCTACGTATGATTGTGAAATAAAATTTACCCAATCGATCTAATAGTCCTAACTCGAAAGTGAACCAATTCAGACTTGTATGGGTTTTGTGATTTACTAATTACAGAGTAGCATATATCAGACCCGAACTAGCCTTGACCTGACTAAACCTAACTAGCCCGATCTAGTGACCCTAATTGACACTTCACCGTAAAAAGGCATAGTAATGTGAGAACCGAGAAGCACTTCCTACATCTTACAGAATTGAAGCACTTTTACGTTTTTTTTTTTTCCTTTTTGTTCAATAAATAAATAAGAGGCTACCCCCATTCATCTTTATGATGAACATGTTTCGTTCATCTTGTGGTAATTTGGTAAATACTGCAAACAGGAAAATGTACACGTTAGATGTGAAGTGGTTAGGACGTTGGACATGCTCGCAGTGTCCTTAATTTTATTGACGTATTTCAAAACTCTGTTCATTGACGGAGTTTTGAGGCTATCTACTCGCCGTTACCCGACAGTTAAATGAAATATAATAATACTTGGTCTTCCATTTTGTTAGGTTTACTTAGTCGGAGCTCGGATTACATTGCTAGGGAAGCAGTAGGAAGATCAATGACAACCCTCTCGAAGTACAAATCGATGGGAATTGGGGAATAGCGTGAAGAGGTGGTGATTGTCCGTGCACTCTAGTCAGGTAAGATAATCTGTTCCAAATTTCGTTTCAATTATGCTGATGTTGTATGTAGATCCTCATTATTGTTGATTGTGTGAACGTTTTTGTAATCTTGTTTGATCTGCCTTATATTTTCTATGTACGAAAAGATCGGGTGTGGAAATTGTGGTCTTAATTGTATGGATGGGAATTTATTAATGTTGTCTGTTCATCGCTAAATCTATAGCCACGGTTGATGTTTAAAATACGTTGTTGTTTGTGTACCTTGATTATTACCATCCAGTTCTACTTGTATAAAACGGGAGAGCTAGTGCATTAGTGTGAAGCAGATAATTAAGCTACACAAAAATTCAAAAAATAGGAAGTTGTTCTTGTTATGGAAGCGTAATTTTAACTGTGCCTGCATTGATTTTGTTATGTGCAGATTTGCTGGGTTGTTTTGGCGTGAAGTTGGTGGTATATAGACCTAAATTAAAATCTTAATTAGAAGATGGCGGATTGTCAGGTCTCTCCGCCTGCTTCTATTGGGATGCAAGACAAGGGTAGTGGGGTAAGGTGTATGGAGGAGATATTTGAGATAGAGGATGAGATAGAGCATGAGATAGAGGCTGGTGTCGAACCTCCTTGTGAAGATAAAACTGGTGTAATTGTACCCTTTGTTGTTGGTAATCTCACTCTAGTAAATGACCAAGTAGTGCGTTGTTTATCCCCAATAAAAACTGTTGATACAGTACAAACTTTTGTGGCTAATAATCGTGTGAGTGTAGTGAGTTATGTTGAAGCACCTAAGATTGGCATGATCTTTAAGAGTTGGCAAGACGTCGAAGCATATTACTAAGAGTATGCTGAGCAATAGGGTTTTGGTGTTAGTAGGGTACAGGGGATGCTTTCCAAGAAAAAAGGGAAAATCAGATTTCTACAACATGGAGGTGTGAGTGTTATGAGAGATCTGATATGAGGGCACAAAGGGAAGCCAAGAAAAGGGCAAAGGAGATGGGGATGAGTGGTTTAGGAGGTGTAGTAGGTGGTGTGGTGAGCGAGGATGAATTGAGTCGCAGTAAAAGACATTCTAAGAAGTGTGAATGTAAAGCTAGGGTTTATTGTGCTGGGTAATGGGTAATAAGGAGAGTTGAGTTAGAAAATTCAAGGCATACACCAAATCTTGAGGATGTGAAGCTTGTGAAAGAGTATTGAATGAAGAGCTTTACATCAATAGTTAGGAGGAAGTTGTTGAATTTTTTTTATGAAGGTGTTCTTGTGTCCCAAATTCATGGCTGCCTTGGCACCGAGATTGATGGGTGTGATACGTGGTCATTTACCGTTAAAGATCTACAGCATAAGGTGTATAAGAGCAAAAGGTTAAAAATGGCAGGAGGTGATTCAACCGCAATGATAGCATACTTTCAACAAATGCAAGCAGGGAATCAAATTTTTTTCCATTTACAACGTTTGGATAAGGATGGAAGGTTAAAAGATGTGTTGTGGGTGGAAGGTTAAAAGATGTGTTGTGTGCTTTGATACAACGTATTTGACAAATGAGTATGATCTTCCATTTGTCAACTTTGTGGGTGTTAATCACCATGGGCAGTCACTTCTGCTAGGTTGTGCTTTGGTATCCCACGAGGATAGTGAAACCTATAGGTGGGTGTTTAGGCAGTGGTTGGAGTGTATGAATTATGTAGCACCTAAAGCAATCCTCACAGATCAAGCTGCTTCCAAGCGTAGGCCACTAGAGGAGGTCATGCCTAATACACGACACCGATGGTGCATTTGGCACATAATGAGAAAGATTCCTGAAAAACTTGTAAATGTGACAGGTTAGGAACTTTTGTTTCCATTGGTGGTACCTGTTAAGTAATATGTTGTTAGTGATGTGATGTTTTCAATAATTTTAACCAATGCATTTATTTGATAGATACCAAGAATTCAAGAGCAAGTTGAAGGCCATTGTCTAAAAGAGCTTTACAATCCAAGAGTTTGAGAGTCGGTGGTGTGCCCTAGTTGGCATGTATAAGCTGGAAAAAAAATGAGTGGCTTATTAGCCTATATAAGGAACGACATATGTGGGTTTCGGCTTTCATGAAAGAATGCAATTGGGCCGGCATGAAGACAACCTAACAATTTGAGAGTATTAATAGTTTTTTCGATGGATTTGTCAATCGACATACAAAATTGCATGAATTTCCTCTGAAGTATTCTAAGGCTATGGAGAAGCGGGTTCGAGCTGAGATAGAAGCCGATGCAAAATGTTCAAAGTACATCAGAAGGGTTGTGAGTGATTTCGCGGTGGAAAGCTTTTCTAGAAACTGTACACCGACACCAAGTTCCAAGAGGTGCAAACAAAATGTATGTGGGCGAATTATGTACTGTTATCCTCGGGATGAGAACATAATATCAAATAATCTAATACAATATGTGCTGGAAGACCGGGTTTGGGTTGTTCCCGAAGGCAAAAGTGAAGAAGTGTTGGCTGATCGGCGAAGGTTTTATTCAGCGACGTACAACCCGGAAACAAAAGTGGTATGTGTCGACAGTCGATTAGGATTCTTGACTTGAATCATGTTGCGAACATCCCTCAATGTTACATCTTAAACCGGTGGCGTAAGGACATAATGAGGAAGGATACATGCGTGAAGGTTTTTTACCATGATCCCAACAAGACGTTGGAGGTGAAAAGGCATAATATCCTCATGAACGTGTTTAAGCCCATTTGTGAAGAGGTTGCAATGGTCGATGATCCGACAGTGGGAATGGTGTTGAATTGTCTTGAGAACCTTAAAACCGAGGTTCACAAGTGTAGTAAGCGGAAGCTAGACCAAACTATCCCATGTACTAATCCTGGAGATGGTGCTGAAACAATTGACTTGAGTTCAGATAATAACTGCAACAACTCATCTGTGAAAAAGGCTTCTCCTTCAAAGGATAATCCACATAAAGAGACTGGTTTAAATGAGCAATGCAATGCTGCAGTTAAAAACCCGGTGCCTAAGAAGAAGGGTTGCGGAAGGCCAAAGGGTTTGAGGAATAAAGCTAAAGGAGCTAAAGTTGGGTTTAAGAAGCGAAATGGGAAGAAGCAAACTCTCCCTTGTAGTCAACCAGAGGATGTTGCTGAATGGACCAACTCAACCGTGAAAAACTGTACTCCCTCTAAGGAAATTCCACACTCAGATGATGGCGGTTTAAATGGGGATTGTGAAGCTGCAGTTCCAGACACAGTCCCTATGAAGAAGGGTCATGGAAGGCCAAAGGGTTCAAGGAATAAAGGACTTGCAGCGAAGAAGGTTTTTAAGAAGGTGATAGTTATGTACTTGATTATTGTTGATTGTAAATGTTAAAAATATTGTTTAAAATAAAAGTGACATTTAATTGAAACATGTAAAATAAGTAAGATAATTATTCTTGCAAATTCAACAATTACAACAATAAATATAACATGAAATTACTTCACCTGTAAAAATTGACTGTACTAAACGATCCAATTATCACGTTTTTTTTTTTTTTTTTTTTTGGTAAATAGTAAATATTATTTCCAAAAAAGGGGTTACTGCCCAAAGAAGCAGTAGCACGAAGAAATATAACAAAGCCCTTTGGCCAAAACACCAAAAATACCAACAGACTAAAGGCAACACAAACACCTAGTAGCAACGGAACCCAAGCCACCTTCCAGGAACAGACCATGGGAGACCGAAGCTACTAACCAAAACCGGGCTTCCCTAGTCTCACCCAAGGCCACCTTCTAGGAAGGGTTCCCTAGGGGGCTAGGACAAAAAAAACCCATACAAAGCCAGAATGGCAAGAGACATCAAAAAAAAAAAACTTAGCAAAACACCATCAAAGCAAAGAGATGGGCAGCAGCAGCAGGCCAGACCAACAGCAGCTAAAGCTCCAGCAACCTGCAAGCCAGCAGCAGACAGCAGCAGCTTCCTGCCAACCATCAGCACCACCCAGAACCCCATAGCAGCAACACAGCCCTGACCCAGCTCATAACCAGCAAAGAAGCAGCTTCATTCCAGCCCAAGCAGCATGCCAACAATCTTAATTAAGCAGAATTAGATCGATACTGATTCATTAACCATAATAAGGTAACTGAAAGTAAACTTGGTTATCTTCAAACAATCTCTAACTCAAGCCGAATTGAACTAAACTTGATCAGAACGACCCATTTGAAATCTTCTAAAACGCTATTGAGATTTGCCTTTGATAAGGCGGAGTGTAAATGCCTTCAATGCAAGGAGCATTTCCAGCAACCTTTGCCTGAGATCTTCATCAATCAAGTCACCATTATCATCAAATTTCTTAGGAGGTAAAACAGAATTCACAAAGAATTCAGGCTTGTTGATGAAATGAATGTCAAGGAAAACTCCGATTTGGCGAAGATGATATTGCCCACTTCTGCTACTGGCTTGTATACTGGCTACTGCTGCTGGCTTGTCCGCCCAAGCGTTTGGTGGTCTTGATGCCCAATCTAGTGCATTTTTAATAATTGCTGGTAGAATACAAAGGTTGAACATAAATTAGTTACTTTACTATAATTATAAATTTGTACTCGTATTCGTTTAGTGAAGTATAATGCATAAATACATTCATTGATGGACAAAAATTTGTTTCTTACATGACATTTTTGTAAATAAACCAACAACTTTATTCAACTTTATTCAATTGTGGAGCTCACAATAATGAAAAAGTTTGTTGATTTATTCACGAAAATACCTTTATGACATTTCTCACTATGAAAAACAGGAAATTTCCCCAAAAATAAGAAAAAAGGCAAAATAAACTTGGTCATGTTTATGCATTAAATAAGTTATTTGGATTGAGTTTGGTTTGGTTTGATTAACTTCATATTTGGTTGATGAGTCATTTTGTTTGGATCAAGGATCTTACTTGGTTCTTTACAAAACAATTTACTGCGTAGTACTACAACTTCAAATTAGATGACATGATTGGGTTGAGTGGGGAGTGTTGGGTCATGTCTAAGTTGAGTGGCTCGAATCTTGAAAATTTTCTATTTGGTTAGTCAATTTAGGTGATTTCGAATTGGGTCAGTTATTGACTATTCTAATTGTAAGCAAATCACTTGCAGTCTAGCTAATTAATATTAATACACAATCTAAGTTCAATTAACCGGTATAGTTAATTAGTTAATACAAAGTGATAATATAGGATCGATTTACTATCTACCAAATAATCTAGCTTAACATTCGCAAAGCATAAACTAAGCCAAAAACACTTGAAACATCAAGTTAAATAAGAAAGTGAAAGAAATAATACTTACGTGTGACAGAGTAATTATAATCAGGAGTAGCAAAAAACACAGCATCAGCTTCACGAATCTTGCTTCTAAACTCTTCAACCAATGGTGGGTAAGTGCCATTCACCTCAAGGTCAACATTCAACATTGGCAATTTCGATATGTCTATTTCTTCCATTTCCATTCCTTGTATTGCTGACTCTGAGCACATCTTCATTGCTGTAAAATCATCACAATAACATCATATTCAATATACTTTCGTCGTCTAAGATTTCAAATAGAAAGAACAAAAAGGAACGAATAAATATATTATATAGCGCAATAAAAAAACATTATACCTGCACGGATGATGCCCCGATTGGCAGAAGCTTTACGAAGAGAGCCACAAAGAGCAACGACCTTAATCACTGATTTCTCTTCCATTTCACTTCCCATTTTCTCTCTACTGTTTTTTTTTTCTTTAGGTACTGATTTATTTGATAGGTTATTCTTTGTTCAAGTTGAAGTCGTACATCTTATTGTGTAGATTCATGGTGTGTCACATGGCTTTATATAAGGGAGGGAAATATTAGAATTAAATGTCGTAACCAAATTTAATTGGCCAATATGATTGTCAATCCAATGGTCAGATAAAGTCCGAGGATCCTTTTCTATTTTGCTGACCTATGCGATGATGTGGCTTTTCAATTTGTGGTGCTCTTTTTCTTTTTCTTTATTTATTATTTATTATTAATATTATTATTTCTTGAACTTTCATATAAATTACTCCCATGTTTCTTATTTTTGTGAGATATTATTATATACACCCGAATGTATAATGTAATCATGAGTATTATATCCTTATTTTTGGAGTAAATGATTGTTTTTTTTTTATTTAATCATCAAATGAAGAGCAAAAACTAGTATTGGGTTAGTTGGATGCACAATGCACAGGGGTATTAGATGGACGCATGGTGCACGTGTATATAAAAAATCCATATATTTTGCCCCATAGGCGTCGTTCACCTTATTAATTTTATATGGAGTATTGTATAAATTTAATGAGAGATAATAATGGTGGGTTCAAAATATTGCGTGTAATAGAATAATAATGGTTATATACTTCCTCTGTTCCACAAATATTGCAATAAGGATGAAATTACGCATCCCAAAGCACATTTTATATGTTAAATGTCTATAATTATATAAGAGTAAAAATTATAAAAAGTTGATATTGTGAAAACGAGACGAATTTAACAAGACCTCAGATGACTATATTTTACTTTACGTATTAATCATAATTTGTGGTCAAAAAAGCATGATGAATAGTGCAAAAGTGTAGTTATTGCAATATCACTAAAACGAAGGAAGTATATAGTATGGAGCAAAATAAAAAGGACAATCCAAAAAGAAAAGTGGAGCAAAAATTAAGGGGCAGTGAATGTAGCATATAAATGCGTTTTTAAGAAAGTCTATGTGTCACGTATACTCCTTCATTATGCCACATCAATTACTCAACATCTTATTACTCTATGTCACCCTCTCAACGCCACATGGTTCTCCCTTTCATATGTTTCTCATTGCATGTCATGCACTTATATTAAAAAAAAAAAAAAAAAAAGTTCTCCACACATGCAACCTCTAATTTTAGAACTAAACGTCTCACCGCCAAGATATGTGATATTTTATGTTATTTTATGATACAAAATATTAATATATATATAACAAATTTAATAACAAGAAAAATGTAATGACCCACGGCATCACCCGAGCCCAATTACTAGTTTCAGATTATATTATAAAAAACAAAGTTTAGATCAAATCATATTATAGAGTAGAAATATAACTTCATATGGAGTATAAGATTAGATACATCAAATAAGTTTAGATCTCATCAAACATAAAATTGTATGAAGTAATACATTTATATCATATTAGATTAAATAAAAAATTGTGATAAGATCATAAAGCTTATTTTACAAACTAACTAAATTGTAACTTGTAAGGATGATTATAATAAAACTACAAACATTACAATTACCATATTACTAATACTATTGGTAACACTCCATATAATAACAAAAACAATTATTGTTACTCTCTCTTTTTCTTAATAGTTCTATTTAAAATAATCTATTTCAGTTACGTTCCGTGATTTATGATTAAAGTAAAACGTAGTCATATGAGATTTTGTTAGATTCGTCTTAATACGTACATTTTTTTAAAAAATTAAATTAATTTTTATGATTTTTACACATGCTTAATAAAATATTTTATGTATTGACAAATGTGAAAACAAAAGTGTTTTAAGTTTTTTTTTTTAAAAAAAAGATGAGGTACAATTTAGTAAAACCTATTTAGAAATTGGATTATGTGTAGATTCAATAAACCTTCAATTCAATAATTTGGATACATATTTTGGTTTCAAGTTTTGATTCAAATGCAGATGTTAGTAACAAGTGGGCTTAGCGATGGGTTGATCCTACCAAGGAACGCAAGCCTGACACTAAGTACAACCCATAACCATCTTTAAAAGTTTAATTAATACAAACAAATCAATTGCTATATTGCCTACACAAATGAATTAAGCTATTTTATATCATTGAAAAACATTTTTTTCAATAAAAATTGTCAAACCAACAAATCATGGTATTTATAAAGTTTGGAAAAATTGTATTGTATGGGACTCAAGCTGTTGGAGTATATATAAATCTAAAACCAACAATTCGAGAAGAATGATTTATTTATATTTTTGGTTCATTGAGATCAAAGACAACGACATAAAATGCAACACCATATCACTGATTCACTGTACAATAATTTGGGTTAGTATAATATTATAAAATCTCTTAAACTGTTAAAATAATATGTTTATAGCCAAAATATATTTATAAATTATGCGTTGACCTCAAACAACCTCTATATATCATGCAGGCCGTATTCTAAAGTACAATATATCTTGATCATGAACAAGTCTTGAAAGCATAGTTGTAATTTGTAAGCTGATACACCCAGATGCCATGTACCTAAAAGTAGGTACGGTACATTCAAAGCTATTTTTATCGCTCTTTAACTCATAATGCTAAATGAGTTTTTAGTAGAAAAAGATCAGCGAGTAAGACAATTTTAGATGCGCTTATTTATCATGTTATAGGTACATCCAAATATTTAAGTTATAATAACGTCATCCGTCCAACACAATGGAGTCATAAAGAGCAGTTAATCAAACCAAGATGACTTAAAATGCAGGTCAAAATGTAGGTGAAAACAGGAATAATACAAAAAATTAATTGAAGAATTATGTTAAAATTAGGAGGGATAATATGTAACAAAAAATGAAATAAAATGATGCCAAATAGTCATAAAGGATTGAGGATTTGGAAGACTAAAAATGGGAAATGCACAGCAAAGTCTACAACTGGCACCATTAAATTTCTTACATGCAAACATCTCTTCCAACTGTTTGGTATGTTAGCAGTTTTAGGAGCAGATTTCGGAGACATTTAGATGGGTTTTGTTCAATCCTTTGGTCCAAACACAGAAATTATCAGAGGATAGGAGAGAGAGAGAAGAGTAAAATAAATTAAATAAAATAATTAATAAGTAAAAATAAATTAAAAAAATCCCACAAAAATAGACATAGAAAATACAGAGCCGGCCATTGGCTCCATTTTTTCACATTTTTTTTTGACAACAAACATCATATTGCATTTTTCACACCAGAATATTCAACCCCATGTCTTAAAATCATTAATTTATATCAAAGTTCCAATCTTTTTTGAATATTTTGATGATTCAGTTATGTGGGTATGTCAAAGTTTCAATCTTTGAGACAATGTGAGTTGTTATGATTAAGAGGCAAAAAGAAGGGGAAAAAAGATTGCAGTTTTATTTTTTCTTAGAATTTTTTTGAGGAAATTATTTAATGAAGGATGGAGATTAGATGATGGAAAGGGAGAAGAGAAAACAGGGGATTAAGGAATGAGCTGAGATTAGGTAGGAAGAGGAAAAAGGAAGATAATGAGCAAAGATTTTGCTGGTATCTTCAAGTTCAAGGTAAAGAAATCAACCGCAGTAGCAGCAAGAAGAACAAAAACCAACAGCATCTTTGCATCAATGTCTGTTGCCCACGTGGACGACGAAGACCTCGCCGCCACAGGACCCGGGTCAAGAGCCGGGCCCGGGGAGGCGTACCGAGCTGAGACGGTGTTCACCAATGGGGATTTCTATACAGGGCAGTGGATTGATAACCTCCCCCATGGTAATGGAAAGTATTTGTGGAATGATGGTTGTATGTATGTAGGAGAATGGCAAAAAGGTAAAGCAATGGGTAAGGGTAGGTTCACTTGGCCTTCAGGAGCAACCTATGAAGGGGAATTCAAAAGAGGTTATATGGATGGAATAGGAACTTATACTAGTGCAAATGAGAATTCATACAAAGGATTTTGGTCAATGAATACGAAACACGGGAAAGGTTCCGAACACTTTGCAAATGGAGATTACTATGAAGGGGAATGGATAAAGGGAATGCAAGAAGGTCAAGGGAAATATCAATGGGTGAATGGGAATTGTTATGTAGGTCAATGGAAAAATGGAGTTTTTCATGGTAATGGTACTTTAAATTTTGCTAATGGGAATGTTTTTGAAGGGTGTTGGGAGGAAGGGTATCCTAAGGGGGAAGGTACTTACAAATGGGAAAATGGAAGTTGTTATGTTGGTGTTTGGAGTATTGAACCTAGTGAGCAAAGTGTCACCTATTACGCGGCAAGTAATGCATCCGATACTGGAGAAGGTGAATGGGATCCTCAAGATTTGTTTAATGTTGATATGAATGAATGCAAGATTTACCCAGGAGAGGAGATTACCATGTTTCCATCACAGAAGGTAGTCAACTGGCCTAGTTTCAATGGAAAGACAACGAGGAAGTTGGTTGATAGTAGGGCCTCGAAAGCAGGTTGGGAATATGATCAAGATAGTTCTCCTAATGGTTTGAATAGGAGAACTGGAGAGCGTTTGGAAAATTCCATGCCACGGAACTTTCGACCTATTCTACTCCCTAAGACAATCAAGAAGCAAGGCGAGACTATCTGTAGGGGGCATAAAAATTATGAGTTGATGCTCAGCTTGCAGCTAGGAATAAGGTTAGTACAGTTTTTTTTTTTTTCAAGCTTCTGTCAATAAATATATATCTGTTCATACCCTACTTTGCTTCTCAGTGATCTATTTTGATTTAGTTGCTGTGTAAGAACACATACCTCTGTACTGCAGATTGTTACAGAGTCGAGAATATCTGTTGTATGCAGACTGCAGTTACAGGTGAAAACATAGTGTTCGCTAGTTGATCATTAGCTAACAGCCTTGGGTATCTTTGTGCAGACATTCTGTGGGAAGACCTGGGCCACCAATAAAGCGTGACCTGAAGTCTTCGGCTTTTGATCCCAAGGAAAAAGTTTGGACGAAATTCCCACCAGAAGGTTCCAAGCACACTCCTCCCCATCCATCTTGTGATTTCAAATGGAAGGATTACTGTCCTTTGGTTTTCAGGTTAGCCTTGTAATGTAGGTACTTTGGATTCTTCAGTATCTTTTCTGGTATACAAAGCAATGAAAGCATCTTTGAGGATTTTTATAGCTTGTATTGATTCAATCAAAGCATGTAGAATGTAAATACGTACCAAACCATGCAACTATGCAAGCCAGGTGCTTGGCCCTCTTGAGGCATGACCCAGAAGGAGCCTCCCAAGTAGGACGAGGTCGTGTTTGGCCATGTCTTGCAAAGGTTGTCAGGGGCATGATGGGTGGCCGACTGGCTGGCAAGGCCAATGAGTAACATGGGAACCTCTAGGAGCCTTAGCTGAATAATTTTTGTATTGAGGAGTTCCTACTCATCTGTAGAAGTTTTTATCATCTGCAAAACAACTTTTCTGCTTTATTGGTTTGTACTTGGGAGGAAATTTAAATGTCACTAACAAGTGATAATTTTAAACGAATGACTTTTAAATTATTAATCAATCGTAATCTTAAGTTCTGATCATATTTCTGCTCAGGACCCTAAGGACACTGTTCAAAGTGGATGCAGCTGACTATATGTTATCAATTTGTGGCAATGATGCCCTTCGGGAGCTTTCATCTCCGGGAAAAAGTGGAAGCTTCTTTTACTTAACCCACGATGACAAGTATATGATTAAGACGATGAAGAAATCCGAAGTAAAAGTGAGTTTCTCTGCTTCACATTAGTTAAATTTTATCTGTTAATCTAATTTGTTACTCTCAAATAGCCCGATATGATGCATAATTCGTAAAAAGCTAAAACATTTTTCTATCTACCTAGCGTGTATTTTAGGCTGCTTACTCAATTAGCTGACAATGTTTTCACTGATAAGCCATTCTTATATCGTGCAACCGGGAGGCAGGAGCACAATCAATGGTGCTCCTCTGCCGGTATGTGCATAGCATACACTACCTTCATGTGCCCTACATGTCTCACATGCGCTAGTGGTCACCATGCTAAGTGGTGTTTCTATTTGTGCAAATAGATTAAAAGGCCTACTTTAACATATTTTGACCCTTATGCAGGTGCTCCTTAGGATGCTTCGAGCTTATTATAACCATGTTCGCACTTTTGAAGACACTTTAGTAACCAGGTTTTATGGTCTTCACTGTGTGAAGTTGACAGGAGCAACACAGAAGAAAGTGAGACTGAATAAGCCACAGACTGTACTTTCAGTAAATCTTATGTACTATCTGCTATTTCTACTCATAGTTTTGCAATTGATGGAACAGGTTCGATTTGTTATAATGGGAAACCTCTTTTGTACTGACTATGCCATTCACCGGCGGTTTGATTTGAAAGGCTCTTCGCATGGGCGTACAACAGATAAACCCGAGTCAGAAATTGACCCAACCACCACCCTCAAAGATTTAGATCTTAATTATATCTTCCGATTACAGAGGTTTTGGTTCCAAGAGTTCTGCAGGTGATTATTAATTTGTTTTCTTTTTGCTGAAACCAGAAACAGTTGATTAGTCAAAACTTTTTGACTTCTTGTAAATTTTAATGCTTCAATATGCCTAAAGAGAACTTAGTCTAAAAAGTTGCATGTATTATTGTATTATGATATTTCCTTTGTGTTTTCTTAATAATCTTTGAATAATTTTGGAAATTTCTTTATGCAGGCAAGTAGACAGGGACTGCGACTTCCTCGAGCAGGAGAGGATTATGGATTATAGTCTTTTAGTTGGTTTACACTTTCGAGATTCTTGTGCAAAAACTTCAGAAGGTGAAATTTTAGATACAATCCTATGATTCTATTTCTTTCTTTTCTTGTCACTAATATAGTTATTTTCCCATTTATAAATTTTGTTTTCATAATTTCATACAATTCTTACAAAGATAAGAATTGTAAATTGGATATGTTCTAAGAGAAATCCACTAGCCTGGGAGGAGGAACATACATGAACAGGGGTTTTGGATAGATGATAATGTTGCATCAAGGGAATGTTTTTTTATTTTTATTTTTATAACATTTATATCTAGATTCAGATCTTTGGCTTCTTTCGGTTCTTTGCCATAAGGTTATTAAGAAGTTTAAGTATGTGTAAAACTTTTTTGATGCAGGAAAAGGAGAAAGTAATAGTGACCTGATAGCGCCTCGGCTTTCTAAAGTAAACGAAACAGATAAACTAGTTTTTGATCCTAACCAGTAAGCTCTTATCCAATGTTGTATAATGTTTTAGATCTTCTCAATTGTTGAGAAATTTATTGATTTACTGCTTTATACTAGTTCACATTCAATTTGGTATTGGTGTTTTTCTTGCAGGTGGGCATCGATTCGATTAGGGATCAACATGCCAGCACGAGCAGAATTGACAATACGAAAATCAGAAGATGGTGAATTTCAGGTAGTAGAACCAACAGGAGAGTGCTATGATGTTATCATCTTCTTTGGAATAATTGACATTCTACAAGACTACGATATCAGCAAAAAGCTAGAGCATGCATATAAGGCTTTCCAATATGATTCCACTTCTATTTCTGCTGTTGATCCTAGGCAGTACTCAAAACGTTTCCGAGATTTCATTTACAAGGTATTTGCAGAAGATGGGTAATGGAGATCAACATTCATTCCACAAAATTTCAGTTTTCAGCCAGATGCTCGTTTTACAGCCAGGATTTTCATTGTATCAGAATTTAAGCAGGCAATTCTGGCAATCAGAGCAGGCAGCCAGGCAGCATTCGGCAAGAACAACACTTTAGGACTCATTCCCATGACAAATTGTTTTAGTGAAAAAAAGGTATAGATTTAACCAAAAAAAAAGGAAAAATAGAAGCTGCTCCTCAAAGATTATTTAACTGTAAATTACATCTCCTAAAACTCGAAAGATAAACAGATTGGTTAGGCTGATTCTTCTTACAACTCAAAATTTCATTTTATTTTTTCTTTTGGTCCCAGAAAAATGAAGAACTTGGGGGTCAAATTTACTAGTTGGTAATTGTACAGAATTCATTGAGGTAAACTTTTTGGTAGTATAATTTATCTAACAGGGAAACGATATTCTTACAGTTTTCTTTGTGGTTATAGCTTGTATTTTGTGGTTAGATATAATTAGGAGCACATTCTAAGTCGAATTTGCCATATGACTGCTAATCTTATCATAATGCTCTCCCATTACATGGAAAATGAATTCATGGCAAAATCACGCATCCAATCAACCAAAACAGTAAAGAACAATACAAGGTGTTCAAAACACCTAAAACACCAAAACGACAAACACAACCTATAAGTTTCACATAATCCTGCCCCACCTTCAAATCTAGGAATAATTAAAAGAAACGTGATTTTTATTGTTTAATAATTCAACTATTACGTTCTTATAAAAATACCTCAGGTCTACCTTTACCATTTTTCTTAAAGTATAAAAATTCTCACTGAAGATTTGTGACAGAATCATTGAAATCAACCAAAACAACATACTAGTATACTAGTACTAGTACTAAAAGTGTATATAAAAATATTGAGCCACTAAACAATATTGTAATAAAATAAAGATGAATGGCCAGAAAAAGTTGAATCCTCGACAGAATTCTGATGGTGAAAGATTGAGATCCACATACAGAGAAGAAAGAAGAAAAGACAGAAAACAACTAGGCCAGTGATGTTTTCCATTTCCTTAATAACGTAGTTGAAATTTCTTTAAGGGGAAAAGGGCGCACGGACTAGTAGTCATGAATATGAGAACAAAGCTTCCACACATAAGCAAAACTACCTTATGTATAAAATGAGTTTTTATAAAAACTGAAAGTCTGAAACCAGATAGCATGAGAAACAATGGCATCAGAATGCTAGTTAGTAGTTATCAATCTTTCAAGAGTTCCAAATACTATACAAATGTCATGTTAAGGGGAAAATACAAGGCACAAGTGTTATGTACATATTATATGGGAGGTGTTGATATGATGGTATATACATTGCATGTGAAAAATGTAAAATGAGAATAACAAACAGTGCCTACTTTATACAATTATCAACCTCCACCCCGGGTAAACATATGCATACATTTACAAAGAAGCAGAATACTCTCAACAGCCAACAAAATGCGACAGATGAATCAGTCCAGATACATTCATCAAGACAAGCTCAGATTTACCTTCTATGTTTAAGCTCCAGTTAGTGCAAATTTTTTCCCATCTCCCATAGAAGTTGAAGCTCGTTGCCACTTTAAGACTCAACAAATTCATTCACCAAGTATTTTGTAGTCTTGATTTCCAAGTGGCTGTCTGAAATTAGCTATTTGATTGATCAGAGGAATAAAATCGGTATCAGATAAGCTACCATGGCTCGGAATTGTTACGAAAGAAACTTGCTGAGGGTCTCTTCCACCCTTCTTCCATCATAATGAGGTTAAGTCGAACAATGAGCTTTTCAACAGCATCATCTTCAGCTGGGTTCAGTGAACCTGATTTTTGCTGCATGATGGAAGAATCACATGTTTACTAATTATTGCATGCAGAAAGATACATCGGTTAAACTTTTGAAAACGCATATTAGGTAAAATAGTACCTTTACTTCGTTGTAGAACTTCAGGTACTGCAATGCCTCCTCATAGTAGCTACAGTGGTACAGAAGAACAGCATAGTCTCTCAACTCCTCAGCATTGGCTTCTAAGAGAATTAGACGTTCACACGCTGAAAGCCCCAAGCATGGGGGGAAGGTGTTAGTTGCATTATGCTTCAATTATCATAAATAAGAAAAGAATTATTGAATCAAAACAAAAGCACAATACTTGCAATCTATAACCAGTGAGAAAAAATATGGATAGAAATATATGTTGTCAGTGTGTACTATATTTTTATATCATTATGCCTTCATATTCCAAGTCCGTGAGTATATATTTTAAAAGTTATGATCATGAACTTTTCACCACTTTATTGTCAGATTCCGTAGAGTTTATGGAAAGTTGGCAACTAAATCATGTTTTGCACGTTGATACATATACTTCAAAACAAGAATATTTTGCATCTGTTAGTTTCTTTTTACTAATGCCACTGAATTGGCTATATTTCACATCAATAATAAGAAGAAATTCAAAAAGTTTGACAATGGGCCACATTACTTAAACTATCAAGGGCCAAAAGATGAAACAAAATAATTAAGGTGAAGTAAGAACTAAGAAGAGGGGAAATCAGAGTAGTAAATTTGTAAGGACTTAAAGGGGAGTAAGAGGTGAGGACTAGGGAAGCCGTGGGTATTGAGTGAGGTGAGGAAAGGACGACTATGCCAGTAAAGGGTGGGAGGCAAATAATGCTGAAGACCAGTGGTCGCGGTGGCTAAGATAAGGTCAATGGTGGTGGTAATTATCAAAGATTTTTGACATAATTAAGGTAGTTGAAACCAAAGTTTCGTCAGATTCTCAAAAATCAAAACAATTAAATCATTAAATCAAAATTGGGGATTGAACACTGAGTGTAAATGAGTGACATGTTTATAAAACATTCTAATAGCTTCTATGTGCATGGCATACCAGATAATGCACGCCTCATGTCCCCAAAAAGCACACTAGTCCAAACTCCACGATCTAGCCTATGTTGGGCAGCCTTTGCAGATGCATGTTCAAAGCCACTGATATTAGCAAAATGAAATTTTCATTAACTCAGAAAATATCAAATAGACATCACAGCAGGAGAAGTTCATAATTGACCGTTAGCCTCAACCTGTTTACGCAATTAGCAGCAATTGCTGCCCTTATAAACAAACTCTCTGTTTGATTCTGCTGAAATGGCCAATAAGTATTCTTCAAATCTCTCAAGATCTGCAACAAGCACAACAAATATGCTAACTAAGCAGTTCCACAGTTCTCTAAGACAAACTTCAATTACTTGCAATATTTTATTCTTTATCCCACGGATCATTCCTCAATTTTAACACAAGGAAACCAAGAATCAAGAAACAGATCCAACTAAAATGAAGCACAACACCCCTAATCTAACTCTCAAGTCACCAATCTCCTCCTTAGTCCAATATCAATGATCCACTCATTATTCCACCTTACACATTTCTTATATTATCTCCTTTGTAACCAAAAAAAGTGCCGCATAATAATCTGGCACGTGTATCAAGGAGATCTATGCGAAGAGAGAAGAGATATTAATATGAGATCAGAAGTCCATGTGATGAGTACATAGATAGATTTTGAAGGGAAAAAAAAAAAAAAAAAAAAAAAAAAAAAAAAAAAAACTACAAACTAATAAAATATGTTTCATAAATTCCGAAACCCAAATGGATAGTGTTTCACTATTTCAAGAAGTACATAGATTTATCATTCATATAACTGCCAGCAAAAATCTTTATCAAACAATTGGCTAATTCTTCTCCAAACTGCCATATACTACAACTTCTTTTCAAGAATATTTTCTGAACTTTTCTCTTTAAGTCTCAACTTCTCAATTTAATCCTTCTCTAAATTACTTTACAGTTCTCGGTCACTTAGTGATGATTGGATTGGAGGTAATGAATTAGGGGGTAATAGGAGGCAAAATAGAAAAGAGGAAGAATGGTGAAGGACTGAAGGTGGTGATAGGCAGGTATAGTAATGATGAGTATCCCCAAAATTCAGTACCTACCTAATATAATGTCTCATCTACCATCAGCTATTCACCTGTACCCATCTCCATTCTCTTCATTTTGTGTTCAGTTATTTCCTTAATTCAGTACCTCCAATCCAAAAGCTTGCCCTAGGAGGAGCTTAACTGAAGATACAGGAGACAATGGTTCACTGAACACATTTGACTTTACTCGTCCATATCATATGCATAACTGCTCAAGAAACTGAATTGACTCTAACAATACGTAATCATTACAATCCCTCTGTCCCAAAATATAGTGCCTATTTTATTTTCCACAGTCTTCAAGACGCACCTTTGACCATCAATATCTTAAATTACATATTAACAAAAATTATAAAAAGTTGATATTGTAAAGCTATACATTGAGACGAATCTAACAACATCTCACATGCATGCCTATATTTTTTTGTTACATTAATGAGAATTTTTTGGTCAAAATTTTTAAACTTTGACAATGAAAATGGAAATGAGCACTATATAATGGGATGGAGGGAGTATAAGTTAGCATGCAATTGACCTATGCTACTACAAAATGCTTGGCTGAGCAGCACATCTGCAAATGTGCCAACATTATACTCAAAAGTGACAAACAGGTATAATAGCTAGTTGCTAACCACAAATTACACACATGTATTATCAGCAACAAGAAGGATCAGAACTCAAAATGTGATGCCAACAAAGCTTACCTCCACCAACAAGGATTCTGATGTCATTATGTGTTTTTGATCAGATTCTTTGCCTTTCTTCTTATTATAGGCTCTAGGGAGACTTGAGAAATCATGTGGGTGATAAATTTCAACATCAAAATCAATTACACCCCAAAGTTGGAGCATTTTGAGGACCTCTGAATAAATCAGAGATAGGATAGCAACAGATCCACAACGCTGTGCTAGAACCTGTTTGCAAGTTAGCAACAAAACATCTAGAAGCTCACCTTAACAGTAATGTGAAGGAGTTAAAATGTAAAAAAAAATACTACGTAAAAAAAGTCATCATGCCATACCGAGTGAAGATAATAGTCTTTTGTTGAAGGGTTAGAACCTGCAGTGGTTCTCCGAAAACCCTATCAAGAAAGCTCAGGTTAGTTTAAAAAAAAAATTAGCAACAACAGCAGCAAGTATTTTTTTTTTAAAAAAAAAAAAGAACAAAATAAAAGCTTCTGATTAAACTACAGTGCATCACTAATAAAAGTTGGACAAACTTATCTGGCTATATACATCTACCACAATCACCACATAGTGTGAGTCCTATGACTTATATCTCAATGCCTAGGGAGGTCACCACAAATGCCACCATACCAGTACCAGTAACCATCAGCACTAGCAAAGAGACTACTTTTGAGGAACACACATCATCTCAAATGATGTGATAAATCACTATGTTTTATTATTCATTTACACATTCTATAACTATCCACACTTAGGCATTGTTGATAATTATGATATGTCCAATGATTCTACATGATCTGAAAGTCAATGCAGAAATATACCTTTGTGATGTACAGGTACCTCTCTAAACTATCCAAGAGATCCTCTGGTGATGAAGATAGCGAAGAACGATAATGAGGACAATAGCTTGTAGAAAGGTTATCCAATCTCTCCACAAAAGCATCAACTGGAAGAGGTACAGATGAGTGAGACATGAGGGAGTCATCTTCTGCAGCAATATATAG